CCAGGCCTCTCTCCAGCTGGGCACAGAGACAGCTGCGCTCCGACTGCTGCCCCCTCTCCCTTGTGTCCCCTCTGGCCCTCCAGGCACACGCTGTGTCCTATCTGGGGAGCGAGCCGGGTTTAAAAGATCCTTCCGGTCCAAGTGGAGTCGTGTCCGTGACAACAGATGATTCCAGCCAGTGGGGTCACCATGTCAAACAGACCAAGCAGGAGATTGGCCCTGGGCCTTCACAGGACATCACCAGGTCCAGGCCCCGGGAACGACCAGCGCCTCTGTGAGGACTGCACTGTGACATTGGCCAGCCGCCTGTGCTGAGACCTCAGCGCACACCCTTCCCCTGGAACAAACGGGCCCTTTGGCATTGACATCCGAACGGTGCTGGCCCTGCCAAGACATCCTGTCCCCTGAATATTGGTGAGGCGTCACCCACGAAGATGTCCTCATCGTCAGCACCCAGTCATGCCACCTCCCCACTGCCCCGTGTGGGAGGTCGGCTCTATCCTGGTTGCTTTCATTTGCCCTTTCATCAATGCCCCCAGGGCCCGAGCGTCTCCATAACTTGATCAGCAGTGGGAAATTGGATCAGGGTGGACAGAACCCTGCCTGCCTCTTACTGAGCGAATGTCAGAGCCCCCGGGGCATGGAGACCCGCTCCTCTGAGTTGCATCTGCAGGAGGCAGGTGGGGGCCTTGGTGGCCCTGATTGAGTTTGTGCCTACGCAAGCGATGCATTTGATTGTTGCTGGAGGGGGCTGCCTGGTCCAGTGGCTAATTTGGCCATAACAAGGCTCAGACCCACCAAGCTGTAGGAAACGATTTCTCCTTGGAGACAGCTTTGTCTTTTGTTAGTGGCGGAACAGCCAGTGATGGGGGGGTTCTCCCTGCCCAAGGTCTTCTGAACCTCGGGGGCCAGTCTCAGTCAGGAGCCCAAACACCTCTGACCTCACAGCTCAACTTCTTAGGAATTTATTCTGAAGAATCACAAGGACAAGGGCACATAAGCTGGCATGCAGGGCAGCACTGTGCATTTGACACTAGCATGAGAGCTAAGGGGCAGTGCCCAACATGGGAGAGAGAAGCCAGCTGCAAGACAGCATTTACAGCAGGCCAGCAAGAAAGACGGTTCCTCAGCACTCAGAAATAGAGCCACTGTATGACCCAGCAACCCCTTACTCCTGGAGGAACGGGGACAGGGCTTGAAGAGGAATTTGCACACCCCTGTTTCCAGCAACACAATCCCAAAAGCCAGAAAAGGGGAGCACCGGAAGTGTCTGCCTGCAGAGGGTGGGCGCGTGGCAGTGGGCCGTCCCCACGGCGGGCTCACGCAGTGTTACGGAGGAGCTGGTGAAACCAAGGGTATAAGGCTGATGCAGTCTGTCACAGAAGGGCAAGTCCTGCAGGAATCAACTGGGACAGGGGGTCAGCGGGTGCCAGGCCCAGGCAGGCAGGAGTGAGGAGTCAGTGTCACGGGACGGAGTTTTACAAGATGACCAGGTGCCTGGGAAGGCTGCCTGACACACATGTGCGTAGTGGGCTGTGTACGCGGGACGCTAAGATGCTACATGTGATATCACGTGACCGCACAGTGAATACATGAGACCACACACTTGCACACAGTTCAAGTAGTGACAGGGAGCTCTAAAAGAGTGTGTGTCAAGCATGAATAGTGGTTATTTTTGCGAATGGAACTCAGGGGGCTTTCACTGAGATTTCAAACAAGGTTACGTGTTTATAACAATAAAGATCGAGGTGTTAACCAAACCCTTCCTCAGCACGTGCGTGTCCCATGCGGTGGGTTTGTCCCCCTCTGACAGATGAGGAGATAGGAGCAGAAAGGTCAAGGAACTCCCTGCCTCTGCCTGCCAGGGGGAGGGCCACTTCCTCCCTGGCTGCCTGGGGCCCTGCTCCTCCCAGCTGGCCAAGGCCTGCAGGTGTGCTGCCCTCTGTCTCCAGGCGCTGAGGTCAGAGGGAGCTGCTGTGGTGTCTGGTGCTGCCCTTCAGCCTCTCCGGGATCAAGTTCCAAGTCTGCCCCAAGCTGGTGGGGTGGGGACGGCTCAGACCTTGGGCTCCCGGCTTCCTTTTGTTAGGCTAAGCAGTTAGATCCCCAGCACCAGGCAGGCCAAGGCCCTGGGGCTTCTGTAGCCACCTGCGCACCAGCCTGGGAGAGGTGAGAGTGTGTATGAGTGTGAGCGCGTGAGGGTGCAGCAGTGTGAGTGCACACGTGTGCGTCAGTGTGTGAGAGCATGTGTGTGTGTGAGTGAACGTGTATGAGTAAGAGTGAGTGTGTAAATGTGAGGGTATCTAGTGTGTCCGTGTGCTGTGTGTAAGTGTAATAAGTGTGAGTGTGTGTGTGTGTGTGTGTGCTGACAGCAGTTTGCAGGTGCAAGGGTCAGCCTCCCTTGTTGTCCCTCCCAGCCTTCTGCACAGAGGTGGATGGCCAAAGTCACCCCACCAGTGACAGCGGGGGCCTGGCTTGGGGCCTGGCTTGGGGCCTGGCCTCTGGTCCCTCCATGGGGTCACGTACTGTGGAGTGTCACACCTTGCCAGCAGTACTTGACCCTCTGGGTCAGCTTCGCCTCTCCTTCCAAGCTCTGGGGCCAGGAAACACCCCTGCCAGGTCCCCGGGCCCAGGCCTCTGCTGATCCCAGTGCCCACCTGCCTGGTGCCCAGCTCTGGGCATGTGGAGGCATGGGACCAGCCTCATGGTCACGGTCTCAGGGCCACCTGCGCTGCCTCATCCTTGGTGCGGAGTGGCCTCGGGATGGCCTGGGCGGACACCTCCCCTCTCCCACCTCCTTACCGTGGCTGCTGCTCAGGGTGAGGGGGACAGCAGCCACTCCCAAGGGAGACGTGCTGCCGGGACATGGGCACTGCCGTCACCTGCCGTGTCAGCCCTCGGGGTGGTCCATCCTGCCTCTGTAGGGCCCTCAGAGCTCCGGCCTTGGGGCTGGCAAGACACAGCCCTGCATGTGCCCTTGCTGTGGGGGGTGGCCTAGCCTGGTGGGGGGCTCACCCGGCTTTAGCCCCTACCCCAGCTGCTGCACTGTGGTTGTCACCACCCACGGCCAGGAAGTCAGGCGCAGCTGGCCTCACGTGGCGGAGTCGATGGGGGATTACAGCCCGCTAAAGCCGACAGCATCAGAGACTCAGAGGCAAAGGGCTTATTAGAATGCCGAAATTGGTTCCAAATGAGGTCAGCTGCCGTCGAAGCGCCTTGGAGGGAAGCCAGGCTCTGAGCCACGGCAAGCAGCGCTCCTTTCCTGAGACAGTGACAGCGACATAGTGTGGCACCCCAGCCCACCCCCACCCTTGGAGGGGAGCACACACCCCTCTGACCCAGCAGAGTAGCAGAGCTGGGCGAGGGCAGGAAGAAAGGCAGCTCCAGCCCAGAATCGGACCCAGCCCTGCGCAGGGGCCGAGCTCGGCTGGCTCAGCACTGTGCGTGTCCAGCAGGTACTGGGGCGGGCGGTGTCACCTCTGATAAGGGCGTGGACAGGACAGCTGAGTGCTGCTTCCTGCCTCGGGGTCAGATTGCTGCTTTTCAAGATCCACTGGTGCCAGGAAGGGCGCAGTGTTCGGGCACACAGGGACCCGCTCCCCCACCCTCCCTCACTTTCCTCCGAGGTTGCATTTCTGATCTGCACCTCCTCCCTCCTGACTCCAGTGGAATTTCTGTGACCTTGGCTGCCAGGGTGCGTGGCCCCCTCTGGTTGAGAGCACAGCCGTGCAACCCCAGGTGCAGGCAGCTGCAGCTGCCCCTCTTGTGTGTCAGGCGGGGACCATCACAGACCCTGCTCCGGCACCCAGTGAGGACGGAGCCGAAAAGCAGGCCTGCCTCCCTCTCCTGCTGATTGCTAGGGCTCGGTAATTGTTACTTCTGAAATCAACTGCATCCCTTCTCTCGATGCCGGCGTTCCAGCCTGGTTCTGAGCTGGAGGACGAGGATGTCTTCTAAATCCTGTTAAAAATAAATGCGTGCGTGCAGCACTCTGGTGTTTACTAGGGGACACGCATGCCGCCTTCCCTCCTTGGAGCACCTAGCAACTGCTGATCTTGTTTGTCCCAGATCCAGGTGAAGAATGAGACCTTCTGCCTTCACATTCCCCGAAGATCGGGACCCTTCCCGGCCCCTGCTCCTGGCCTTGGTGAGCTGAGAGGAGCCCAAGGCATCAGCGATCACTGGCTGCTGGATTCCTGTCCTGGGGACGCAGGCTCTGGGCTATAAACTCTCCCTAAAGGGGCTCAGAAGGGCTCACGCCGGGGACGGACTGCAGCCCCGGCAGCATCCCACCTTCACGCCAATGGCTTCTGACTTATCCCTGTGTGTGTGAGTGGCACCTGCTACCCGGGAGGCTCTGTACCATCCCTGCTGCGGCCGTGCCCACAGCTCCACACAGCCCCTAGGGGAGGATGCAATATCCCACAGGCATTTCAAGAGAGAGGACACAGCTGTTGCCTCTGGTACAGCAGGCTCAGGGCGTCCTTGGGGACAGCAGAGGACTTAGAGTCGGGGCCACGATGCTTGTGGGTTCCTAACATTGGAGAGAGGAGAAAGGGGGAAGGAAAGGGAGCGGGGGAGGGGAGATCTGTCATTCTGGCCAGGAGCAGGGTGGAATCGAAGCAGAGACCCAGCAGAACTTGGTCATGCTAATGCTGCTGGCCCGAGAGGACACAGACCAGGCCTCTCTGCCCTGGGTGAGAGGAAGCCGTGAGCATGGGGGCTCAGACAAGTGCAGGCCCGCCCCTCACCCTCCTTTCCCTACAGTCTGTCCCTGGCACCACCCCCTCTGCCTGCTCCAGCCCTGCACCCCCACCCATCTGCCCCCCAGCAATGCACCCACTCCTTCTTGAGCAGCCATGGCACCAGCTGGAGCTGGTGGGGAAACAGAGGAGGCACCGTGGGAACAGCAGGCCGCAGGAGGGCGTCTACACAGAGACTATCTGGTGATTGAGCTTTATTTTTAGTTTTTTTGTTTTTTTTTTTTTTTTTTTTTTTTTTTTTTTTTTTTTATTTTTAGTTTGAAATCAATCCACACCCCCAGTGTTATAGAAACCACGTAGCTCACTGGGCCAGGCCCACAGGCACGAGAGGCCACCACTGGTCACCCCAGAAAGCACCCCTGGGAATCAGTCTGGCTCCCTGGGTGAGGATGGGACCCAGTAACCTGAGAAGCAGCCCAAGCGGCGGAAGGAGCTACTTTCCAGACGGACCTCAGCCGGTCTGCTTCGATTTCCCCTGACGATGTCCATGTGTCATTAGTGCAATTAGGGGAGGGAACAAGCAGAGCACTTGCCCCGGGGCCCAGGCTGGTGGGAGGGCTACTAGGACAATTGAATTCCCCACCAGACTAATGCAATTACCAGGCAGACTGGACTCAGCCCCTCCTGGGGGCTGGGGCATAAATGGCCCAGTGGGGCCATCAAGCTCAGCCCCACCATGCAAGACCCCAGCCGCCAGCATCATGGGCCCCGGCTCCCCAGCCCCAGTGTGCGCGAAGCAGCTTCCATGTACGGCACGGCGGTGGCTATCTTCCTGGTCATCCTGGTGGCCGCTCTGCAGGGCTCAGTGCCCCCTGAGAACCCCTTCCCCTACCGCATCCTCCTGGACCCCCAGGGCACCCTGGAGCTCTCCTGGAATGTCAGTTATGTCCAGGAGGCCGTCCACTTCCGGCTCCTGGTGCGAGAGCTCAAGGCCGGGCTCCTGTTTGGGATGTCGGACCGTGGCGAGATGGAGAACGCGGACCTCGTTGTGCTCTGGACCAACGGCGACAGCGCCTACTTTGCCGTGAGTCTCTCCTTCCGCCCGCGTCCCCACCTCGCCCGCTGGCACCTGTCTGGCCGTCCTCCCGAGCTCTCCCTCCTCCGACAGCCAAGGGCATTTCCCTGCCACCTCTTGGTGCTTGAGCTCACTCTGACCTCAGTCAGGCTTGTTCTCTGTGTGGACACCATGCGGACACCGGGGATGAACAGGAAACAGTGCTCCCCAGGGTCCTCCACTGCACACCCCGAATGACGGGCTCAGCACACGGAGGAGCCACAGGCCACGCCGCACTCCTCTGTGTGAGTGCAGACCCACCTCCCCTTCTCTGCAAATGACACCTACGCCACAAGACCAGGGCAAGCATACCCAACACAGCCAGGTGGTGGCACAAGGCCCGGTGTAGCAGGGAGCCTACGCCCAGCGCCAGGATGGTGCGCATACCCACCTTCTGCACAGTGAATGCACACACGCACACACGGACCCAGCCCGACCCCAGGCAGGGACAAACCCACTGAGGTCAGGACCTCGGCTCCTCCCTTAAAATGAGCCTCCATTCTTGCCTTCAGGGGTGCAGAAGGTGGAGTCTCCCTTCAAACTGGTGTGGCCTTTGGGGTCCCCGCAAGAAGCAGGCATCACCAGAAGAGGGATAGCCCGAGCTGGCGTCACAGCTCTTGCTTCCCTGCAGAGTAGACAAGTCACCAAGGCCTCCCTGAGCACAAAGCCCCGCTCTCCCTGTGACCACAGGCACAAGAAGGCCAAGGATGGACCTTGTCCTGCTCAGGCCTGTTTCCCCGCTGGAAGTGGAGAGATTACCCACTCCACCCCCGGTTCCCTTTCCCAGATAAGGCACTGAGGCTGGGCCAGCCAGGTCCCTCGCTCTGGGCCACCAGGCAGGGTGGGGCAGAGCAGGGTTGCGCAGTGGCTCGAGGGTCACAGCCCAGTTCCCAGGCTCAGCTGTCTGGTGCTTCGGGCTTGGATCCCCACGTGAATCAGGAGCCCCGACTGCAGGGCTTTCCCGGGGCAAAGGAGGGAGTCAGGGTGGTACCACTTCTCAGTGCCCCGCAAGGTTAAATCCTGCCACAAATTCCTAGGAACGCAGATGTCAGGCTTGGGGTTGCTCCTCTGGCAATCTGCGCAGCTAATGTACTCTTGCTTTCCTGCTGAAACACCAGCCGACTTTGTGCCTGCATTTGAATTAGTCTGTGGCAGATCAGCGGGACCCTGGCAGGCGTGTCGCGCGCTGCTTTCCTCTGGGAAAACGTTGCACAACCTTTCGTAGGGTTCTTTTTTTCTCAGGCAAATGAAAACATGTTGTAGCCTCAGATATAGGATTAAAAGCAGAGCCAAAAACCCTCACAGCGGGCCCGGGGCATTCCTGACCCCTGCTGGCTGGGGAGGCTCTGGTGCGCCACCTCACAGAGCCAGAACTGCCTGGAGCCTGCTGGGTCCTCAGCACAGAGCCCTGGCAGGGAGGGAGGAGAGGGAGAACCATCTAGGCTCTGGGAACTATCCTGGGAAAATGCAGCCAGGCCCCCAACCCCCTGAGCCTCAGTTTACTTCTTCAGGCAACGCTGGAGTAGGGTGAGGGATAGCTGGGGTGTGGTTCGCTACATGGGCGCCACCTTGAATGCTCAGACTTTTCTCTCTTGCTGCCCCTTCCCTCCATTCCCCACTCCCGTCCCGCCCCCCCTTCCCTCCCTATCTCAGTTTCTCTACCCTCCCCCTGCCCCTCCCTCCCCATCCTTGTTTTCTTTCCTCCTGGAGGAATGGGAGTGGTACTGGTCCAAGATCCCGGTCCCATTGGAAGCCTCAGGCTCTTCCCTAACAATACCGAGTCCTAGGTCTCACCCCAAGGCCTGGGAGTCTCAGGCAGCAGACTCGCCTGGAGTCTGAACACTCCTAGCTGTAGAAGTGCGCAGGATGGGGCTGAGCCCACAGAAGGGGGGTGCTGTGGGAGGGGCTTGCCTAGCACGCACAGGCATGGGGCTCCAGCCCAGCACTGCAAAAGACAGACAGACTGGGTGAGACCCGCTGGGGGGAGTGAGGCTCGGGCGATCGTTCATGAGCTGTGCCAGGAAAGGCCCCGGGCACCAGCCCCTTCCTGCCCCCACCTGAGCTTGTCTGCAGGATGCCTGGAGTGACCAGAAGGGGCAGATCCACCTGGATACCCAGCAGGACTACCAGCTGCTGCAGGCACAGGGCACCCCGGATGGCCTAGCCCTGCTGTTCAAGAGGCCCTTCGGCACCTGTGACCCCAAGGACTACTTCATCGAGGTAACGTGCCAGCTTGCTTCACAGCCTCTCACCCCTCCGGTGACGAGGAGCCCACACTGGTGGCTCTGAGCAGCCAATGACCGGCCTTGTCTGGCTGCAGGACGGCACAGTCCACCTGGTGTACGGGATCCTGGAGCAGCCGTTCCCGTCGCTGGAGGCCATCAACACCTCAAGCCTGCAGACGGGGCTGCAGCGGGTGCAGCTGCTGAAGCCCGAGGTCCCCGTGCCAAAGGTGCCCGCGGACACCCGCACTATGGAGATCCGGGCCCCTGATGTCCTGATACCTGGCCAGGAGACCACGTACTGGTGTTACATCTCCGAGCTGCCCCGGGGCTTTGCCCGGCACCACATCGTCATGGTGCGTGGGGTCCGGGTTGCACTGTCTTTCCGGGGGGTGCCAATGTCCCTGGCCTGGACAGCTAGCCCATGGTCCACCTGCTGCCCGAGCTCCAGGCACCAGCCTGTGTTCTCTGGTCCCCGCCACCCTGCTCATGCCCACTCCAGGGCCTTTGCTCTGGCTTCCCGGCCTGCACCACAGTAACCAGGATTGAATTCTCCATCTGTCCCTGGGCCTGGGCCGCTGTCTGTATGCCTGTCCAGCCCCATGGTGAAGCAGCTTAAGGAGAACTTGCTTGCTGTAGAATGGAGACGTTAGCTGCCCCAGGTCACCTACTTACCTGGTGGGGGCGAAGGTGAGGCCATTAGGGCCTCCATCACAGCAGTGCCCAGTCCTGGATGCTGCTCCCGTTTCCTGGAGACGATCAGCAGCCCAGAGGGGTTCAGTGAGTACCCACACTGCAGAGCGGGGAGCAGCCTGGCCTGACCTGGGGCCGCCCTGCCTCTGCCTGGAGCTGCGGGGCCCAGTGTGTTTGCCCCGAAGTTGCCCTGCACAGGAGCACACAACTGCCTTCCTGCCCCTGCCTGCTCAGGAAGTCGCCCACTTCCTGCTTTTGTCCCGCCAGTAGATGCTGCCTGGCTCTGGACTGCCCACTGCTCCCCAGTTCCCGGGGCCCACAATGTCCCTGGAGGCCACACCCTCACCCCTCCCCACCACGGTGGGGTGGCCAAAGGCTCGTGGGGCAGGGAGGACATCTGCTGGGCCAGGCTGCCCTGCTCAGGGTGCTGTCCCTCCACAGTATGAGCCCATCATCACCCAGGGCAACGAGGCCCTGGTGCACCACATGGAAATCTTCCAGTGCACCGGTGGCTTTGAGAGCGTCCCCCACTTCAGCGGAGCCTGCGACTCCAGGATGAAGCCGGAGCGCCTCAACTACTGCCGCCACGTGCTGGCGGCGTGGGCACTGGGCGCCAAGGTGAGTGCATCCCGCCCCTTAAAGAGTGCCCGGGTGAGGCTGACGCTGCCCACGCCTCTGTTTCCCTGAGGCACAGGGCTGCCCAGGGCTTGCCTCACCTCTAGGGTGCCCCTGTACCCATCCACTTTGTGGGTACTAATTTCACTTTCTGCCAGAGTCGGAGTTTGGTGCACAGTCCTGGCCAGGGCTGGAGCTGGCCGGGGAAATTGTCCTGTCCTCAAGGACTCAGTCCCCGAGGTTGTATCGATGTCTGCCGCTGTCCAGGGGAGCAAGAGGGGCCTGGGAGGATGGGGCAAGCCTGGTGAGGCCCAGCTCCCCTCTCCACGGCCTAACCCCGCGTCTCACAGGAAAGTCTGTGGCAGGGCACCAGTGTGATCCAGCTGCCCCACCAATGCCACTCTCCCCCATTCAGGCCCCAACGGGTGGGCATGTTTGTCCTGGCCCTGTCCAGGACCCTTCTCCTGACACTGTGTGACCCCTTTCTGCTGACAACCCCCACAGGCATTCTACTACCCAGAGGAAGCCGGCCTTCCTTTCGGGGGCGAGGGGTCCTCCCGGTTCCTCCGCCTAGAAGTCCACTACCACAACCCGCTGAAGATCCAAGGTAGGCCTGGTGGCTGGGGGCGAGTGGGCACCTAGCATTGTCCAACCCAAGTCCCCAAGGCTTCAGCCCCTTGTCTGATGATCCCTAGAGCCACTGGCCACCTGTGTCCCCACTCCCTGTCCTCCTCCCGGGGCAGGGCCTGTGGAGCCGGCTCCTCACTCAGCCCCGTGCCCGGCAGCATCCTGGCACACCATGGACTCAGCACCTCCTTCCTTCGGTCCCAGGACCACCCACCTGGGAAAGGCCAGGGAGAGGTTTCTCATGGCCCAGTTTGCCAACAGGAAAGCTGAAACCGGGGGCAAGAGGACCTCGCCAGGGCTGCAGAGTGAGCAGGGACTCGGGGCCAGTGGGGCTGACCGTCACCATGGTCTTGACCATCACCATGGCCTTGGTCATGCAGCCTTGCAGAGGCTGAGCTACATGGGGCCTGGCGAGCCCAGCTGGCCCCAAAGCTGCCTCTGTGGGAAACAAGTTGTCTGCTACGCACATGGATGTGCATGTGCTGGGCAGCTGGGGCATCATCCTGGACAGTGGTGGGGAGAGTGCCCAGCCAGGGAGTCCGTCCCTGGCCAACAGGGCAGTGCTGGAGGTGGTGAGTGATGTCTGCCCCAGGCGATGGAGGGCCTCGGCTCCCTCACACCCAGACGGCCCCCAAAGTGCTCCCGGGAGCATGGCAGGGTGGTACTGTAACCGCCATTCACAGGTCCAGAGGAGGAGGTCTTGCCCGTGGTCACCTTGTTGCCACTGGGCTAAGTCCACTTCCGTGGCCGGGCTCTGTTCCGACTGTGTGCTCAGAGGTGATTCGAGTCGGCCAGCTGAGCTCAGAGCGTCCGGGGCAAGGGGCACCCGTCCGCCTCTCCCTGTGCACGCTGCGTGGCACAGCCCAAGAAATGCCAAGCGTTTTAACCAAGCCAGTGTTTGTGAGGGTCTGTGTCAGGCTGAGAGCGGGCAGCAGGGTGAGCGAGGCACACACGTCCTCAAGGAACTTCTGGGCAGGAGTGAGACAGCACATGCGCAAGCAAGGGCAAGGTGCACGGGAGACAGATTCCTGGGGCACGGTGGCATGTCGGTGGCATTTAGCATGCGCTTAGGGGACAAGAGGAGTCCCACAAGGGAGCTGGCAGAGGGGCAGCCTGTTGTGTGAAAGGAGGTCGGCCACAGAGCGGAGAGCGCATTCCAGGAACACAGGCGGTCGGGCTTGGCTGCCACGGAGGAGGTGGGAAGGGCGTGGAGGCTGCTGGATCACCCCGAGCCTGAAGGTGAAACAACCGGAAGCAGGAGCAGCCTGATAGACAGGAGGCTCAGTGGGGCTGGGAGGTACCTGTGCCCCCAGTGCCCCTGCGGGGTGTGGGTGCAGGCCGCACTCAGCTGATGTCGCTCTGACCTTCTCGTGGGCTGTGTAGCGATATTTCTGCCCCCGCCAGAATTGTTTACGACAGACGCAGAGAAGGCCGCGGGCGGCAGGGGCTTTAGCGGGATGCGGGATTTACTGCTCACTTAAAACCTGAAAGCAAATGGATTTTTGAAAACTCCTTAAGCATCAGGCAAGTCTGTCTCCTCCCGACGATCGGCTGTATTTATGGATCCTTTGCCAAATATAAGAAGGTTCCTGTCACTTCACAGCTCTTCAAAGGGTTGCTTTTTCCATAAATATCAAAAGCCCACAATTACCTCATTATTTAATCCTCATCTGAATCTTCTCCAATTGCTGCTCCCTTTTTATTATTATCCTGTGATGTCATCAGCCCAGAGACATGGGAGCTATTGGGGTTTGGGTGTTGGGGGTCTCGGGGGGCAGAGCCAAGGGCCCCCAGCAGCACCCTGCGTCCTAGCCACTGCTTCCAGGACCTGGAGGCTCAGGCAGGGTTTTCTGTTCAGGCTCAGCCCTCAGTGTCCCTATCTGTAAGTAGGGACAAACTTTCTTTCCGAGGGGACAGGTCAGTGTGACGAGCTCCCAGCCCGGGGGACTGCTCGGGCACCACTCACACCTGGCTCGTTCTGTCTCAAAGGGCACCCGGCCACCTCGGGGACAGGGGCAGGTAGGAAGCATCCGTGAGCCTCTGATCACCTATCCATCCAGGAGGCCGCAGTCTCCATGCTGGCGAAGGGCTTGATTCTCCCAGAAGGGGTCTTGGCTCTTAGCTGAGACCAGACAGGGACAGTGAGTCGCCTGGGACCAAGCCTGGTGACCAAGAGAGGCCTGGACCGTGAGGGATTGTGCGCATGCCTGGTCCGGCACTTCCTGAGATGTCAGCTGGGTGGATAGATGCCTCGGGTCCCTGCGGGACCTGGCAGAAGGGTCAAGGGAGGCTGCAGGGGACTGGCTCATCGGGGGCTCCTCACACTTCATGCAGCACTCGCCCGCCCCATGCTCTTCCAGGAGATGGAGACAGGGTCCAGGCCCTGTTCTCACATGTCCAAGCCACACCCTGGGGTCCTTGTGCACCCTGTGGGCTGACTTCCTTCTGAGGTCCCCATTGATGCGGGGACAACAGAGCAGGCATGGGTGACCGGCTCCACCTCCCAGCCCAGGAAGCTGCGTCTCTGGGTGATCGACCCTCAGGGGCACTGAGTGAACTCTGCCCACTGTTTCTGCTGCCCACAGGCCGGCGCGACTCCTCGGGCATCCGCCTGTACTACACGGCCACGCTGCGGCGCTTCGACGCAGGCATCCTGGAGCTGGGGCTGGTGTACACGCCCGTGATGGCCATCCCACCCCGGGAGCCGGCCTTCGTCCTCACCGGCTACTGCACCGACAAGTGCACCCAGCTGGTGAGTGGGCAGGGTGGAGGTGACGGTCCTGCTGCCCTGACCCCGGGCTAAGGTGTTCGTGGGTGTCACGGAGGCCGATGTCCCCTTGTCCCAAAGGCAGCGCCCACAGGAAGCGGACGCTTACGTGTGACTTTCAGAAGCCTGCAGTCTGAGGCGGACAGAGTACATGGGGTCCTTGTCACTGTGTCATGTTCTCCCGTGCACAGCCCAGGACAGCCGGGGAGACGCCGGCCCCTGTTGACAGCCCTCATCTGTTGTCAGGGACCCGGGGAACGTACCAGACAGCAGATGAGTCTCTAGCCTGGGGCTGACTCTCTTTAGGCAGAAAATTTCCTAAAACGAGTCACCCACTCCGTGTGACTCAGCCACGTCCCGACCCTCGCCGCTCTCTGCCGCTGGGGAGCCGGAGCATTGCCGGCTCCTGCCATACACCTGCCAGCTGCTGCCCCTGCCCCTGTCATGGTGACACCTTTGTACCTGGCAGTGATTTGAGGGGCAGTAGGCCTCGTGGCCACATTTGTGACAATCGCAGGATGGGCCTGGGCACTCTGGTTGAGGGTCTCCTGGGCTTCACGATGACTCTTTGGTCTCCTGAGGCCAGCCACTGTGCGGCAGGTACCTTTGGCAGATGAAGCAGGCCATGCCACGGGCCTGCCCTGGTGGCTAGCATAAGGTGGGCACTGCCAAGCGCAGCGCTATGATTCATGTCCGTCATCTCACAGACGGGGAGTCACAGCGAGGGGCAGTCCTACTCACCTCAGGGCCCCATCGTGCCTGCCCACAGGGTACTTTCTTGAGGTCTGCAGATGGAGAGTGACCCTGGGAACAAAGGATGGAGGGGCCAGGAGGGGTGGGGCCAGCTCTCAGACCCTTCAGCCCTGCCCGGCCTGGCAGGGAGCTGACTGACCAGAGAGAAGACAAAGGTGCCAATGCACGGGCCGCAGAGGGGCTGTCCCTGCTTCAGGTCCCCATGGCCCTGGGCTGGACCCTGACTGCGTCCCACCTGCCCACAGGCCCTGCCACCCTCTGGGATCCACATCTTCGCTTCTCAGCTCCACACGCACCTGACCGGGAGGAAGGTGGTCACCGTGCTGGCCCGGGATGGCCGGGAACTGGAGGTCGTGAATAGGGACAACCACTACAGTCCACACTTCCAGGTGGGGACCCCCTCCCCGGGTCTGCCCACAGCCTCCCCCACAGCCGCAGAAACTCCCCTCTGCTCCCCCTGTGTCTAAAGTAGCGGTGGCCTCTGATGGTGGCTTTGGGAACCGGCAGCCCGATGGGGCACTGTCTGGAACGGTTGTCTTCTTGTTCTAATCCCGTCCCTTGCACCCCCAAACCCACACTTGGTGTCCCTGGCTCTCCTGAGAAGCCAGGAAGAGCTGGTGCCCAGAGACATGGAGCATGGTGGCCAGGAGTAGGACACACCCCTCTGTTCTTTCCCACGCAGGAGATCCGCATGTTGAAGAAGGCTGTGTCTGTCTTCCAGGTGGGTGTCCGGCAGGGACAAGGTGGCCAGAGTGAGGTGGGGAGACGGGAGGACTTGAGGCAGGGCAGATGGGCCTGGGTGGGACACAGACAGGGCTGCCGGGAGATCCTCGGAGGGCCTGTGTCAGAGCCCAGCCTGGTCAGCCAAACCACAGACCTCAAGAGCTTTAGGGAAAGATAGGATTTGGGCTGGGCCCCCCATCACCCAGGAGGGGAGGCAGAGGCTGGGCAGGGATGTGAGTAGTCATGTGACCAGGTATGACGTGTCCTGTCCCCGTCTTGTGTCTGAATGTGTAACAACCTCCTGGGAACACTGAGACTGTGACGTCAAGGGGGATGTGGCAGCCCCGCTGGCCTCCTGAGGAGCGGACGTCGGTCTTATACCAGAACATGCCCCAGGGCTCGGGCTCTCGTGGGATGTGCCTGGGGGCTCATGGGGGGTACTGACCATCTGCTGGCCTGTCCCCAGGGGGACGTTCTCATCACTTCTTGCACGTACAACACGGAGGACAGGAAGCTGGCCACTGTGGTAAGTCACTCGCCCTCTCTGGTCCAGGCATCGGGTGGAGGATTCCTACAGCTTTCCTGAGGCCGCACCCTAACTCCTCCACTGGACACAGGGCTATCCACCGTCACTTCCTCAATCAACCAGCCATCCTAGGAGTGTGGCCTCCAGGTCCATGGGCTCAGTGTCCCCTGCCCCCAGAGTTCCCTGGCTGCCGCACGCCCTGGGAGTTCAGAGCAAGGGCAGGATCTCAGACTCAAAACTGGCCCTGCTGAGGCCAAAACATGGGCAGTGATGCTGGCAGTCTGTGCTCAGGTCACACTGCCGCCTGCTCCAGCCTGGCAGCCACTCTGGTGGACTCTTATGGGCACCCGTGTGCCTCTCACTGGGTAGGGCTCAAAGCCCACCAGGGGACGGAAACACCTGCAACAAAGCAAAGTGACAGTAAAAATTGAAGAGCAGGCCAAGATGGCAGGGAGCCGGGCCGACGGGAGGCCAGCCACAGGCTGGCTTTGGGCAAAGCACAAGGCGACCAGGAGGAGCCGGTGGAGGAGCCAGGCGAGGGCTGTGGTGGGGCCGGAGGATTCCTAAGTGAGCAGGAGTGCAGCTACGGGAGGCAGAGACAGGGCAGGGTCCAGGCAGGTGTGTGACCAGAGGCTGGGGGGACATGGCAGGGACTTGGCGAGGCTGGACCGCGGATGGTCCTGAGCACAGGAGCTGGGAAGGGACCGCTCCCCAGGCTGGGTGCGCACTCTGCCCCAAGAGAGGGTGGTGGAGAGCGTGTCACCCTACCGGGGTGCTGGAGGGTCCCGCCACCTTCTCATCGGTCAAGGCACCTCCCGGGCCTCTCCCAGTGAATCGGGATGTGGGGGACAGAGGTGGGGCTGCGTGTATCCCACACCCAGATGTGTCTCCACGCTGCCCTGGAGTCAGGTCACTCACTGCTACCCGTCGGGCCAGCTGCGCTGCCTTGCACACAGCAAGGAGCCTCACACATCGTGCACACATTTCAAGTGTGCAGTTCAATGACTTAGTCTGTTCGCAGACACTCCAGATCCCAGTGGGATATCGTTCAGGGTCACCCACTCACCAGACCCATAAAACAGGCCCTCATTGTTCTTCCGGTCCTAGGCCAGGAACACTGGCACTGTTTGCACCTCTTCGATAGCTCTGCCTGGGTCTCCAAGATAGGAGCTGTTGTCTGCCTCTGAGATCTCAGAGAGGGCAGACCCTGCCCAGGTGGCTCGGTGGATGGAGCGCCACGCCCGATGGACCCCGTGCCACGAGTGCCCAGAGAGCTCTTGCCAGGCCCTTGTGCTCTCCTTCTGGGTCCGCGGTGATGGCTGCCCTAGGTGGTGGTCACCAACTTGGGTGCAGGAGAGCATGGCGGGCCTGGCACCCTTGTTTCTCTGGAGGGGCTCAGGCTGTGACAACAGCAGGTGGCCTGGGTGCTCACGTGCGGCTCCAATCGCAGCCTAGCCCCATCCTGCAGGCATAGCACTGGGGATGAGGGAAGGGGACTTGCAGGCACCAGGAACTGGCCAGCGACAGTGAGGCAGCCCCCAGGCCTCCTGCCCAGAGCATCCCCTGCCCCGAAGGCAGCGAGCCAGCTCCATCAGGGCACAAGCAGGGCGCCCTGGCTGCCATCCCACTGAGCACCACTGCTGCCACTGGCCCTTGCAGCAGGTCGCAGCCCCGGGGGCAGAGGCCAGCCCCTGCTCTCCATCTTGGCACAAGGTGGGGTCAGGGAAGGGGCGCTTCCCGCAGGCAGGGCCAGGAAAGGCGGCTTCCTCCCAGGAGAGGAGGCGTGGAGGCCCAGGCTGCCATAGCCTCGGGTGACGCAGGGGGCAGAGAGCTCAGGGAACAGGAGGATGAACACTGGGGACAGGGATTTGGGACCAGAGGCCAGTGCAGGCCACTGCCCAGGCTACCAGGGCTGTCCCAGGCTGGGCTGACCCTGCTCACTGACCTCCTCTGCACACAGCGGCAGGAGGGCTGCCCAGGGCTGTCTCCATGGAGCACCCAGCTGAGTCCCACACCCTGCTTTTGTTCTGCCAAGGTGGCAAGGGCTTTTCTACCCCCAGCCCCATCACCGTCCAGACAGCTGAGGATGGGGGAGGATTGCCACACTACACCCTCCAGCCCCAGCTCCTCTGTGAGCTCCATGTCCCTGGCTCTGAGGGCGGGCAGCCATGGTGCGGCTGGGCCACTCTGCTCCTCCCAAGTTATGATGAGACGATGCAGTGACCTCTAGGCCCCATCCCCTCTGGAGCCCTGCTCCTCTTGACCAGGTTCCGGAAGTGACCAGTGACCCCAGCGCTTACAGCATGAAACTGCCAGCCTCTGTCAGAAGGCTGTGTCCACCCAGGCGGTGGGTCGTCCTCGTCTCCCTGAGACTCAGCTCTAGACCCATAAATAGGAGCAATGATAGCTCTGGCCCCTACTCGGATTTCGCTTTCTTCATAGCCTTGTCCCCGCCAGACTCATCTCCCCTACAGTGTGGGGTGGTGGGTCCCCCAAGGGGAGGGACCTTGTTCCCTACTCCATCCTGGGGTTGGGTAGCTGCCTGGCTGCACCAGAGAGGATGACGGACTGCAAGGAGCGGGCGCCTTGGCAAAGCCTCTGGGTGGCAGTGTCTGGGAGGGAGGAGCCAGCGCTGAGGGGTGCTCCCGTCTTGCAGGGCGGCTTCGGGATCCTGGAGGAGATGTGCGTCAACTACGCACACTACTACCCCCAGACGCAGCTGGAGCTCTGCAAGAGCGCCGTGGACGCCGGCTTCCTGCAGAAGTATTTCCACTTGGTGAACAGGTGACGCGTTTGCCCACACTCTCAATTCCCAGGGACGCTGTTGGGAGGAGGGTGAGCGGGAGGAATCCAGGCCCAGTTCCTGGAGCGGGATCATCCCGTGTGGCCCCTAGATGGCCTGCCCCTCTGCCGGGGTGTCCGTGGCAGGCATCCCTAGTCAATGCCCAGCTCACGCTCTGGCCCTGCGCAGATAGACACAAACCACGGCCACACAGAAGCAGGGCCTGCACACCCTCTTAGGAAGTGGCTGAGGACACAGGGTCTGGCAGAGCGGCGCTGCTGCCCTGCTGTCCCCGACAGGCCACTCCCTCCCTCCGCGCAGGTTCAACAGCGAGGAGGTGTGCACCTGCCCGCAGGCCTCTGTGCCACAGCAGTTCGCCTCGGTGCCCTGGAACTCCTTCAGCCGCGACGTGCTGGCCGCACTGTACGGCTTCGCGCCCATCTCCATGCACTGCAACAAGTCCTCGGCCGTTCGCTTCCAGGTGCAGCCTGGTGCCGGGCTGGGGCGCCGCAGGGACCTGGCCAGTCCCTCTCAGCCACAGCCCTGCTGCCGCCCTCCCCGCAGAGGGAAGAGGACCTCGGCAAGGGGCGAGGGGTGAACCCCAAACAGTGGGCAAGAGGCAACCAGCCAGGGGTGACAGACGGGGCCAAGGTCTCTGGGGACAGACATGTGACACCACGGCAGCCCCAGGGCAGGGCAGGGCAGGGCAGCCTCCCCTTGGGGAGAGCACCACACCATTCGTCTGGGCCCCGACCAGACGTGGGGGGTGAGCCGGGCACAGCAGCGCCTAAAGTAAAGTGCTGGGGCAGGAGCGTGAGAATCCCACGGTGTGAGACCAGCAAGCCAGCCGCTCCTCCTCCTCCTCGGGAGCCAATGGGACCCAAGGCTCCTAATTCATTCCCCCACTGTGGGCTGGGACCCGGACATCAGGCTTGTGCTGGGCATGGGGGCTCTGCAGCCTGGCGTCGGGCAGCAGCCCTTTCCCAGAGCGCTCTGGGAGCTGGGTTCATCGCCAAACCAAACGCCCTGGTGCGGAGGGCAGCATGGGGAGGGCAGCCAGCGCAGCTGGGAACCTGGCATTTGATGCCAGTTTTGGGGGCACAAGGAGGTGGGAGAGGCCTGGATGGCTCTGGGGCTCCTGACCAGCTGAGTCGCTGAAGGAGGGGCATCCACCCAGGGGGGACCCCGAGAAGCAGCTTGGGAGAGGGGAGCTCAGGTCAAGGGAGGGAAGTTGAGGGCAAGAGCCCAAAAGACTACTGGGAAAAGTGGCCAGGGAGGCCTCACCCTCCCTCACCTCCCAGCCTCAGTTTACCTCCTGGTTCCTTCCTTGCAGGGTGAGTGGGATCGGCAGCCCCTGCCTGAGATCATCTCCACCCTGGAAGAGCCCACCCCGCGGTGCCCAGCCAGCCAGGCGCAGCACGCTTCCGGCCCCACGGTGGTCAGCATTGGCCACAGCAGAGGCTGAGAGCAGCCCTGCTCCTGACCCCAGCTCCGTGCTGTCCCATGGCTCACGCTGGTTCTGTGCTCCTCCGTCTGCTCCAGCTCCCCACCCACCCACCCCCGGGTCTCTGCGGCCATGCAGTTCTGTGGACCAATGTAGTCTCTTCCACCCCTGTGGACTCTGTAAAGGACCAGGACTGAGGGGCCCGGGCCCGCCTGGCGCCTCCTGGGACAGACTCACCCCACGCATGGCACACCCCTGTTTTTGGTGGTCCCTGTTGGTGTGTGCGGTGCCAGTGCTACTTAAACACTCCCGGCAGTGTGGCTGTGTTCCTGTGGGCGGCTTCCTGCCTTTCGATGAGCGTGCAGCTCGTCAGAGGCTTGCCCACGAAATTGCTCCATTGCAGAGTAAATAGACATTTTCGCCCACCCAAAGGGAAGCCCTAATTGTCCCCACCGCCGAAAGGAGCTGGCCAAGAGCCAGCAGGATCGCAGGGAAATGTCAGGGTCCTGGGGCGTCCTGGGAAGTGTCAGGATGGGTCCCATGGCTTCGGCAGGTGTGGGGACCAGCAGGGAGCAGGCCAGGCTCAGGACCTAGGCCGTGCTGTCAACCCCTGGTCCACCACTAGAGGGCTGTGACAGGCGGGCCACCTGGCTCCCCGGCCTCAGCCTTCTCTTCTGTTAGATGGGCTAACATCAGGTGGGGTGGCCAAGGAACACTCTGCGGAGTGGTTGTTGGAGCCAAGGCCCCATGCCTGCTTCCGAGCTCCTCCTTGGGCCCGGTGTGGTGCCACGCACTCCGTCCGTGGCCAGGCATTGCCCTGAGTCTCAGGCTGGTCCGGGTCAACCCCTAAGGCCGGCTCTGCTCTCTGACCAATTCTGGAGGGAGTGACAGATTCGACTGTGTTCAGCCTCATCAGCAGAACGCTGCTGCCCTGGGAAGGAGGAGCTGATGGATGGGCCCTGGGTCTCTGCAGACACCAGCTCAGCAGCCGCATCCCCACTGGCCGGCACTTTATTATGGAGTGAACGCACCCAGCCGCTCCGCAGCACACACTGTAAATCACGGCTGTCCACCACTCTAAGGCACAGGGCGAGACCGCTGCGAAAAGCCAGGCCCACACCACGGCCAGTGCCCTGGGCCGTCTGTCATCTTCACAGCGCCAGTGACAGGTGGAGCAGCCCCTCCCTGGCTGGTGACAAAACTCTAGGCATCCCAGGCTCTGAGAAGGCTGTGAGGGGGTCTCGTTGGCTGCAGGGCAGCCAGACCTCCCACTGCCACTGCACCCAAAGGGCCCTGGTGTGTGCCACACACAGACAGGAAACAGAAGTGCCTTGCCTGGGGTCCCAGAGGAGCTGGGCGGGGACTCGTTCCCACCCCACAGTGCCGTCCACAGTGACACCCCCAAACCCACAGTTCCTCCCGCGCCTGCTCCCAGTTTGCCTGCTCCTCCCACAGAGACCGCACTGGCACAGGCCCCCACCCCATCTGGGGTGACCAGCGCGTCCTCGGAGCCGCCCCTTTGCACAGCTCCGGGTCTCCCCACGCGGGACACGGTGGCCTGTGAGTGATGCCTTGAGGGAAAACTCAGGCAGGAGTCGAGCACGGGAGGGCAGCGATCTGAGACCCCGTGCCTGGGGGCTCTCAGAAGGCTTCCGACCTGCAGAAGCAGAGGGCAAGGCTTCCTAGCTCTCCCGCTGCCCCACATCTGCGAGGCAGCCATCCTGAGGAGCAGCCTCGGCCCATCCACCTCCCTGCGTCCTTCCTGCACCGGGGCAGGCAGTACCAGTCAGTCTCCACCCACTCCGCCTGATTCCCGGCTCTCACCCCAGGGCTCCAGCCGCCCAGTGCCACTCAGCTGAGCTCCAGCTTCTACGCCACTTACCAAGTTTTACTTCACAGCCTGGGAAGCTCACAGGGTTACAAAGTGAGGCCCCTGTGCCCAAAACCATACAGGGAGGCCTGGGGTGAGCTAGGCACAGACCCCGGTCAGTAGGCACTGGACAGGCCATGGTGATCTCTGTCCATTCCTAGCTTGTGGTATAGCAGGCCAGGCCCAGGCTGAGGACAGGGAGGGCCCAGTGGGGGGGACAGGTGTGCTCCTGCTTCGGGCCCCTCAGTAGATCCCCTTCACCCTCTTGTTGTCGGGGTCGAAGGGGGATTTCAGGTGGACCTGGGCAGTGTACGGGACCCCCATCCTCTCCAGGACATAGTCCCCACTCTTCACGAAGTCCAGCGAGACCTAGAGGCAGAAGGGACAAGGTTCACTCCCGTCACCAGGTGGGCACTGCTGCTCCTCTCACCCGTTCCCAGGGAGGCGACTGTCCCTGTGCCCAAGCCATCCTCCCTGGTCCAAACATCGGCAGAGTGGGAGACCACATCCCACAGACCCAGGGGCTCTGCCCTGGCACTTGGGGGGCTCCCTGTTTTCCAGATGGGGTCAGATGAGGGAGGCATCAGCGGAGCCCTGCGAGCCCAGGTCTGGCAGCCGGGGGGCTGCCACAGGCCGCACCCTTCCACCCCAGGAATTCCAGATCCCTGGGAAACAGGCAGGACTGCAGCGGTCCCTGGACCTGGGCCAGCACGACAGCTGTGCAGGCAGAGCAGGAGGCTGGCGGCCAGGCCACGGGTCCTCAGGGGCAGGCAGGGATGGAACAGCTCTGGATAGCGTGGCCTCCTCAGCCCACGCCCTGGCTCGGCTTTCCCAGCAGCCCTTGAGGGCCAGTGGGTGGCACCGTGCCAGGCTTGGCTCAGCTGATGATGCCACACTCGCCATGCCGTGGGACGTCTGAGCCACCTGGGGGCCTGCTTGTCCTGGGCAGCAGTCACACTGGGGACAGCTGTGGGGTGTACCTGGGACCCCGGCCTCAGACTGTGGGGCCTGCTCACATCCCTAGGAGCTCAGGACAAAGACAGAAAGAAAACCTACACAGCTTTCTGTGCCTCAGAGCTTTAGGGGTGAGCAGGGAGGGAGGCAGGCGTCCGGGAGCGGGCAGCACAGGGCAGGCACAGTCCCTGCTAGCAAACACCCTTGTGGCCACAATCCCGCCCCACCTAGTCTCTCCTCTGGAAATGGAGCAGGGCTCTGCACCACTGCTAAAGCACTGGAAAACGTCTGACAACTCCCAAGGTCCTGATCTACAAATCAGGTAAATTGCAGTGGCCCTGACCACCGGCTGGAGGGGCCCTCGGGTCCTGGCCTCTGGGGCCACATTCAAGACAAAGCACCCCTGACCAGCGGGAAGGCTTTGAGGGAGAAGGCGAGCCAGCACCCACTCTCCTGTGTGAGGTGTGAACCCTCCTGGGCTGGGACCCAGCTTGCTTCCCTGGGGTCAGAGATGGCCCCAGGTATCCACTCTACATGGCAATGTGTCTTGTAAGGAGATCGGGGGTCCTGTCCCTGTTTTATAGATGAGAAAACGGGCTCAGAAAGCGGCCCCTTATCCAAGGTCACAGAGCAAGGAAAGGGCAGAGCCCCAAGGCCGATGACATCAAGCTGGGTCCAGCCTGGTAGCTGCACGCAGAGCCCCGCCCTTCCAGCTGCTAGCCCTGCCCGGGCACAGCTGGGCCCTTCCCTGCCCATAGCTGCAGCCCATGGGCTGGAGCCAGGCCAGCACCTTGGGACCACGCAGGGCTAGCACAGAGCCCTCCCTCAGGGCTTCCCTGCCTATAAGTCCCGTGACCACTCCCGGGTGGACTGGGCTGGAGGAGGGAGGAGCGTGGTCCCAGAAAGAAGCTCAGGTGACCTTGGTTGCACCCCCCAGCAAGAGAGCTTGCAGCAGCTCAGGGGCATGGTCTCCAGCTTAAGGAGCTCAGGGGCATTAGCCTCTACCCCACACCTCCTCTAACCAAGAAAATCCCAGAGCTGCCAAAGCCAGATCCCTTCAGAGAGCAGAGAGACAGGACGAGCTCTGTGTGGCTGGTCAGTCGTCCTGTTGCGGGGGGCGGTCCCGAACTGCCTCCCTCCTTCCTGCCACCCAGCCCTCAAACGGCCAAGGCAGGGAGCTCACCGGCCCGCCGCTGGGATCACAGATGTAGCCATAGGCGATGGTCTTATCCACGGCGAACCCGAAGTCGGCCCGCCGCACGTGGCCCACCACCTGGCCATCCCTCCAGATGGCCTCCAGGCCGAACATGGGTACCTTCCTGGAAGAAGCAGGAGAGAGATCTGGGACCCCAGATTCCAGGGCAGAGGATTCCTGCTGTGGCCTAGGGGGACTGGGAGCTGGGCCCCACAGCACAGGGTTGTCCCCGGGGACCCTGCCGGCCCCACTGTAGCTGGGAGTGAGCAGGTGGTGAGCGGAAACCATGCAACTGTGGCTGCCCGGTGCCAACAGGAGCGAGCGCGTGTGTCTGCAGAAAGCCCGAGCGGAGGCCCTGCTCCACGGCATGTCGCAGTAATCTAAACATCCGTCACCCTACAGCCTGCTTTTCTGCGGTCATCTGTTAGCACAGTAGGGCACCACTTCTCCATGATGTGTACGGAGCAGTACTCACTGCCACCGTTTGGAAAACTCCAAATAGGAGACAAAGAAACAAGGAACTGAAATCACAGAAATGCAGCAACCCGGGGGCTGGTGCCATCCACACACTGCAGTCCAGCGGTGCCTAAGCAGAGCCAAAGGGCCCGGCAGGGTGGGGCCACCTGAGTAACCCCCGGACAGACGGGAATGCAGACGTCCTGCCTCCTTCAGCCCTGCCGCAGCCTGGTAGAGTGGTGCTGGTGTTTCTCAGGGCTCCCCAGTGTGCCCAGCACTCAGCACAAAGGACAGGGCCTCTCTCTGTCCCCCAGGGCCCACGCAGAAGCTCAGGCAGGAAGGCCCTGCTCCGAGCACAGAGCAGTGTGTCCCAGGCTGCCACAGAGCCAGACATCAGGCTGCAGGATGGTGACAGATGCCAGCCCTACTCCTGGTCTCCTGTGTCTCTTGACCCCACTCTGCGGACCTCAGGAGTCTGGGAGGAGTGGCCATGTGTGCTGGGCTATCAGGACCTCTGGAGACAGGGTCTCGCCTTGGTGACAAACGAAACCTCTGGGGACCCAAGGGTTCCAGGAGCCTGAGAACTGGGCTGGCTCTTCCTCCGCCACGGCCCTATCCTGGGTGTGACCCTGCCCTGCCGCCTGCCATCCCCGTGTGTAAGTGGACAGTGGCCCCTCTGCCCCCATCACAGGGCCATGGGAGGACCTGAGAGGGCCAGGAGAGGGTGGCCGGCGGTAACCAGTGACCAGGCTCTGGGGTCCAGGCCTGGGTCCCCCACCCCCAGGCTCCAGCTTGGTCCAGCAGCACCCCTCTCTCCTGGTCCCCATTTGCGGGATGAGCCTTCCCTGCATCCCCCTGGCCTTGCAGGACCCACTCGGCCTCAGACATGGATCTGTGTCCGCCCGAGTGTAGGACCACCAGCCTGGTTTGTGTCCAAGCTCTGCCGTCCCCAGGGTGGGCCTCCGCCAGCCTGTTTCCCCATCTTGAGGGCTGCAGTGTGTGTTCTGGGGGAGGCATCTCCAGTGGGCAGTCACCAACTGGGGGACGAGGACACTTACTCTTCCACTGTGAAGCACACGAGACGCCGGCGGAGGCCCGCGGCCCGCTGCTGCTCCAGGGCCTCACGGCCCAGGAAGGGCACGGCCGACTTAAGCTTGCAGGTGAAGGCCAGGCCGGCTTCCAGGGGGCTGTCATCAGGCCGCAGGTCTGCATGCCAGTGCCGGTAGCCTGGGGACAGATGCCATGGGTCAATGCACAGTGGTGGGGACAGGCCCATCCCTCCCACCATCCTGGCCCCTTCCTCATTGCTACATAACCACCTGCGGTGGGGTTAGGAGCATCCTAGACCCCATAAGTTGCCCCTGGTGTGAGCCCTGGAGCAGGCTGGTCCCGTACCATCAGGCTGGGGACAACAGGGTAGATGTTGAGGGGTGCTGGGCAGCCCTGGCAGAGGGCTGGGGGTGGGGAGCTGGAGTAAGGTGTATCCTTAGCCTCTTTGAGGCTCTGGTTTCTGTCCCAGCATGGAAACACCTAATCCCTCAGGGCAGCACCTCACCTGTCTGAGTTCAGGTGTGTGCGGTGTAGGGCCATTGTGTGGTCACGGGGGCGGGAGGAAATGAGCAATGTTGGGAGAGAGGAAGTGTGGTGTGGAATGAAGGAAGCAGCAATGGGTGGGACCCCCGGGGCCTCCAGACCCGGCACCCACCTTTCTCAATGCTCAGGGAGTCGATGGCACGGTACCCGGCGTTGACAAGGCCATGCTTGGCTCCTGCGGTCATCACGGCCCGGTACACAGGCACGCAGGAGGCCCGGGGAACGTGCAGCTCCCAGCCCAGCTCCCCCACGAAGGACAGCCTCACAGCCCGGACCTGGGGAGATGTGGGCACGGCTGGGCATGGCCAGGCAGACACGAGACCCAGACCCTGCCACCACTTGCCAGGGACCACACCCACTGTCACCACTGCCATCAGCGCTGGCCTGGGCCAGACTAGGAAACGGGGCCTTGCAAGGCGTGTTCCCAGGGCCGCTCTGCATCCTCACGGTGCAGGAAGGGGTCCCGCTTTGGGAGTGGGGGCACTGTGTTCACTGTCCCCAGACCTGAGGGACTTAGTTTTCTAGTGGTCACACCGATGATCTCAAACTGGGGTCTTGAAGCAATAGAAAGGGACTCTCTGGGTGTCCAAAACCAAGGATGTCAGGCCATGGCCCCTGTCCTGGGCAGATGTCCAGGGAGGGACCTTCCATCTCTTCCAGCTTTTGGTGCTCTGATGCCTGGGCTGTGGGCGCCTCACCCCAGCCTCGGGCCCTGTTTTCCCATGGCCGCTGCCCCATGTACGTGCCTCCTCTTCCATCTCTTAGATTGGTTTGGTCACTGAATTGTGGCACCCTCCTCACCTTGAATAATCTCTACTTAGTTACATAGTTCTCACCCTAGTTATGTCTGCAAGACCCTGCTTTCAAATCAGGCCACATCACAGGCTCAGGACAGGGTCAGGACACAGATGAACCTCAGGCTACGGAACAAGCCACAACCTCAGGCAAGCCTCATGGCTTCCGTCCAACCTCGACTTCCTGTCTGGACAGCAGGGTCAAGAGCCCTGCTCTGTCCTCCTCAGCAGCCCCAGGCCATACTTGATGGGGGCAGGAGCATAGAGTAAGGGAGCAGCTGAGCCTGTCGTTCAAGAAGTCAGCCATGCACCAGTGTGGTCAAGCTGGGCCCAGCTCTGGGATCTGGAAACTGATGCAGCCTCTGCCTCAGGGCTCAGGCCCAGGCAGGGGAAGACACAGTGGGGAGAGAAGGACCCGGCTCAGGGGTACAGCCCTGACTGGCTGGGTCTGCAGACAGCTGAGCTCTTTGCAACCATTCCACCCCGATGGCCCCTGTGAGGGTGGGGACTACCTGCATCATGTCCTTGGGCTGATGCCAGAACAGAGGTGCCCAGAGGGGCACTCAGCCCTACTGGGAGTGTCCCACACTCCCACATACCAGAGAGGCCACAGCCAGCACGGGCTCTGCCCTGCCCAGAGGGACATAACCTTTCTGCACATGTGGTTTGGACGCAGGTCACCTACATCCAACAACTGCTACCCACATCCTAGCCCTCTGGCAGGCTCTGGGCCCCCGTGGCCCAGGGGTAAGGCCTGAGTGCTCAGCTGAGAAGGCCACGAAGCGCACAAAGGGACATGGAGGTGCAGAGCAGGAGTCGTGGGGCTGCTCAATGCTGGCAACAGGGCAGGTGAGGGCGAGTGGGCCCAAGGCTTCGTGTCTGTGCTGTCTGCCGGCCCCACCAGCTCCTCTCCAACCTGACACCTTAATTGCATCACTGTACCTGCCCTGGGGCTGGATTCCAAAAGCTTTTAAAGTAGCGCAAATTTGCTCCGAGCTGCCATTTTCCTGGGCCTTTCAGAAACCTCAAAATTGAAGCAGAAAATGTACCATTGACATTTCTCAGCTCGCCTGGTGCAAGGCGTAGGCCCCTGAAGAAGATGGCCTTGTCACCGGTTCTAATTTTAGCGGGGCTCAGAGCCAGCCTCACTGGGAAACAAGAAGAGGACTCTGAGCGTGCTCAGAGCCGCCCTCAATGGCAGACCCTGCTTGGACACTGCTCCTCACCCACTCCGGGAGCTGTGCGTGGACAGAGTCCCCAAGGATGTCCTCTCTTGCCTGGCTCCGCTTCCAGCAGCTCAGAGTCCTGAGGGGCTGGGCCTGGGCCTCCCCTGTGTCCTTTTGCCCAGGCCAGCCCAACTCCCGGCTCCCGGCAGAGAGAGGGCAAAGGCCTGGGAATTGCGTTTGCCTCCGGAGTTTGCAGAATTGCTGCTTCTCCAGAAACTGAAGCAGTGGGGTTGGAGAAAGGTCTCATCTCTTCCCCCAAAGACGCACAGGAGTGGACAGGCTGCAGTATTGGCTCAGGCAGCTTTCACAGCCCCACGTAAACCGGGCATGGTGACAAACGCCTGTAATCCCAGCACTCAAGAGGCTGAGGCAGGAGGATTGAGACCAGCCTGGCCTACAAAGTGAGCTCAAGGTCAGCCTGAACTGCATAGCGAGACCCTGTCTCAAAAAGATAAAAAAAGTCCCATGTAGAGGTGGAGCTCTTGCAAGATGAAGCCTCTAGCAATGGAACTGGGGAAGGTTGGCAGGAAGAGTCTTAAACCAGGTTTCGTGTGAGCTCTTCTCTCACCCTAAAGATTACACACACACACACACACACACACACACACTCACTCACTCACACACCACATGAATTCAGTAAAGCTTCAGGCTACAAAGCCAACATGCAAAACACAGTTGTGTTTCTATATAATAGCAATGAACAACGCAAAGACAAAGAATTAAGATAATTCTATTTACAATGTCATCAAAAAGAATAAACTATCTAAGAATAAACCTAACCAAGGAGCTGAGAGAAATTAAGACAGCACAAATAAACTCAAAGCCCCTGTGTTCTTGGACTAGAAGACTGAATACTGCTAAGATGTCCAAACTACCTAAAGAAATCTGGCGATTCAGTTCAATCCTTATCAAAATCCCAATGTATTTATTTTGCAGACATGGAAAAAATCTGGCTTGCAAAGGGACCCTGGCCAGGATGCCAGAGAGCCGGATCCGAACTCCCACTGAGGACCAGCTGGAGGGTCCAACCAGAGCAGACCTCAGCCAGGTGTCCCGAGACTGGGGCAACAGAGGCAGGGTGGGGTGTGGGCTCCTCCCTCTGGGGCTGACTCTGCCTGCAACGGGAATCAGAGCCAGGAGAGGCGGGGAGCCCGCTGCCCCTGGAGTTGGGAATCCTGTTACCAGGGCCTACATTTAACTCTGCAAGCAAGGAGAGGGCTTTGTGAAGCTGGGCAGCCTGTGGGCAGCCCCCACAGGGCCGAGGGCTCTTCCTGTGTGCCCCAGCCCCGGCAGGCCCAGAACTGCTTGGAAAGCCACAGAGCTTCCAGCCTGCAGCGCCTTCTCAGGGTCTCCCATTCCTTGACCGCAGAATACAGCTGGCCGGGGACCCTCTCGTCCCACATGCTTCTGTGAACTCAGCGCCCCTTAATGGTCATGGCTCTGCGGGTGTCAGGGGACTCTGCAGGACAGCACTGGCCCCCAAGGGTCAGAGGACCCTCCCTCTGCCTGTCACTTGTTCGACTGGGGACACGTGGGTGTTGAAGGCTGCACAGGATGGCAGGCGAGGGGCCTGTCCTTCCCCTGGGCCACACAGCACCATGTCTCTGGTGCTGGCAGTGCCTACTAGAATGGTCAGTGGTCGGCAGGCACAGGGGTCACCAGCTGCCAGAGCAAGGGCAGAACCTGGGCTCATGGCCGGGGCACACAGTGGGTAGCTGGTCACACGTGTGCTTCTACACAAGGTCCCACACAGAAGCAGCAGTGACCCAGGCAGCAGAAGGCATCCCCAGCCACAGACACCCACCTTCAAGCCTCCGGCCGGGTCCGGACACAGTCCAGGCCCCACAGGGACAACTCTGCCCGAGCCCTCCCTGCTCTCTCGGCTGACACGGGACAGAAGAGAGCACGGCCACCACCAGAGCAGGTCCTGGCTGAGCTCTGTGACACAGACTTGGGCTGAAACTGGGGACCCAGCAGTCTCACCCTTAGCAGCTGACCTCGCCTGACGGTCACAGTACACCTCATGGGTGCGCCTGAGATCTCCCCTGTGAGAGTGCAGGCAGGGGCACCCACGCTTGTCAGCAAAGGAAGCTGGCTCAGGGCAGTCCCGCAGAATGAGTGACAGCCAGCCTGGGGGCAGGATGTTCTGCAGCATTTCCCAATTTCCACGGTGTGACTGCTCCCACCGTGGCTGATTTCAAGCTGCGACGACTTGGCAACTGGCTCATTAGTCTCCCTCCACTTGGACCTGTCGGCTCCTGCGCGCTGGGAGAGCAGGTTCTGATCCCCACAGGGAGAGCCTCGCAGGGTCAGGGGCAGAGCGAGCTTCTCCCCGGTGTCCTGGCTCAAGAGCCGAGCCCAAGACACCAGCTATTCTTGCCTGCACTCAACTTCTGAGTATCACTGGGTACTGAGCGCTGAGATCATGTGCTCTGCTGGGAGGAAGTGTGCGTTTGGGGACAGGACCCCACCAGCTGCCACTAGCTTTGCTGTGGAGCATGAGGGCACCAGAGCTGGCCAAGGGTGTAAACATGGCCCAGTGCTCGAGTAGATGCAACACCCAGACAAGGGCACTGGCCCAACCCCTTCAGAGCGCATTAGCTCAACAGCAGGTGCATCCTCCAGGCCAGTGAGTAAAGGCAGGGCCAGGAAGGCAGAGACCAGACGTGTGGCCTGCTGCAGGGTGTGCGGTCCCGAGCCCTCAGAAGTTGGTGGTGCAACTGGAGGAGTTTCCCTTTTCCCCCTGATCCTAAAAACACTCCCTAGGGGACTGCTCAGGCTCACCCACCGGTCTGGCTCAGAGGCTCACAGGGTGTGAGGTGAGGGTGGCAGCAGTTCTGGTGATACGGCTGGATGGTGATGGTGGTACTAGTGTTGAAAACCCTAGAGGTGATGATGGCAGTAACAACAGTGGTGGCAGGGTGGTTGGTGATAGTGATGGTAACATGGCAGTAATGGTGATGGTGGCAGTGGTGGTGATGGTGGTGGTGTTGATGGTTTTGATGCTGGCAATGGTGGTGATGATTTTGATGGTGGTTCTCGTGGTGCTCTAGTGGTGCTAATGATGGTGGTGGTGGTGATGGTGCTGCTGGTGGTGGTGATGGTGAAGGTGGTGGTGATGGTGGTGGTGATGATGATGGTGAAGGTGGTGGTGATGGTGGTGCTGGTGGTGATGGTGCTGGTGGTGGTGGTGCTGGTGATGGTAACGGTGCTGGTGGTGGTGGTGGTGGTGATGGTGGTGGTGATGGTTGTGGTGGTGATGGTGGTGGTGATGGTGATGGTGAAGGTGGTGCTAGTGATGGTGGTGATGGTGGTGATAGTGGTGGTGATAGTGATGGTGTTGTTGAGGATAGCAGGGGTGATGCTGGCAATGGTGGTGATGGTTTTGGTGGTGGTGAAGGTGATGGTAGGGATGATGACTAGAATCCAGTTCTCAAAAACAAGAATAAATAAAATGGATGATGCTCAAACCACCCTGCACACATGAGAGCTCCCCTGAGGACTTGAAGTCTCTTCAGTAGCTGCTACCCCCTCTAGTCTGTGGTCCCATCCTTGGGCAGGCTGGGGCTGCCAAGGCCTGTCCTCCAGCCTTCCTCAGAGGAGGGCCCTAGCCCTGCCAGCTGGGGCGTGGGAGTCCCAGGTTTCTAGCGGGGCAGAAGCCTTGGATCATCCCTAAGGACACTGTCTGCACCCGCAGACAACAGCAGGTGAGCAGGGTGGCACCTGGAGAGGAAGCTGACCTCATTCTACCCAGGCCTGCTTCTTGTACTTTCCTTGCAAGCAGGCGTCACTGTCCCAAGTGATGGCAGAGAGCATGTGTCCAGACTGCAGCCACCACGCCCTTCTCGCAGACATCACGGAACAGGCTCGTGTGCCCTCTGGCACGCTACAGCCTCTGCACCGTGCACAGGTTCCACGCGGAGTTTTTAGGTAGCAGCTGCCACCCACATGGCAGATGCCCGCTATGTGGACACCTGGGAGTCCCCAGCCGGCGGGTCGGGTTTATCTAATGTGCGCGGGCATGGGGAAGCAGCACCTTGAACCAATCGAGTCCTGATAGCACCACAGCTAGGACCTCTCACCATCAGGGAAAGAAATTCAATTTCCCTTTGACTTGAAATTAATTTTCAGAAGAAAATTGCTTTATCGCTACGCCTCAGGACGGCTTCCAGCCAGCTTCTGCGGCTTTGCGGAGAGGACCTGTCCTCAGCCAAGGGGTCCTGTCCTCGGCCGAGGAGCCAGGAACACTGTGTCTGGCCTAGGACCAGCCAAGCTGAGCTCCAGGAGACACGTCCCGCCCCTGCCCCCGGGAATCTCCCTGGCCTCCAGGCAAATATTTGGGGAGCAAGAACAGCTGGTCTGTTGGCTGCCGAGCGAACAATCACCTCCCCCCTTCCTTCCTCCTCTAGGAATCTACGGACTGCAACCCTGGCACAGACCCCAGCATCTCAGAGAAGCCCTACTGTGAACCAGCAGCCGTGGGATCCACAGGCCACCAACAGCCAGAGACCTCTGCTGTGGGGCCGCAGCTGCCCCAGGGGTTGCGGCTTCAGCCACCACCCGGGTCTGCAGCTCATCACTCCGCAAGGCTCGCCAGACCAGGAGGAGGCTCACCGGGCTCAGCACACATTCCTCTTGCACAGCTGGCTGGCCGGGAGCCAGCTGATCACCGATAGATACTCCGCCCGGGCTGCGCTCCGGCCCCAGAACCCTTGCGCGGCCAGGACAGCTCGTCAACATGTTTTGAAGCCAGCACACAATATCGTTTAGGAGAATTTGAAATTCCCCAGGACCCAGAGAGAATTCAGAGTCTGGACAGACCAACAGGACAGCCCAGAAAGGATTTTAGACATCGTCTAGACTTTGTGCCGCAGATGGGGAAACTGAGGCCCAGAGCTGTCCCACAAAAGGCTGATGCAGATGGAACTCAGGCGTCCGGCTCCCCCTGCTCGGGGTCTCTGGCTGACCTGCTTCTGCCTCCCACCTGCCTTTGGGCCCCACAAGGACCCAGGCAGCAACTAGCTTCTGCACCTGGAAAGAGTCCTGACCTGACTTCACCACCAACTGCCGGCCAGGAATGAGGGGACCCTGTGTCTAGGGCTTGGGCCACACGGCAATGCATGGCCTGGGCCACTGAGGACAGCCTTCCTGGCCAGCCAAGGCCGCCCACGGACACCAAGGGACAGGACCTTGTTCCCTTTCGCTCACGCTTGCCTTGGACTCTCAGGAGAAGGTGTGGGGCAGGGACCAGGTCTCCAGCTGGGCTCTGTCTTATGTACCCTCAGCCTCCCAGGCTGTGTCTCACGGGAGCAGGGCCACTGGCCCCCCAAGGTCACAGCGAAATGCCAGGATTCAGTTGAGGGTCCCCAGTGGAGCCAACCCTGCCTGGTCGGTGGCCCCGTTGGGTGGAGGTCTGGCCTCTCTCACAGACACCCCGCATGACTGGAGGCTGAATGGGGCTGGGTGTCCTCCCAGACCAGAAGTGCCTCACACAGCCAGTCTCCCCGAGCATCGCCCACTTAGAGGGCACTCCGAGCCAGGACAGCACAAGCACTGCCAGGAACCACCATGGATGACAGGTGACTTCAGGGTCAGCAAACTGCGTCATGCGAAGACCGAGCCCTCAGAAGCCCACACGATGTCTGAACACAGGTGAGGGGCTCAGTCCCCATGGCCCCAGGGCAGCTGGCAGAGTGGGGAGGCACACAGCTTCAGCAGAGAGCAAAGCCGAGCACGACACATGCGCTTGTTCACGCTATAGAAATGTCCCCAGGGCCCTACGGTGACACACAGTGGGCCACCGGGTCTTTGCCAGAGGGACCGGTCAGCCATACCCCAGCTTCTCAAAGGAGAAGGAAGAAGGCCCCGCGAGGCCAAGGTCAGCTTGCCAGAGTGAGGTCTCAGTAGCCCCTTCACTGCACACTTAGGGTTGGAACAGAATGAGATATGTATGTGTTCTGGGGATCAAAACCAGGGCCTTTACACTGGGCCACCGCCACAGCCCTTTTGTTTTTATTTTGAGACAAGGTCTAGCTAAATTGCCCAGGCTAGGCTCAACTTAATATCCTTCTGCCTCAGCCTCCCAGAGTTCTGGGAGTGCAGGCATGTGCCACCGTGCCCAGTTTATTTCATAGATCACCAGTAAGCCCGCCCCAGGGGACAGTGAGAAGCAGCCAGCATGGCCTCCACCCTCCCGTCGGCCCCACCTTGCGCTTGGCCCACCCCAGCGCTGGCCTGGCTCCTGGGCCCCCAGCTCTGTGCAGCCAAGCAGCCCCGCCAGGCTCAGAGGCCGCCGACCAGCACAGGGCCGGCCCCAGCGAGGGAGGCAGCTGGAGGCGCTGGTCCCAGTGGCCTGAGCTTGGACAGGAGGAGCCACATTCCCACCTGGTCCTCTCCCTCGAGCACCAAACCGCACTCAGACTGAGCTCGCACCAAGCCTCAGGGCTCCTCATCCTTTCGCAGATCAGAACCAGCTGGAGTGTGCTGTGCCACCCTCTCAAAGTACCAACCTCTCTGGTGCCCACAGGAAGCAAGTGAGACCAGAGGAGGACAGGCGGGCTGGGGCCACCACAGTGTGGCCTCCATCCTCCACTCCGTGGCGCCTCCCCTGCAGTCACAGCCCGATTTTATCTGCTGTGAAGACCCAGACTGTCCCCTGCAGGCCAGCACCTCCACCACCAGAACCCCAGGATGGGAGCACAGGAAGTAGAAACAGGAGCCGTCGAGGTCCTGGGCCCTCAGCCCCCTCCCCCAGCAAGGCCCCGTCTGTGGTACCCCCATCCACAGAGCTCAGCCCAGCAGCGTCCTCCTTTGTGGCAGGCGCTCTGCAGCCGGGGTCACACCCTGCAGACCCGGGCCGCACAGAGTGAGGCTCCCAACAGCGATGCTGCCCACACCCCGGGGCGCGTGGCCCGGTGTGCACACACTGTCACTGTCACAACAGAGGGCATTGCGGTGACTTGGGCAGAGGCCAAGGTGGCTGCCGGGGCCCCGAGATGCCCCCACGGCCTCACTGAGAGTGGCTGTTGGGCTAGAGTGCACAGGGAGGCTGAACAGGCAGATGCAGGCCCTCGAAGATGACCAGTGACTGGCCAGCTTGCGCCTCGGCCTCAGGAGCCAAAGCAGGAATCAGGGTGTTTACTTTCCAGGAAGGAAGCTGAGGCTGGCCGGAGTTGGGGTCCTGTAGGAAGCCCCTGCCAGGAGCCAGGGCTCACTAAGCCCCGGTGCTAACGCACCCACAGTCTCCTCACTGAGAGCCCCGCTGGCAGCTGTCCACTGTCCTGTCCTCTATCTCAGGGTGGCATGGGTGAGGACAGTGCCCTCACTCAGGACTCACCCCCTGCCTGTGACAAAGGGACCCCTGGGCAAGCCCTGGTCCCCACTGCCACCAGCCCCAGTTAGGGAACAAGTTCCAAGGGCGGGATTCTTGAGACCCGCCACATCCTGCTCCCATGCACAAAGGAGGGCAGCGGCCTCCAGCGCCTACCAGGTGCCCAGCAGCTTGCACCAGCTGGTGGGTGGAGAAGGGGAAGGCGGCATCACTCAGGTCTGCGTCCAGCACCTCCTGCAGGATGGCCCGGCTGAGAAATGGACAAAGGAGATGGTCAGCCAGCCACGGGCACCCCCCACCCACTCAGCACTGCCAGGGGCCAGCAGGAAGGCCTGGGGCTGCTGGGTGGGCGGACATGGCCCTGTACCCATGGGGACTATAAAGAAGGTGTATATCAAGACACCATGAGCAGCACAGGCCTGAAATGCAGCAGGTACAAAGGAAGGCCACCTTCCAGCAGCTCACGCCAGACCCCAGAACCCAGTGACCAGGCTGGGACCGGGCTCCGACCTCATCTGAGCCGTCAGGGACAGGTCGGTGTCTGTGAGTCCCACTGGCTCCAGACTGCCCTGGGGTCACCAGAGCTGGTCACGAGACAAGCTACCATCAGTGGCCATGTTTTCATCACTGGACAGCCTGGGCCTGGCCACACCGTCAGCAGGACAGTGTCCTGCTTGGACTCAGGGGCTCGGGTGAGACAGCACCCCAGGAGCCCCGTCTGTGGGCGGCGGGTCTGAGAGGAGGCGAGAGCCTGAGCAGCAACAGCGGTGCCCAGCACCCGCTCGTCCTCCTGGCATCTGTCACCTGTCTGAGGACAGGGGCCACACGCACTGCCCATGCCAGCGGTCACACCCCACTCTACACTGTGGCCTGAGGGATGCCCGCTTGTAGAATCGGACTTCTGGCCTGTGAGCTACTTGGGGGTCCTCTCCTCACTACCTGCAGCCTCCTCCCCATTTGATCGGTGAGCCCTCAGCGCCTGGCTGAGCCATCTCTTCCCTCAGGCAGGGACCCCAGAGCACCCACAGGACCCGGCATCCAAACCCGCCCAGCACAAAGAGGGCTGGGGGTGCAGCATGGATGGTGAACACGCCGGCTGGCACAGCAGGGCGAGCCCCTACTTCCATCCCCCGGGTCCCAGCTGGGCCAGGGCTGTGCCGTTCTGTTTGGGAAAGCGCTGCCGACCCGATCCCAGGCTGCAGAGCTGGGAGCCGCCACCCACGCCCGCCCGAGGCTCAGCTCCCTCACTGTCTGCCAGGGTCCTTATGTAACCCGGCACCCACGTGGCGGCAGCCACTGTCTCGACTGCCTGGAGCCCTGCACCCCACGGGAGTAGGGGAGCAGAGCTGCTCCTGCGGCCCAGGCGGGGGCTCCGACCTGGGCTACAGCCTCAGCAGCACCCAGCACCCCAACCCCAGGGCCCTGTCCAGAGGAGACCCCGAGCAAGACTCCGCCAGCCTCAGCCCTGTCTGCTAAATGGGGACAGAGGTGTCCCTCGCAGCAAGGCCTCTCGGGGCCGCCCGGGAGAGGGTCCAGCGTCTGCAGTTCTGACGGACGCTCCCTCCACCTCGCTCCCTACAGTGCCACGTGGGGCTTTCCGGAAGTTCATTCAGATTAACAATTCGGCCCCACCCTCATTTCAGAGTCCAGGGCCATCAGCTGCTTCCAGCTTGGAGTGGCTCGTTTCCAAAAGTTCTGCTGGGCTGCAGGTCACGGACCCCCACCACCCTCCGTGGCCCAGGAGCTGCACTAAGAGCTGGCCTGGTGGCAGCAGCAGCTTTCCCCTAGGAAAACTGGGGTTCTGTTAGAAAGAAGGAGGATGCTGTGGAGGAGAAGACTAAAAACCTTCAGCCTCTGCGCAGCCCGCAGGTTGGGGCAGCTTCTCACGAGGCCGTCTGCCCGGGCCCTCCCTGCCCACCTGGCTCCCCCAGGCTGAGGCAGCCGCTCCCCTTCCGCAGTCAGTGTAGCTGCACGGGCAGAGGCCCCGGGCACAGGGGCGTCCCCCTGCACCCTGACAGGCAAGCCCTGAGGCCCAGAAGGAAAACCACCCTGCAGCACAGGCTCACTGCAGGCCCGCACCGAGACGGTGTCCCCTGTGCCGTCCCCCCGGGTCAACACCTGCTGCACGCTGCAGCCAGCCCTCTCCCCTCCTCGGGCTGCAGAGAGAACCGGCAGCACCTGCGGCCTCGGGAACACTTGCAGCCAGCTGTCGCTCAGAGCCACACTCGCCCAACTGCACCAAGCAGCCCTGGCTCTCACCTCCTTGCCGCCCGGGGACCCCGGCTTTTCCTCACCACAGCAGCGGAGCCAAAGTCAGGCCGCATCCCCTCTCTCCCCTCCCCCAAGGCAGTCTCCAGACCAGGTGCCCAGGTGCCCCCTGCCCTCACCTGGCTGGGCCCTGGATGCTGATCAGGCCCAGGTCCTCAGAGCAGTCAACGAGCCGGCACCGGAACCTCTGGTCCTGCAGCACGGTGGTGATGTGGCACCAGTTATGCTGGGCGGTGGCCCCGCCCACAGCCAGGTAGTAGCCATTCCCTGCAAGAGGAGTGTGGCTTGGAGTGGGACCTTGGACAGGGGACTTCAGGGTGGCCCAATCCAGCCACCCCATTGCAGAAACCATGGCCGCCTTTGAGGTCAGCCCCCCAGGACTTGGAGCCCACCTTGTCCTGCCCAGTCTCAGGTCCCCTGCCTGGGCCATGCTGGCTCCTGATAGGGAATGGTCTACACCCCCCAGAACGCTACCCACAACCATCCCCAGCTTTCAGCAAAGGAGACTGAGGTTCAGAGCCGATGCACGGTGGGCAGGGTGCCTCCGGCTGGCTGGACACACACAGGCCCCACGGTCACCCACTGCACCCTATATTCCCGGAACCACGCTGGGCTCTGTGGCCTCGGGCCGTGGTGGGCAGGTGAGCAGCTGACAGGAGGAGAGCACAGCCCCCAACATGGCCACAGGCCAGACCCAACAAGGGAAGGAGCAGCTGGGCACAGGCAAGGCACTGCTGGGCTCCGATGGGTGGTCCTGAGGCTTCAAGCTGGGGATCCTCCAGGCATGGTCACCCCGAGTATCCTGTCCTCCTGTGCTCCCCGAGGCTCCCTGCCTGTCCTTGGAGACCCAGCCTAAAGGCCTCCACCTATGGGAAGCTCTTCCTGCCTACCAGTACAAGCAGCACCCCCTGGTGGATGGCAGCCCTGGCCTAGACATGATTCTGCAGCTTGATGGCCCTGATTCTCGCCTGTTGAGCCTCCACATTCTCATCTGTAAAATGGGCAGAACACCAACGTTGGGCGCCGAAGGGGGCCCACTGCAGGGGAATCTGACTCCATCAAAGTCCTTCCTCTCTTCCTTCTCTGGTAACCCAGGAGCCACAGCACAGAGAGAATCAGGAACCAACCACCCCAGGGGGCTCCCAGGGCAGGCTGCTACTAGAGGACGCTGGGCATCTGATGGGCTTCTTTGGCCCACGCCAGACCAATGGCAGTTGTGGGGGACCTGCCAAGCCGAAGGCACCAGGGTCCGTCCTCAATACCCTCCCAGCTGGTGGGAGCACCCCATCTCGCTCTCTACACTGTCCGCCCATTTCCACCGCATGGGGCCACTTGTAATATTCCCAAAGCACGGACACAGATATTACAGTGACTCTCGGGCTTCCCAGTGCACGGCCTCCTGTCCCAGCCAGGCTCTGCCATGCCCCTGCATTCTCACACGGGGCCCGAGGGTCACCGAGGGTCGCACAGAAGCACCCAGAGCGGTGCACACTCGCCAGGCAAGCTTTCAGCCTGGATAGAAAGTGCCCAGGAGCTGATTTCTCGGGCAGTGCAGTCCCCAGGCTCACGCTGCCTTGGACGGCTCCAGGCCCTGCTCTGGAGACCAGCAGCTCCGCTCTGCCTGCCTCGTTCTCCCCCCGTTTCCATCCGGGTTTGAAGGTTCTCATCCGTCCTGCACCTGTTGCAGTTGCAGACTGGGCTGAGGTCCTGAGGCCCTGGCTCCTTCCTGTCAGGTAAATCTCTGCAGGGTCTGAGAGGGGAGGCAGAGGCAGGAAGGCTCCACCCCTCAGCTTGGAGTCCACTGAGGCCTAGTATCTTATCCTTGTCCCCAGCCCTGTACCCCAACTCTGATGCTTACCGCACTCAGCAAACCCTGCTCTCCCCCCCAGAATTACAAACACCACAGGGCCGGCTGGGACCCTCTGCATCTCAGGCACAGCAGGGGCTAGGCAGCCACCGTGGGCATGAGCAGAGCCCTGATGGCTGACCACAACCCTCCTGCACAGCAGCACGAAGCCACCCTGCTGTCCCTGCCCAGCAGTCTCAGGGGAGGTGGCGTGGCCCTTGTGGGGGGGGGGACACATGGCTCTGCCCCTCCTCCCGCCCCTCAGGATGGGTGGAGGTGATGAGAAGCAGACAGAACATAAGGTGCTGAGTGGCCCATCACTGGGGGCATGCAAGCAGAAGGGAGGGATGAAGAGGGCTGTTCGGGCATCAGCCTGGACATGGACTAAGCTGGACACCCGAGGCCCTTCCAGGCCTGCAACTGAAAGTTACAGAGGCCAAAAAGACAGCTTGGCATGAATGTTGGTGGCAGGAGGCACGCTGGTACCACTCAGAGGCAGCAGCGGGGACAGCTTCCAAGCCACGACTGCGGGGCTCTGGCACAGCGGCCCGGGCAGAGCCTGTGCTGGGCAGAGCCTGTGCAGGCCAGAGCCCAGGCTCTACCTGCCCGCCCTACACCTCTTACCTTCGAAGGCAGGGGCCACCAGGCAGGCCTGGGTCCCGGGGGCCAGGCAGCTGACTGTCAGGTCACTCTCCGTGCCGCCCCTGTGGTTCAGCATGCAGGTGTACACCGTGGAGCCTGGGGACGGGACCTGGGTCAGTGCAGGTCGAGGGGGCCCCCCGGGGGCGACGATGTGTGGGGTGAAGAGTGCAGCAGGCAGCTCTGCCTCAGTCGGTCAGAAGAAGCCGGGGCAGGTCACCAGGGCCGTGACCTGTTAAGGCCCTGCTGAGGGACTCAGCTTTGGTCAAGTGACCCAGAGAGGGCCGGCGACGGACAAGTCAACCACGTCTGTCACCCTGAAAGGTGGGAGTACGGTGATGCGTCCCTGAAGTGAGGGTTGGTAGAGCGAGCCCTGGTGAGCAATGTGACCGTGGATTGGTACACAGGAAGTGCAGAAGGGGCAGCACAGGTGGCAGAGGTGGGCGGAGGATTGGGGGTGGCTCGAGGGGGCTCCCACATGAGCAGAGGGTTGCGTCATGCGAGGCAGGACACGGGTTGCTTGGCTGTGTTACAGGTTGGTTGTAACCCCAGCTGGACCTGCTGAAGTCCTGCAAAGCACCGATGTGACTTTATTGGGAACCAGGGTCATTATCCGTGCTGTGAAACCCGGCGAGGCACAGCATGGCTAACACCTCGATCTCCACCTCCGGCCTCTGGGATGGGGAGACCTGGGTCTCTATAGTTTTAAGCCACCCTGTCTATGATTATGTGACGCAGCAGCCCTGAGAGTGAATAAAGACACACATGGGTGAGTTTTTGGGTTGGTAGATGGGTAAGTAACATAGAGAGAGCAGTGTCTCAAACACAGTATGGAGCACATGATACCAAAATTCCGACGGACCTGAGCACCCTGGACATTTAATCCAGGAGCCCTGCGGGGGAGCTGGGAGACCTGGCTGAGGGCCTGGCCATGGCAGAGGGTGCTGGGCAGGCCAGGTGGAGTGGGGCTGGGCCTGGGGCTCTGCCCATGGGGTCCTCCGGGCTGACACGAAGAGGAGGGTAGCCCCCATACCTGGGGGTCGCCTGACGTTGGCTGAGAAGAGCCAGTCCGCAGCTTTCGCAGCGTCGGGCCCCAGCAGGTAGAACTTCCCGAAGTAGGACATGTCGAACACAGCAGCCGCCCCTCGGCAGGCCAGGCACTCCTTCTGGATCTGCAAAGTCCCGGGGGACGTGGGGGACGTGGGGGCCAGGCCCTTCCCAACACGCCCCCAAGTTCACTCCCTTCCAGCCTTCCCTTCTGCATGAGCCTCAGCAACACCGCGCAGGGCATCCTGCCCCAGTCTGGGGATGTTCTTGCTCTGATTCCTATCTAGAGGTCCCCAAAACCTCATGAGTTCCTAGATGGGGAGGAGACTGGACTGGGGGCTTTATAACTGACTTGCTCCTGGGGGTGGAGCCTGGTTGGAGGAGGCCGCCATTGGGGCGGGGCCTGGGCCCTGGCTCCTCCCTTCTCTCGCTGCTTCTGTTCCCCATGCCCTGAGTTGCTCTCCTCTGCCACACCCCTCCGCCATGCCACTGGGCCTTGGAGCCAGCCACCATTGGACTGAAATGTGAGCCAAAATGGATCTCTCCTCCCGTAAGTGGTGATGTCAGATATTTTGTCCCAGCAACAAGGGAAGTGACTCAGGACAGACCCCAGGCTGAGCCAGCCAGCTAGGTATGGCGCCCCCCCAAAGGACCAAGGTCACACAGGGTGGCTCTTGAGCCACAGTGGAATTAAGTTAGAATCAGTTGCAGAAGAAAAAGTGGAAAATCCTCAAACCAGGAGAAATTGAACAAGACACCCATAAGAAACCATCTGAACTGTTAGAACCTGGAATGGAAACCAAACACAGCACAGAACTTCGGGATGCAGCCAGTGCCTAGCTCGAAGCGGGTTTATTCCCTCTTGGGCCCAGGCAATAAAAAGCAGCAACACCCCAGACCACACTTTCCCTGCGAGAAGCTGGAAAAGAGCAAACCTCGCCCAAGGCAGGCGAAAGAGGATGCAATAAAGACTAGTGCAGAGATAAGCAAAGTAAAAGATAGAAAAATCAGCGACACCAAAAGCAGATGCTTTGAAAAAATGAACAAGACTGACAAACAAGAGGGAAGGCTCAGAGTACAAAACCGAGTGGAAAAGGGGGTGTCCCCGCCCAGCTTGAGGAAAGGAGGGGGACAGGAAAGTCCACAGACGGCTGCGGGGCAGCAGATCAGACACGAGATGGACAGACTCCCGGCAAGGCAAGAATCTCTAAACCTCGGTAAAACAAATGGAAAATATTAACAGAACTAGAACAAAAGAGATAGAATTAGTCCTTGAAAAAACACCCACAAAGAAATGCGCAGGACCAGCGGGCTTCACCGATGAATTTCAACAAGCAGTCGAAGAAGGACCACCAAATCTTCACAAACTTCCCGAAACTGGGACAGAGATCTTGTTCCAGCTTTTTCTAAGAGGCCAACATTACCCTGACACCAAAATGCAAAATTAGAAGAAAACTACGGGCCAATGCCTCTTCTAAAGAGGGACACACAGACGCTCAGCAAACAGCCAACTGAGTGCGATCACTCGGAGAAAGTCAGGCGCTGACCTTGGGTCATCCCAAGAATCCGAGGTCAGTGTAGCTCTCCAAATGGATTAATGTGTGCACCATAGTAAGAGAAGAAAAGACAAAAGCCACATAGTCACCCAGCAGATGTAGCAAAGGTACCTGACAGCATCCAGCTCCTTGTGATAAAAATACATGACAGGCAGGGAGAGGGCGGCCTTGCTCAGCTGGCTCACGCCCGGAGCTCACAGTCCACACCGTCCTCCGCACTGGACCCCAGGGTCCCCTAAGATCAGACCCAGACCGGGTCTCTGCTTTCTCCACTTCCACGCCTAGGGCCATCAGGCAGGAGAATGAGGCTTGAAGGCATCCAGAGTAGAAAAGAAGTAAAAGCTTCCCTATCTGCATATCACAGACCTGGAGACAACACCGGAGCCACTAGGCAACAGAGCGAGGAAATGGCTCCAACAGCCAGAGGGAAACCATCTCAAATGCCCATCAACCAACAACGGAAAACCAAACAGGGCGGATCCCCATCATCACGCTGACCCAAACAGCCGGTCTCAGAGGGACACCCACGGAACCACCACTTGTCTGAAATGTCCGCACTAGACGGATCTGCAGGCACGGGAAGCAGGTCGGTGTGGCAGCTGGGGCAGCGGCAGCTGGGGTGGGGATCGGGCGACTCCTGGTGGGGATGGGGTCTCCTTTGCAGGGAGATGCCGTCATTCTCACATGACCCTTTGCTGATGGTGGTAAACTTGGCTGACTGGCCACAGTGAATGGGGCCCTTTTCGTCAGTGAGCTGGGGGTACGTGAGCTACATCCCCACAGTCTTCCCCACCCTCCCTCTCTGCCCACAGCGTACAAACCACCTGGCCAGGTTTCTGAGGCCTTGCTGGGCTATCCTCTTTTCTACCCATCTTCCTTCTCCCAAGAGACCCATCTGCTGAGCCTCCTCACCTACCTTACTGTCACCACTTAAAAAAGTACAAACTGCAGCAGCAGCCACAGCCCGGGCCATCACAGCGGGGAAGCCACAGAGGCTGCTCAGCCAGGCTGCGCGGAGCGCCCACCGCTGGGCAGCTCCCCGGCCCTGCACCCATGCTGCAGATGTCACCCTGGGAACTGCGGGAAACCTCGTTTTGGAGCGAGTTCGCACCAGTGAAATGGGTAGATGTTAAGGACCCACCCGCCCCGGCAGCCGGGTGCATATGTCCTCCCAGGCACCAGGGTCGCAGCGACCCCAAGCCCCCAGCTTCTCCTCGGCCCCCTTCCAGGCATCACCAGCCTTTACCGAGCACCCACCACGCGCCAGGTGCCAGGGGACCTTTGCCAATGCACCAGGGCTGCAGACCAAACCCCAAGACTGACACCTCCACCTGTGGGCTGGGGACACTGCCAACGAAGACAGCACGCGTGCATTTCGTGCTGTGGGACCATCTCGAGCATGTCTTTGGGGGCTGTGACACTCCTGCTCCAAGCTGGTGTCTCCCCCGAGCCTCACAGATCCCTGAGGGCCCGGAGCCCCACAGCTCTCAAAGCCAAGGGAGCCGAGGTGCCAGGTGCAGCCCGCGCGGTCCCCGCAAGGCAGCCACTAAGACCAGACCCGGAGCCTCCCGCTTCTGTCTCTCCCACCTGGGCAGATTGGAGCCACTGGAGCAAGTCCTGGGGACAGAGGGGAACGGATGGCGCCTTCCCTCGCATGCAGTGTGCATGAGGGAAGCAAGGCCAGTGCTGGGGACACTCAGAGTTTCCAGGCGACACTGAGCACTGGTCTTCTCAGCCACAGGCCACGGGTACTCACAGAGTTGCCCCATGGGTGCTCCCCAGGCCGTCCCTGGGCCTCAGTGCCCGGGTGGAAGGCTTAGCTCCTCAGGTCTGGTGACTTTGGGCCCCTCTTGGATGTGGGAACAATGTGGGGTGACAATGATGCACTAAGGGCCAGGCAGGCACAGGGCTCCCCTGATTGCGGGAGGGGAGGCCTGGCCCCAGAACCGTTGCCTCCACACCAGAGGTAAGGGAGCCACACAGTTGGGCGAGGTTCCATGAGCCTCCCCGTGCCCTAACTGGCCAGCCTCACCTGCCCACTGTGGCCCCAGCTACAGAGCTGCCCTGTCCCCTGAGAGCCTGTGCAGGGTCCGGCACCTGGATCAGCAAGCCCGCCGCACTGGAGGCCACAGCCTCTGTGTCCCGGGAAGGAGGATGAGCCCCTCACTGACCACCACGCAGCCTCAGGACCCAGAGGGGCTTAGAGTGGTGCAACGCTGGCCCGGGCCTCACGGCCTTCCCCGGCTCTTGACCACCAGGAGCAGTGGCCGTCACTCTCGGGCCATCTGCCAGCCAGTCCTGGGGCCAGTAGGAACGGGAGGAGAGAGGGAGAGGGACCCCGAGTCAGCAGCAGCCGGGCTGACCCTGGAGGCCGGGTCTTACCAGGTGGTGATGGGGCGGGAAGTCGAAGGTGTACTCGTCACTCAGCAGCCGGCCGTAGGCGTAGTCCTGGTGAGGCCGCTTCCCGTAGGCACCATAGTAGTCATAGTCGAGGACCTGGACACAGGCCACGGTCACCAACCATCCAGCCCCCGCCCTCCACCAATGTCGGGCTGCAGGACCAGGAGCTGCAGACCCTGCGAGCAGCAGGGTGGAGGAACGGCCCCAGGGAAAGGGTGAGAAGGGGCGGCAGGGACCTCGGCCACTGCCAGGGCTTCTGCCGGACCTGGGGCAGTGGGGCATGGCCAGAAATGGCCAGCTGAGGAGGAGGGGAAGGTGTGGGGCAAGGACACCTCTGGATGCTGCTGTCATGGCAACCAGGGACCCGGTCCCCGCCCTGGGTGAGCCCTGCAGGAGGGGCCCCACACTTTCAGTGAGGGTGGTCCTTTCTGCAGACAGGAAATTGATCCCAAGAGACAAACCGAGCCCAAGGCACCCAGGAAGCTCAGCCCTGGGAGTGGAAGGCCTTTCCCCAGCCAGGCCTGCCTCCCCCGCCAGTGAGACCCCAGCAGGGACACTTAGGTTTCAGGACAGGAACATTTGGCACTGGTCTCTTGGGCCCAGCCTGGCTGGGGTCCAGGGGTGAAGGGTGCTCGTGCGGTGACCAAGGGTGTCCCGACCCCCCTCCTGCCTCCTTTCCTCACCCAGGGACTCAGGGCACAAGGCTTCCAGCCAGGTCTGTCCAGGCACTGAGCCAGGGACCAAGTGTCCCTGAGCACAGCCAGTGACCTGGGCTCTGAAGACACCAGCCCTGGGCCTCAGCCTCACTTGCAAGCTTTGGCTCTGCTGCCCTGCAGCTGTCCGACCTGTCCTGGATGCAGGTTACTATGGAGGGGCGCACGGCAATGAGAGGGGGTTAACTTGGGCAGATCTGGTTCACACAGCACCCCTGGGCTGGCCTCAGTGTCCCCAGCCCGTCCCTAGCAAGAGGTGGGGAGGCCCCCAGAGGCTGGGATGTGGGAATCTCAGTGGGTAAACTGAGCGCGTCGCCAAGGGATACACCCTCCTACCAACCAGCCTCCTACGCACATCCACTAAGAGCTGGAGCTGCCTAAGTCATCAGTGAGACTCCTGGGAGGATGTCTGGATCCTGTGGGGCCCGGGTACCTTCCGCAATACCCACCCTGGCCCGGGTACTAGCCCGCTGGCTGGGCAGGACGAGGCTGCATGTCCCCTGGGCCAGGTGACCCAGAGGCTCTGGGGGCTCAGAGTGTGGAGCCCAGGCCCCACGCATGCTTTGGCTTCCTGTCCTGTCACGCACAGGGGCTCAGATGGCTCCGTGGCCATGTGGGGCTCAAATGACCAGCCGACATCCCCCGGTCTGTCCCAGGCTGGACTCGCCTTAGCTGGGGGAGGGGGGGGGCAGGAGCAGAGGCGGGGCAGGAGCAGGGGCTTAGCTGGGGGAGGGGGGGGGCAGGAGGAGGAGGGTGTCCAGGTGGCCCTGGAAGGGTGCTGCTGCCCGCTTACCGGAGCTGGCCCCTGGGGGTTGAACCATCCAGGCCGCTCCCAGCCATGTCGCTCCTGGAACACGCAGCCTCGTCCCAGGAGTTCCTGCAGGGGACACGAGCACCTGTCACACATGCCGACACAGTGTGGACACAGTGATTGTGGCCACCGTCACAACAGGGTGTGAGGACAGAGGGACTTCCTCGCACTCAGGACCTGGACCCAGCCCAGGCTGCCGCCCCTACCCCAGAACCCCACCTCGACCCCAGAGCCCCAATCTAGAGACTGCACCAAGCACCCCATCAATGCCCATGGGGTGGCCCTGCCCTATGCCACAGGGTCTGGGCCAGGAAGTGACCACAGGAAGTGGTCCAAGTGGTCAAAGACCACAGGAAGTGGAAGTGACCTCAGGAAGTGGTCAAGGTCACCTGAGTACATAAGGGCTGGGACCTCTCTGCTCTGGCTGGTGCCCTCCCACCCTGTGAGGATAGAAGAGGTATGGCGGCCACAGCCAGGCGGGCTCCCCGACCCCCGGAACAGGTGCTAGGAGAGTAAGAAGATATTTGAGGCCCTGTCTGTGGCACTGTGCTCCAGCAGCCCGAGCCACCTGTGAGACTCAGCTGTCCCACTCCTAGCCGAATCCCCAGCATGGCTCCACGGTCAGAGGCCAACTTCTGCTGAGAGATAACCCACATGCATGCTGACAGCGCCGGAATATTACTCAGCCACGAAAAAGGATGGAGTTCTGAGAACACTGCAGCGTGGATGGAACTTGAAGCACTGAGAGAGAGCAGCAGATGCAGAGGGCGAGGGTGCCCGTGAGGGAGGCCCCTGCTCCAGCTGGGGTGCCGGCCACTGCCCATGCTCGTCCATCCACTCAACAGCCGCTCCCTGAGCCCCTCGGTGCTCAGAACCAGGGTGACCACGCACCACCCAGTTCCCCCGGGAGCGGACCCTCTGACGTGGGACCATCAGGGGTGGAGCCAAGCAGGAGGCACGGGCAGGGATGCTGGGGTCCTGGGGGGTACAGGAGTGTGCACAGGGACAGGCCTCCAAGAAGGGGTTGGGGTAGCGGGTTTCACCATATAAACAGCAGCTCGCCGGAGGGCAAAGGCTCTGAAGCAGGCTCTACATTTGGAAGCCTGTCTCCGGCCCCCGCAGTCTGGCTGTTCCTCTCTCTGACGTGCGACTATGCCCACTCATCAAATACCCGCCGCCCGGACCTCAGGCCGCACGGCGCCCAGTGTCAGGACGGACTCCCACACGCAGTGCCTGCGTGACACATGGGGAGACCCCGCGCCGCAGGTGGGTGTTCTGAGAGTGCCCATCGCCCCGCAGCCCGGTACCTCATGCAGGGGGCCCCTCCGCATGTTGCGCCCCGCCAGCGGCTCGTCATGGGGGAAGACGACCGAGTAGTTCTTGGCGTAGGACTCGTGACTGCGCTCGCGGATCCAGCGCTGGTGCTCGGTCAGGGAGTGGTGGAAGCGTCTATGCAGACAGAGGCCCGGTCACCACCAGGGAACAGCGGGGAAGGGACGCCTGCAGACCCTCAGCCGCTGCCCCACAGCCTGCCAGGCCCTGGCTCGGTCTCCTCCGGGCAGCCCAATCCCAGCCCTGGGCTCCTGGCACCCCCTGCACCACACAAAGGGACCTTTCAAGCCTCTTCCTCCCCCGCCCTCACGCCAGCACGCCACCAGCCAGGTGCCCCGAATCTGCCAGACACAGCCAGCCAGCCTGGAGGTGCTGGAAGGCCCCAGCTGGTCTGGGGAACAGCTTCAAGCCATGAGCACCAGAAACACGTGACCAAGGAAGGGGGCCTGTCCCTGGCAGCTAGGGACCCTCGTGGGTCCACGTCCAGCTCCTACCGGCGCTATCCGTACTGAACTTAGAGGCCTTGAAGTTTCACCTGCAGCCCCGCCCCCTCTCCCAGGGCCATCCCCCACCTGCCACCCAGGGATGGCAGGACAGGATTCCACCCCGGCCCAGCAGGGCCAGGCCCTGCAGTCCCCTCACCCCGGGGCCCAGCGCCTGCAGACTCCCGTCCCCTCCTCTTCCCACCTGGCGGGTCTCACGTGTGCCCCGAGGTCCACATCATGCCTGCCACGCCCCACGGGGGCTCCTCTCTGGGGACACCTGTCAGAGCCTCTGAGGGCTGACTGACCTGGTCTGCACCTGAGCCTATACCTGAGCAGTGCACCGGGCGCAGTTTGGAAACATACGGCCGACCAGGGAGGAGGAGGCCAGGAGGCCCTGTGGTTCCCACCTTTGTGGTCAGAGTCCTCCAGGGACTGGAAGCCTGGGAGCACGGGGCACACAGGCCTCCTGGCTGCATGCCGGTAGTAACTTGGGAAGCTCATTTCCTCTGTAGGCCCTGGGCGGTGGGGGCCGCTTGGGGCAGGAGCAGGGGCTGGGCCTGTACCACTGACAGCCACAGACACAGTTGCTGGCGGCCCGGGGACAGTGAAGTTCAGCAGGGCGTGGGGTTCCTGCCCCCACTGCACCCCGAGCCCACAGGGACCTGACAGCCCCAGCCAGCCTGTGAGTGTGGGCAGCCACGGCCCCACGAGGCACTTCCATGAGGAACGGCTCTTCCGGGCCACCTGACCCCAAGCACTTTCCCAAGAGCAGCCCAAGCCCTGGCCCTGCGGAGGTCAGGAACTGAGGGGGCGTCCTCAGCGTGCGCTTCAGGCAGAAGTCACAGGATTACAGGTCATGAGGTCTCAGGGTGTGACCCGCAGGTCATCGCAGAGCCGGCCTTGCTCAGGCGAGTCTGGACTTTCTGTGCCCACCTAGGGCTGCAGGTCCCCAGCTCTGCTCTGCTTGCTCCCGCTCTGCCAGCCTCAGTCTCCCCATCTGTACAGTGGGTCCCAGGCCCAGGCACCCCTCTGTGCACTGCCTGCCTGGGGCTTCTTTGCCTCCCTTCTGCTGCCTCTTCCAGGAAGCCACTGAGGTCCCCCAGGCTTCTGCCTGTAGCACCGGCCGCTCAGCCCGCGCGGCCCCGGGCACACCTGCCTGATGTCGTAGCTGTACATGTCCTTCTCCGGGCGCCCGTAGACGACCCAGCGGGCCAGCTCCTGTCCACAGCCGCCGCCCAGCATCATCCCTGGGAGGGGAGCCAGGAGCTGCAGTCGGCCCCACCCCGTGCATCCCACGCCGCCTCCAGGCCCCTGCGTGGTGCCCGCCACACTCACCAGCGCTGTTGAAGCCGCAGCCCAGGAAGAAGCCCCGCAGCTCGGGCGCCTCCCCCATCAGGGGCTTGTGGTCGGGCGTGAAGGACTCTGAAAGGGACGAGCTGGGCAGTGAGGTCTCCCGAGGCAGCCCCGTGGGGCAGGGCTCTGCGGGCTCCTCCTGCATCAGGCCCCGGGGCCTGTTGCAACGTTCCCACCCATTCTGCAGCTTGTGCCTCCCGTTGCCCTGCCCTGGCCTGCACCACAGGGCCAGGTCCGTCTCAGCCAGCTCCATCGTCCCGCCCACAATGGCCTGGGTTGGCCTTGCCCGTGACTTGTCTGTCACTCAGACCTCCTTCAGTGCAGAGCCCTGAGAACACATGCTCAGCAATGTTCACTGAGTGAATGCATGACCATCAACGCTGAGAGAGGAGACCAAGCCCCCGCTTCTGCCTGTTGCCGGGGCTCAGAGACCAGAATGTGGTGGGAGAGCGGCCCATGGACCCTCGTGTTTAACTCGTGCCTGTGCAGGGCAAAGGGACCTGGAGCCGTGGGGGCTCCCACCAGTGCCCCCCCAAGCCTGGGCTCTGACCCCTAATCCTGGCACTGCACGCTTCACTGCCCCAGGCTTCTCTGGGTCGGGCCCGGGACTTCCTGCTTCTGCCCCAGGGGCCAAAGCCCACCGACCATGCCCGGCCGCAGAAGTGCTATGTCCCACACTCCGCCCAGTGTCTTAGCCTGCACACTGCCCCGAACAGCATGGTGCACTGTTAATTAAACCCAGAGCAGCCTGGGTGTTCGGGCCCCTGGGACTCTTTCCGTTTCTCCCTGAGGGCCCCACGCATGCCAGGGAGCCAGGGGAGGGTGAGTCACACGCCACCCACTGCCAGCAGCAGAGCTGAGCCCATCGTGAAGCAGCAGGCGGGGCAGTGGTGTAGACAACTGGTGTGCTGGGCAGTGGCACAGGAATGGACTCCCCGGGGCCAGCCCCTCTGAAGGCCCCTCCCCCTCTCCTGGCCCTGCCACGTCCTTCTGGGGTCCCCGGCTCCTCCTGGGCACCCCCCTCAGCACGCTCACCGCAAGTCTAGCTGGCGCCTGTCACCTGTCCCCTCCAAGGTCTCTGTCCCCCAGTTCACCAAGGGGAACAAGAGGCACCAAGGGGCTGGTGACCCACAGCCCCAGAAAGGGGCAGTTACCCCCAGGTGGAAGAGGGGCACCCACGAGGCCCGCTAGGACCGGAGGGGGGCGCTCTCCCCCCGCCCCTGTGCCCACACCTGCCAGCCACCCTGCAGTCAGTTCCAGCCCGCCCAGCGCCGAGCTCCTCCCTCCTCTAGGCTGCCGACGTGGGTCCCGGCCCCGGCCCTGGCCAAGGGTGGGGTCCTGGAGTGGACCAGCAGCCGCTGAACGTGGTATGGGTACTGCCAGCCAGGGCACTCAGGAACCAGAGTTCCTGCACCACATGCCACCAATCTCAGCCCCCAGAGTCAGCGTGGGCCCTGCAGTTCCCAGGACCTTAGCTCCTGCACCCGCCCAGGGACTGGGGACCGTCACGGATGCCCTAGGAGTGCCAGCCCCAGGGCAAGGACAGTGTGGCCCCACAGTGACCCGCAACGGGAACCTGTATGCATGACCTACCCTCTGCTCCCACCCCCTTGGGAACATTTCCATGCCACCCTGGTCTGGTGCCCTGCTGGGCACTGGCCTCTGAGATCAGAGGTCAGGGGTGAGACAGGCGCAGAGGTCTTGTGGCCAGGGCATGCCCCGGGGGAAAGAAGGGACAGAGGCTGGAGACAGGGCTGGGCCGGGCCACACGAGCATCGTGCGCCCTGGACCTGCCCAGGGCTCAGGGATGGAGCCCCTCGTGCCCAGTTGAAGTTCCAGGCAGCAGAGGGCGGCACAGGCACCTTGGGCAAGGGCACCACCCCCACCGTCACCAGCACGAAGGACCCAAGGCCCCACTCACCCGGGCCACAGACCGTAGACTTGATCCCCGTGGTCTCCAGCGCAGGGACACGGTTGATGGCACCCTCGATGTGCTGGGTAAACACGTCCCAGTCCAGGTCAAACAGGCCGAAGGCGAACTTGTCTGACACCTGCAGAGGTAGGATGGGGTATGTCTCATGCGACCTAAGAAGGCCACACAGGTCCTCGGAATAGCAGCTAGGACCCTGCAGGGGGTGGAGGGGTGGCCTTGCTGCATCAGAGGTCAAGGGGCACTGGGACCGCCCCCCTGTTCCCATCCTGTCCAGCATCACCAGCCGCCCTTGATAGCTTCAGTGTCTGCCAGCGGTCACTAGCTCCCACACTCCCTGCTCCAGCCTGCTGCTGCCCCCACGTCTCTCTGAGGCCCCAGCCTACAGGAGCCAGCCCTACCCACCCTGCATGGCCAGAGCCCCCAGACCTCCTAGTGGCTGCTCTCTCAGTGCAGGCTCTGCCTGGTGTCCCCTGATTTGGACCCCGCCCTGGCCGCAGTCTGCAGGACGTCCTTAGACTCTTCTCTCTGGCTGATCCTTAACTTCCCAGCTTTATTCAGCCCAGGATCACCATCCAGAAAGGCATTACTTATCTGTCTGCTTATTGTTTGTCTTCCTACCAAATTACAGGCATCCTGGGGCAGGGACTTTTATCTTAGCTGAGATCCCTCCTCCTGCAGACAGGCAGCATCAAGCTTCGCTGTATGTGGACTAAATGTGTGGACTCTGGTGGGGCCCAGGCTCCGTGTCCAGCCTGGAGGCTGGAGGACCCAGCACTGTTGCTAGCCGGCCGAGCTTCAGCCGCAGGGCACTGGCCCCATACCCATCTAACCATGCATCTTTCTCCAGCCCAGCATCCCAGCACGAGTCTCACCTCCTCCCAGAAGATGGGGTTGGCCTCGTAGCCACCCACAGACAGGGCGTCCCCTTGCAGGCGCAGGTAGACAGAGGCATCGTGGTCACGGACATTGGGCATATTCTGGAGGGCAAAGTGGAGGCCGCAGCATTGGGCAAGGCTGGCGGGCCAGGCTCCTCGTGCCCCATGGCGGCCCTGTCCTTGCACCCGGCATCACTGGGCCAGCATGGGCTTCCTGAGCCTCTGCGTTGCAGGACACTGGGACAGGTGGATGGGGCCCTCAGGTTACACATGGAGGATAGGTACCTCCTACCCAGGTCCCTTCAAATAGGGGTGAGCGGGGGCTGGGGATTTAGCTCAGTGGCAAAGCGCCTGCCTGGCAAGCGCAAGGTCGTGAGTTCGGTTCCCGGTACCGGAGAAAAACCAAAAAAAAAAAACAAATAGGGGTGAGAAGGAAGCCAGAGGAGCAGTGTGGCCCACGGGGAGGAGGAGACATCAAAACCCCCACAGGCCCTCACACCCCGGCCGCCCAACACCAGATCGCGGGTTCCAGCCAGGCAGCAACGGGGCAGCAAGGGTGAGGACAGCGTCCAGTCATCAAGAGAGAAGAAAGAAGGACGTCCCTGCCTGCTGATAATGTGTTCTTCCACACGGAGGCCCACAGGAGGGGAAGAAATGCCTCTAAATCATGTTCCATTAAGGGACTCACACCCAGAACATGTGAATAATTCTTGCAACTTGCTAAAAAGACAAGCGATGCAATTTAAAAATGGGCAACAAATCTAAGGAGCTATTTCTCCAAAGCAGATGTACGAATGGGCCGTTAGCGTATGAAAAGATGTTTAACGTCATCCTCTGGCTCAGAAGCACAAATCAAACTGCAATCAGAGCCCCTGGCGCAAGGACAGGTGACAGCAAATGCTGGGGTGGGCCTGGAGCCCCCCTCCTTGCCGGTGGGGGTGCTGTGGTCTCCCTCCTAGGGGAAACAGCACCATAGACCCTCCGATTATTACAGAGACGCCACAGGACGCAGCACCCCTCCCAGGGGAAAGGGGACACTCGTCCACACAAAAACTTGCACATGATTGTGCCTGGCACCGCTGCTCCTAGTGCCCCCAAGTGGGAGAATCTCAGCTGTCCATCAGAAGACGCACGGATGGGTCACACGCCTGTGACAGCATAAGGGAATATCAATCGACCTCCAAAGGGAATGGGGACAGTACAGACGCCTGGCAGACCAACATCGGAAGAAGGAGGCTGAGGGAAAGAAGCCAGACGTGAAAGGCCACGCACGGTAGGCGATGTCCAGAAATCCACAGAGACAGAAATCAGGTGGGTGACTGCGACGGCTGGGCTGAGGTGGGAAGTGGGGGTGGCTGGTGGTGGGGACGGCTTTGGGCACAGTGGGCACACGCACGCCTCGAAGCCACATAAAACTGAGCAGCTGGAGGGAAAGCTGTTCATAACGCCAGGAGACACAAAACGCTGGGCAGGACTCGCTCAGAAGTTAAGAATATGGGCACAGCCATAATACTGCGAATGCCAACCGCTGCGTGACCAACAACCAAAGCCACTCGGAAGCCAGGGGGAGGAGAAGAGACCCATGGCACCGGGTCCCCATCAGGCTCTGTCCCTTGCCTTGTGCTCTGTGGGGATGAACGCACGGCATCCAGGGACATCAGAGAACGAAACAGGTCTCCCGGTGGTCCTGGCCAACTGCAGGGCCAAAATAGGAATGTCCCCTTGAGGGGTGGCCTAGAGGAGGTCCAGAGACCTCTCAGGGATGGCGGAGCCTGGCTGAAAAGTACTGCTCACACCTACTCCAAACACAAAACAAAGAAAACCCAGAGCGCCATGGAGCAGGACAGTGGGGACACCTGGTGGCCAGTAAAGCCCGGGCTTCTGCTCCCGCAGGCCCGGTGTCCCGGCCTCTGCTGCTGAGTGCCCAGCAAGCTCCACACACCCCATGGCCCACACTGCAGGAGCCACCTACTCCGGCCGTGCCGCCATGGCCCTGGCCCTCTGATGTCCCCGCCTACTGACCACAGCCCCGTCCCCTCCAGTGCTTCAAAGCCTGCCATCCACGCCAGGCCCCAAGTTACCATCACTGTCCCCACAGCCGCCCAAGACCGGCCGCGGCTGGTGCCCCACCCAGCTCCTCCTCTCTTCTCCAGCACAGCCAGGAGGTAGACACAGTTCCTAACCAGGCTGGGCAGGGGAAACTGAGGCTCAGAGTGGCAGCGGAGGAGCGGGACTCAGAGCCCAGCCTGAGCTCATCCAGTCATGGAACCTGCCTCCTCAGGAGCAGTGGGAGGACGAGGGAAGGTGAGGCAGTCTGCAGGCACCTGCTCTTGTGGACGGTGACACCAGGCCTGGCCCTGGATCCCCTTTGGCTCGGTGGAGCAGTGGCAGGCATCAGTGTTGGGGCCCTGTGCCCTCCCAGAGCCCCGCTGCACAGCCATCCCTTGGAAGACCTGTCTGCCGCCCCGACGGCCCCTGTCTCCTACAGACTCTCAGAGATCCCGCAGCCGGCGACCCTGTCCTTGTGCCCTGGCACTCAGAAACACAAGGGGCCCTAACTGGCTTTGTAAACGATCCCAGCTGGGCTCTGACCTTGAAATTCATGGGGTGTGGGAGCCAGCTCTCCCTGTTGCTTCCCGAAGAGAGGGGCCCAGGAAGACATCAGGGAGCCCCGAGGGAGGGCACCCAGTCTGACTTGGCGGACACCCCCACGGACACAGCTTTTGTCCCTGTTACAAGCTCCGAGCATCAGCCTGGTTCCCCCGGAGCCAGCAGCAACCACAGAGCAGTCAGGGGGCCACCTAGGCAAGCGGGCAGTCCCCACATACCTCAGAGCCACGGAGCCCAGACTACTCTGTCTCACACCCCAGCTTGGCTCTCAGGCACGGCTGCCCGCCACAAGCCTCTTCTAGGAGACAGGCAGGTCCTGCGGGTGCCGACTGCATGTGTGGGTGGCCCACCAGATCAGCTTCCCGCTGCACATCCCGGCCTTCTCCCCCAGTGGTGCACACAGCAGCCAGGCCTGGCACTTCCCGGCCACCAGGGGGAAGCCAGGCTCCTGCAGTGCGGTGCGGGCAGCCTGGTCTCTCTGCAGTGCACAGCTTGCTGAACTGCCCAACAGGGCTGGCTGGCTGCCTCACGCTGGTCACCCCTGCTGTGCCACCCCTGATCCTCTGGAAACTTGGCCACCTCCTCCAGGGAGCCCGTGAAAGACCCACATGGTGCTCAGTCCCAGCTCAGGCTGTGGATCAAGGGACGGACAGAAAGCTGGGCTGGCTGGGCATGGTGGCGCACACCTATAACCCCAGCACTCAGGAGGCTGAAGCAGGATAGCCGAGAGTTCAAGGCCAGTTTGGGCTACGTAATGAATTCAAAGCCAGCCTGAAATTCATAGTGAGAGCCTGTCTCAAAAAAAAGATGGACAGGAGAGCTGGGGAGGGGGGCAGGGCTGCAGGAGGCGTCCAGGAAGTGTGGGTGGGAGGGTGGCCGACAACAAGGAAGCGAGTGAGGGAGGAGTAGGGGAGGAGCGGCCGGACACAGGATGGAGAGGAAAGGGAATCGGGCGGGGGGAGGCTTGGGCGATGATGGAGGGAGGGGCACTGGTCAGCGAGGAGAGCAGAGGGGTCAGGCGAGGGCGGAGGGCAGGAGGCGCGCAGCTCCGGCGCCCCAGGTGTTTGAGGTGCCAGGTCCCTGGCAAAGGGCCGGCAGAGAGGCTCAGAGCTGTCAGGAACCGGGCCCTCCAGGACAGGCACTCGGGGCTACCTGGGAACACGCGAACATCCCAGGTTCCGAAACTTTTTAAAAATTTAATATGATTTAATTTCATTTTGGCAGTGCTAGGGATTGAACCCAGGGCCTTTGCTCTGAGCCACATCCATCCACAACCCTAACCCTAACCCTATTTATTTATTTACTTATTTTGAGCCAGGGTCTCTTCACTATGTTGGCCAGGCTGGACTTGAACGTACAATCCTCCTGCATCAGTCTCCCATGATGAATGCTGGGATGACAGGCTCCGCCACCACATTATCTTACAAGTTTCCCCGAAACTCTTATTCACAGAAGACAGCCACCAGCTGGACTGGCTGCACCTCGAAGGACGGGCTCGGGCCAGGTCCAGAAGGCCAAGCAGCTCAGTGCCACCAGGGCTGTTTAGTTCTAACACCCAGTGATAGACTCCCCATTTCCCAGGGAGCTGGATGAGGCCAGGGCAGCGAGGAAGCCCAAGGGGGATTGAATGTGCCGGAGCTGAAGCTCGGAGCTAAGTCCCTGCACCCTCTACCTCCAGACCCAGGCCCTGGGGCTCCCCACCTACCTGGATCCCCTCGATGCGCTCCGTGACGACGTAGGCGTGGTGCATGGCCACCAGGGGCACCTTGACTCCAGCCATCCGGCCCACAGCGCCTGCCCACACGCCTGCGGGCACAGCACGGCAGCTCAGCTCTGCAGGCACCCGCAGGGGCTGCCACCCAAGTGACACGGGCCCCTCTGCAGGCCTCTGCCCTGCCCGGGACTTGGTGCCCCAGAGGAAAGCCCTGTGGATGTGGGACTGGGGGCTGGGGGGCATCGGGAGGCAGCAGACACTCCACTGCCACCTGCACAGTTGACCACGCAGGGCGTCTGGATGGAGCCGTGCTCCGTCTCCACAGCCGCAACACGCCGCACCCCAAAATCATCAGTCCGCATGCGGATCCCCGTCACGGGGCACTTCTCGATGACCTAGGGTGGGAGGAACTACTTGTGAAACCACAAGTGCCTCCCAGGGTGCCAACCCCGCCCCTGCCCAGCCCCCTCTGGATCCGGAGGACGTGGGAACAGGGCATCTGCTAGGGGCAGACTTTGCATAAACCGGAAATTAAAACCAGAGCCCAGAGTATGGAGCCCACCCATCCCTGGACTTGCAAATAGAGGGGGCGGGGCTGATCACAAGGAAAAGTCGGCTTTCTAAAATTTAAGTGAAGCTCTGAAAGATATTTGTAGTCCAGTTAGTATGTGTTTGTTTGCTGTTTGTTTGTTTGGTTGGTGGGTTGGTTGGGGTTTTTTTTCGGTCTCTTTTTTTGAGACAGGGTCTCATTATGCAGTTCAAGCTGGACTTGAGCTCACTTTGTAGCCTAGGCTGGTCTCGAACTCGAAACGATCCTCCTGCCTCAGCCTCCCGAGTGCTGGGATTACAGGCATGCGCCACCAAGCCCAGCTGTTTGTTTGGTTTTTTAAAGGTTATACAACTTGCTTTTGAGCACACGTGTATCTTCACAGAAAAAACATTTGGGGTGCAACACGCTCAACAGTGGTTACTGGGGATGACATCCCTGTCTTCTTCTTTGTGTCTTTCTCTTTTTAAATCTTTCTACAACTCTGTGCAGGGCTGAGACACAGGAAGATAAAAATTATAAGGAAGAATGCTAGGAGGATTTGCTGGTGTGGCAGGGCAGGCCTCCTGGGGGAAGGGGGACAGGACAGCCGCTGGCCCCCTGCAGGCTCCAGACTTGGCCTCGCCTGCCTGGCCCCAGGTCACCTGGCAGGTAGAGAATGAATGGCCTGCTGCAGCCGCTGCTCTCAGGGCTCTGAGGACAAGTGGGCTCGGAGCCGCAGCCCTCAGTACCTGGGCTCCTCGGGCCACAGCGGCCCTGGCGAGGGTGGTGCAGGTGCCGGCGGGGTCCATGGTGCCGTCCTGTGGCACATACAAGGTCCCGTAGAGGTCGTCCACGTTCATCAGCGGGTACAGAGCCTTGGTCTCCGCAGGACTCAGCACGTGGGACTCCACACCATAGGCCTTGCCCAGCTAGGGGGCCAGAGGAGACGCAGTGGTGGGAGCCATTCTGGGAGCCTCCGGGCCACCAGCTGGATCCCCAGCCTGCTCCAGCAGCAGGTAAAGGAGCAGCGTGGGACACAGGCAGTGTGGGGGTTGGAGCCCTCCCACCCCCTGCTGGCCAGCTCTGCCACCAGGGCTGGGGCTTAAGAGCTACCCCATTCCTTTGTGCAGGTGATAAAGAACTGGGCCAGTACATGGTACAGCAGGTTTATTACCTAGAATACATAAAAATCGTCCCTACAGTCTTATATTTGGGGCCTGGGAACCAGGTGTCCTGGGTCCCACCGGTTCCCCAAGAAAGAGGAAACTGCACTCCGTGCTGGACTAGGAATGGACACAGGCCACCACGCCCCCAAGGGCCCCACCACATTTGATTGGCCTAAAGGCAGCCAATCAAGGGTTCCTAGGTCAGAACTAAGGATGAGCTGAGCCAATCAGATCTCCATCTTGGCATTATGAATGCAGAGGGGCAGCCCTGCCCGCCAGGGCCAGGTAGGGCAGGGTTTTTGAGTCCAGACCACTCAGGGCTCCTTTCCCGTGGCAAGCTGGGGCCCCTCAGGGAGCTCACCCACCCGAACCCCTGCCGGTATCGCCCCTCCCCGGTGCACCCACCGACATGAGCCTCTTGTACTCATCCAGGCGCTGCCGGCTGGACGCGATGAAGAGGCCCCCGTTCTGGATCCAGCCCGTGTGCAGCCCGGTCTCCGCCTCCAGCTCTTGGCTCACCACACGCCTGGTGTGGGCCAGCAGCTCCACCTCCACGTCGCTGGGCCGCAGCTGCCACAGCAGGCCTGGCCCAGAGCGGGCAACATCAGTCCGCCACAAGGCAGGCTGCACCTCCTGCTCCCCATCAAATATCAGCAGGGTTGCAGCGGGGCAGGCTCAGCCCGAGAGCGTGAGAAGGTTGAGCCTGGTCACAGCTGGAGACCCTGAGGCCAGCAGGCCCCCCACCCCCCGTCAAAGGCCGACTGTGTCAAGCCAGGGCTGAATCTGTCGGGGTGACCCCCACTCCCCGAGTACCAGGGCAGCCTCTGAGGAGCACACACTAGTTCACAGTGAAATCAGGACGTCCAAAGTCCAAGAGCAGGCTCGTGGCAGGGCCAGGACACCGGCCAGGGCTGACGGAAACCCAGCCGGGGTCCCTGCAGCAGAGCTGTCCCTTCTGCAGCAGAGCCCCGAGAAGAGGGGGCACAAGGACGAGCATGCGGAGAGCCCGTGAGCCTGGGGGACTCTGTGGGGTCTCAGGGCCCAGGCTGGGAACCCTTGCTCTGACCTCACCTTGGCAGCTTGGTATTGGCCAAGCCCGTGTTTACCGCGTAGGAATGTGCAAGCGTGTGCACTGGGAGAGCATTTCCCAGCACAGCCCCGGCTATGGGGCAGACGTCAGCGCCCGTGGACACCCACGCTATAGTTGCTCGAGATACACCCACTGGGTAGGCAGGAGAGTGCCCGCAGTGCCCCACCGCCCTCCTCCCCCAGCAAATGCCTCTCAAAGGGCTGGCTGTCCTGGGGAAGGGGCTTCACACATGGGACAGAGTACAGGGGCCTTCTGCCCTGGGCTCTGCGTCCTCTCCCGGGGGCACACGGGCAGCACGGTCCCTCTTCCCACTGCAGCGCTTTAGAGACTTGGGGGCCAGCCCTGTGCCCAAATCTGCCCACCCCCAGACTGACCAGTGATCTCCCCCTTCCAACCCAGGTGCCTCTCCCAGGCTTGGGGCTGTGACTACCCTGTGACCCGCCTGCACCCCTCATGTGCCCCGCACCACCCCACATGTGCCCCACCTGTGCCTGAGCCCTACCTGCTGTGTGCCAGGTGGTCCCCGACGTCAGTCGCTCACGCTCCAGGAGCACGGCCCCAGTCACACCCAGCTTGGCCAGGTGGTACAGGGTCTGGCAGCCCAAGCTGCCCCCGCCAATGATCACCACACTGGCTGTGCTGGGCAGGGGCTGGCTGGGTCCTTGGGCTGCCGCCGAAGGGCCCTGGGCCTCCTCCTTCAGGGTGCGGTGGTAGGGCACATTCTTCTCAGCCGTGGGGCCCGTAACACCGGCCAGAGTCTGCAGCCTCAGGTGCTGGGCTGGTCTCCAACGAGGGTAGGCGGCAGCCACGCGCAGGGCTCGGCTCAGCGAGGCCATGGGGCTCTGGGCTTCGGGCAGGAGCTGAGGGCACAGAGCCAGGTTGGGCTGTGTCCCAGGCCCTGCTGCCCCTGCCGGTCTCTGCCCAGGGCTCCTCCCGAGGCCCCTCTGGGGTGTGAGCTCATCCCTCACTCATCTGGGTGGATGGAGACCTGGGTACAGCAGGACCAGCTGGGCCAGGGTCGTAGCCCCAGAGGGGTGGCAGAAAAGAAGGGCTGGTGCCGCCTGCAGAGACCCACGTGGGAGTCGGGAAAATCCAGGGCCACCAGGGAGGGACGACGCCGAAGATCAGGGAGGGGTCGTGAGGACAGAGAACCAAGGCCAGAAACCAGAAGGAGCCGGGTGTGGTGGGGACACCGGACCAGGAGAGCATGATGAGAGAGGCTGGAGCAGGAGGGTTCCACGCAAGGCCTTGACAGCTTGTGACAGGGGGAGGGGAGACCCTGCAGGAGGGCAGGACAGCCAGGTGGAGAGGTGGTGTGGGAAGGCAGAATGGGCGGGGGGGGACGGCCCAGCGTGCCCCAGACCAGAGGCCCCAAGGGTCCTTCCCCTCAGTGGCCCTGAAGTCCTTTAGTGGCCAAGGCAGAAGCTGCAAAGGCTCAGGGGCTCCAGGGTGGGACTGGATGCAGGGTGGGGGCCTGCCGTGCCCTCTGCCTCATCCTGCTCCTCTGTCCTCCCCACTGGCCTCCAGGCTCCTCCCAGATCCTCCTTCTCCAGGAAGCCCTCCCAGACCACCCGGAGGATGAAGAACAGCACAGGGCCCAGGTCTTCTCCCTGGAGGGTCCTGCCCAACGCGGGGAGGGAAGGTGCCTCCAGGGACCACCGGCGCCCTGTCTCCAGGCCGCAGGAGTAGGAGGGCGTTAGCTGCAACCCCCGTGCCACCCACACTGCATTAATGTGATAGCACCCAGGGGCTGGGGATTTAGCTCAGCGGCAAAGCGCCTGCCTGGCAAGCTCAAAGTCGTGAGTTCGGTTCCCGGTACCGTAGAAAAACCAAAAAAAATGTGATAGCACCCAGGGAGGCCTGCAGAAGCCCAGGGTGACCAAAGCAAGGGACTCAGCCTTGCTTCCGGTTCCTGTCTGTCTCCTTTATCAGCTTGGAACGCAGGGCCAGACGCCCGCTCGCCCTGACGTCGCTCCGCATGTGTCTGTAATGCAGGGCTCACCGGGCCTGTGCGCTTCAAGACTGGGGACACGGAGACAAGAGGACCTCAAGGGTGGGCAGGGACCCCCGTGCTCACTTCCCCCCCCTGGAGCTCTCCTAGAGCCTCCAGTCACCTCTCAAACCTGCAGCCGCCTTGGGTTTAGGGAAAGCAGAGCCTCGAGTACCCCACCGTGGGAGCAGTTCCCCGTGAAGGTCGCCCCTGCCATCTCACCACAGGACCCCGTTGCCCCCTTGGGCTGGCCCAGAACCTCAGGGATCCAGTCCTGAGGCCCGATAGCGGGCCGGGTTGAGACCGAGTGTCCTGCGCTGCCCCTTTTCTCTCAACCCTGCCGAGACCGACCTCAGCCCCGTGTCTCCTCCATCACCTCCCTGCTGCCTGCCCCTGCAGGGTCCTTGCCTGCCACCGTAGGCAGTGGCCACGCCTGGTCGATTGGGAACCCTCGGTGACACTCACAACTGACCTCACTTAGTAAGATATTCCTCATTTAATGACCCTTCTGTACAACAACTGTCCAGACTTATGACCACGGCACTGAGGAGCTGTCTTTTTTGTACCATGCTTAGGTCCTATTTATAGATTGTTTTGCTGTTGGTTTATAGATTCTCAGGGTCTTTTTTTGTACAGTACACCCTGCTTATGCAGTACTGCAATTTATGCCGATTGTACCGTACAGTGCTAGTTCTACAATCTGTTGTACATTACAGCACGGCATACAAAAATCATGCAAACAGAAGCAAACCCATCGAGCTGGAGCTTCCTCCGGCCAGTTCATTGTAATGAGCACAGTACATACAAATCCTCATTTAGCGACTTCTCATTTAAGGACCTAGTTGCAGGAACCCTCACTCGGGCGTAGCGAGGAATGTCTGTAGTTTACTAAGTCACTTTACTGCCGCTCTCCTGTGGACACCATCGTCCTGTTTCACAGAGAGGAAACTGAGGAACAGAGTAGTTCCAAAGGTAACCGAGGTCACCCGGCCATGAACCCTGCGAGCTCTCCCACCCCCGGCCAGGCCCAGAGGGCTATGAGTGGCCCCACCGACCCCCAGGCCCATTCCCAGGGCGGCGGGTACAGCGGGGAGCTAGGGTCCGTGCTGTGAGCCTTGGGGCAGGAAAAGTCACTGGCAGCGTCTCGGTGACCCTTTGCCTCCTGGGGTGACGCCCGCCCTTCTGCTGCCGGCTGCAGGACCCTGCCTGGGTGGCCCCCTCTCTGTCCCTACCTTGGGTCCTCGAGGTGCTCAGTCATCCAGGAGCCCAAAAGCAGTGTCCTGGGGGGTATTAGCGGGGGACCCAGAGGGGACACTCGAAGGCCGGGCACAGCACACCTGTGGGAGCTCCGCCTCCGTCCCACTGTGCCCGGGCAAGGCTGCTGGCCTTCACGCCCACCCAGCCAGTCCACTGTCCCCACTGCTCCTGCAGCAGCTGCTTCAACATTCGCCCGATTCGGCCTGCAGCTGCCTCCCCACCCCGGGCGGCTTAGTAGGCACCACTGGGCCAGGGGGATCTTGTCGGGCTCCAGCAGCACTTCAGCCTGGCCGGGTGCAGGGAAGCAACGGGGCAAGCAGAAAAAGAACCTGGCCGGGTGTCTCCTGGGGGAACCCTGGCCGCCCACCGGCCCCACGGTGCCTGCAGCCAGCCCAGCCCCTCAGCCCCGCTCCCGAGGAGCCCCGGCCCAACCCCCCGGGGGGCCAACCTCCTCCTGCGTGTCTGGACAGTGGAGGCACGGTCACTGCCTTCCTTCCTCCCAAGCCGTGGTCTAGCCGGAACAGGCCCACCCTCCCCCTCGCAGCTGCCCAGTGTCCCCGCCCCGAGTGTGGGCGGGACGCACCGCCCGGAGGGTGCTCGGCCAGCCCAGCGGGGCAGCCGCCAAGTGGGCGGCTTGGCGGGAGGGAGCCTGGAGCCCGGTCTCTGTCTCTGTGGTGACCTGGCAGGCCCCCTCCTCTCCTCCCTGACGCTCACTTCCTGTCCCTAACACGGGGCCTCAGTGGCTGCTGTGATCCCCAGCCCTTGCCTGCTCCAGGAGCCAAGCCCAGGGTGTGGGCAGGGCCTGCCGGGGAAGCAGCAGCACAGCACCCACCCACACCAAGGCTGCCGGAAGCTCTTCCCGGCACAACCGGGCCTGGTCCTCTTGGCCCCCAGGCCAGGCCCCATGCCCCCCAAGTCCTGCCCTGTACAGCTCCTGACGCACCCCTCCAGAGACACCAGCTTTCTACTGCACAGAGCCGGGCATTTGCCCATCACAGGCAGAAGTAAGTGCCCAAGGAAAGCAGGAAGAACAAGAACCTCTGATGCCACCACCAGCTGCGAAGGGCTCAGAGGGGCAGTGCCAAGTAGTTAGCAACCAGAGAGCTGCATTCTTATTTGCACGGATCCTGTCCATTGTCTGTCTTGCACTCGGTCAGCTCGTCCATCCTCTACACTGACTGTGCGCTTGCTGCATATGCAGCCCTTGCTGGGAGGCTCAGAGCCCCCCAGCCCCAGTGTTGCCTTTGAGAGAGGCTTGGGGTCCGGAAGCAGGCAGACCCCAGGAGGGCGAGACACTGGCTGTATGGGACCACTCTCCTCCTGAGGAAGCCCAGGAGAACATCCTGGAGGAGGTGTCCCGGGCTGTAAGGTTGCTGTGCGCTGACACCATTCCTAGTCCCTGTGCAGAGGGCAGAGAGGCTGTCCTTTGTCCCCCACACCCACCCCCCGGGGCAGGCTTCCCTGGGACAGCACAAGGTCCCGCGCTGGGGAGGGAGAGACCAGCTCTGTCCCTGTTCCCACGCTGGGACCCACCTGGCCGCCTGAGGAGAGGCTGTGCCCGGGCAGAGCGGCCAGGGCAGCCCCGCCTCTCCTCGCCCTGGATTCTGAGACCAGCTGCAGCAGCAGCGCCGTCCAAGCCAACAGTCAGAGCTGCCACCTGGACTCTGGGCGAGGGGAGGAGGCTGGAGGCTGGAGCTGGGTTCGATCGTTGACCCGGGCCGCACGGCACTGCTCAGGAAGAGAAGGGAGGACGGGCCACCTCCCGGGCATGGAGGGCACAGTCTTGCTGGGATGCCAGGACAGGTCCTACTGTCACCCTGACCACCTTCCCCCTGCTGACACTGTTTCCCACCTTCGGTGCCAGCTTCATAGAACTTTGTAATTTTCCCCAAGGACTACTCCCTCCTTGGGTTTTGTGGAGCCCGTGGGTGTCATGGCTGATTTACTTTTGAGGGTGACAGGTGCCCCAGACCCCAAGACCGAGGGAGGATCATGCAGGACTCAGCCCTCGGCCCCCACGGCTGCTGCCCTCTGGCTCTAGCTCCTCCTTCGGGGCACAGGGCTGACCCCAGCCGTCCTCTGCCGGGCAGAAGTCTGGGATAGCACGGGATAGGGGTCCTCTGCCGAGCTCCATGCATGGCCCTGAGGGCGGGCAAGGCAGCAACAGGGACAGACCAGCCTGGGTGTCTGTCCCTGCCTCCCAGCAGCTCCAACGTGGGACACTGTGTGTCCTCTCCAGCAGGACACCAGGTGCCTCGTCCCAGGGAGTCACAGCAGGCAGGCTGGCTGCCAGGCTGCCTTGCGGCTGGATTTCTACTGCCAGGGCTTTATTTTCCCAACAAGAACCTTAAAACACACACACACACACACACACACACACACACACACACCCCAAACGCCTCCCTCCACTGTCCTGGGGTCTCGTGAAAGCTGCGGTGAGCATGGGCCTCTCCCCAGGGGAGTGCCCAGCAGGTGCCCCTCTCTGTCCTGGGCCACCTGAGGTATCTGCTGCCTGAGCATGGTGGGTTCGAGAGGCTGGTGCCAGGGCCCCGAAGCAGTGGCTCCATGCCCGGGTGCCATGTCCCCCAGAACTCGTCCCCGCCGTGATTTGTGTGTGGAGAGGTTGCTCCCACGCTGAGGCTGTGCCCCGCGAGAGGCTGCCACACAGAGGCCGCGGTGGGCCTCACCCTTACTAGGCACACTTAGGACACGTTGCCCAGCTGCCTGCGGTCCCCACCCATGCCCTGGCCCCTTTGCGTGTCCCACTGGCCTCTGCAACCTTTGCCTTCCCAGCTGCTGACCACCCTTGACCACCCCTGGCCACCCTCTCAGCCCAGCCTGCGAGGTGCCCACCTGCTATTGAGCCTGGCCAGGCCAGAAACTGGGTGTATTTGGGCTGCAATGCTCCCCAGTGCCCAGGTGGGGGCAGCAACACCCGGGGATCTGCTCACCCCAGGCAATCTGCCTACAGGAGGCTGAGCCATGGCAGAAAGCACCGCCCCCAGTGGCCGTGGGTGAGTACTGCAGACAGACAAATCTCGGTGGACTGGCAGCCCGGCCCTCCCATGGTGCTCCAGACCATGAAGTCCCGCCCTCAAGCCGGACAGAGGAAGGGCCCGCCAGGACGGAGAGGAGGGCTCGGGGACCTTGCTCCAGGGAGCAGAGAGCATGTCCCCCAGCTGCTTGTCAGATTTCAGAAACGGTTAAATGCCTCCAGGAGGCTGGGAATCTGCCCACTGCACCCATAATTCCACTGTGTGGAATTATGTGTGCTTTGCTCTGTGTGTTTTTTTGAGATAGGGTCACACTGCGTACTCCAGGCTGGCTTTGAACCCACTATGTAGCCCAGGCTGCTCTTAAACTTGTGGCAATCCTCCTGCCTCAGCCTCCCGAGTGCTGGGATGACAGGTGTGCACCGCCATTCCCAGCCCGCTGTGTTATTTTGAGGCTATGTGCTACGGCCCGGGATGGTGCTTATGGTTTTGGTGTCCCTGGTTGTCATTAAATAAGGAGCCTCTTACACAACAGGGCGCCGCTGTCTCACTGTCTGGCTTGGCACAGGGCAAATCACCACAGTACAGACGCCCCCTGCAGCTGAGCTGATGCAACAGCAGGAATGGCAGCCCCAGGGTCCTCGGCGAGCCACCCAGCCGGTTCCGCAGTGCTGCTGCCTTTACACCTCGCAGCTTCCTTCCCCCAGGGGCGCCGTAGAACGGCGGTTGCCTCCTTCCACCCTGGCCTGGCATCTCTCTTTCCAGCCTCTATTTTCAGTATTTCTGAGGCAGGGTGTCTCTGTTGTGTCCAGCACATTTGTATTCAAGAATGTGACACACAGCCGTGGTCACTGGTGGTGACAGCCGTCCACAAAGTGACACAGCAGAGCCAAAACTCAGCATGCCCACAGCTGAGCTGCCAGTCTGGATCCGCAGACCACGCTGATGGGTGCTGACCGCGTAGACTCCAAAGAGGAGGAGGACTCAGGCGGCTGGCAGTGTGCCAGGGAGTGGGCTCTGGCCCAGCCACTGGGCCCGGAGAAACAGAATCCATTCCCTGACGAGGGTGGGTGACTCTCAGGGTGCTTTTCTCCCTCCACAAACTGAAACCCGGACATGCTGTGGTGTGGGCTGCCTGCCTGCATGAACCAAGAATTGTCCACAGCGAGCGAGTTCTGGAATTGGAGCAAGGTTGGGCCGTGAAGTCTCAGCCCAGTGTTCCATGCATCCTGCTCCTGGATTAAAGACATCGATCCCAAGACACAGCTCAAGGGGTCCGGCTGCCTCTGCCAGGCAGAGCCATGAGGCCGTCGGGTCCTCGTTCCTTCTCCTGTACCGACACCCAGCACAGACCTGCTCCCACACGCCTTTGCAGCCAGCTGTGGCCACCTGACCCGCTGTGGCCTGCCAGAGGCAGTGTCCTTAGCAAGAGGCTGTGCCCTTTCCCTGCCTTCTTCCAGCTGGAGGGTGAACTCAGGCCTTGGGGTAGAAGCCTCATCTCACCCTAGTTTATGGGGTGAACTTGGGAAGTCACACAGGAGACCAGGCAGTCACATGAGGAGAAGGCCCTGGGCCTGACCCCACAGAGGGCGGTCCTAGCCCTGGTCATACCTGGAGCACCAAGGGTCACATTATGGCTTCTGCCATCCAGCTGTTTCCCAAGAGCTTCATGAGTTCAGAGGTGGGGCTTTTGGAAGCGGACTGGAGGAGACACTCATAGCAGACCGCTGTGGGAGGCGGGGCCTGGTGGGAGGCGGGGCCTGGAGGGTTCGCTCCACCTAGGCACTGCTCTTCTCTCCCTCCTTCCCGTCCACCATGCTGTGAGCAGCTCCCCTCCGCTCACACCCTTCCTCCAGGACTTCCTGCCTTGCAACCAGCTGACCCTGGACTGAACTCTCCTTTAAGTTGCAGGTGTTGGGTATTTAGTCCCAGGGGCAAGAAAGTGACTGAGACAGGTGGGAAGCAGCAGTCGCTGTGTCTGGTGGGCAGAGGGACGCTAACCAGCCCTAACACAGCTGCATTCCTATGTGCAAGTTTTATTTTTCTAGGAAAGAGTAAAGACTTGGAATTCAATTATCAAAACAAGTGCATACAGCAGTATCAAGCTGTGGCCAGAGACAAGAACCTGAGTTTAACCCACAGATGTGGTCAGCTCTTGTCACAAGAGGTACTCGCTGGCTAGCTGCCTGGCATGCAGCGGGGACGGTGGCAGTGAGACAGTGCTGCCAGAGGGTGACGTCAAAGCCCTATTATTTGGGTGCACTTCACACCTTTGTAATTTCCCACTTGGAAAAATTACCTTTTAAGTGGATAATTTGAAACTGTTTAAGGTGCACTAAAACTTCTGTTCAAGGAATAATTTGTTCCAACCTGGAAGGATGACAGGGTCAGAAAGCAAAACACACCCTGGGCCTCTTCCTTATGCAGCACACACTGTCATGGTCACCAATACCCTGTCCAGATCAGCGGCAGCTATACTGTATTCTTCAAGTTTTGGTAGGAAGGATTTGTATCATTTATTTAAAGTTCTAGAATAACTTTGAAATGTTTTATCATCTCGTTATAATTTTTTGGATCACTATTTGGAAATAGGTTTCTTAATTTGCAAACACAGATTTTTCTGTGTAATTTTATTTTGGGGGTTTATTGGGAATCAAACTCAGGGACTTACACTTGCCAGGCAGTTTCTGTGTAATTTTTATTACTGATTTCTAACTTCACGGTGGTGAGAGAAGGTAGTTTATATGATTTGAATAACACTGATTTTGTTTTTGTTTCCACTCACTGTTAAGGGGCAAGGAGGAAAATCTGCCCTGCTGTCCCTCGGGGTGGTGGCAGTGTGTGTGGGCTGGGGAGGGTGTACAAGGGGCGATCAAAACCCACATATGGTAAGTGCTGAAATCTAAAAATTGTTGAGTAAAAGACACATTGCCATTAATCCCTCCAAAATGATCTCCCTTCACTCTGAACACGCACCCCATCCTTTTCGCCGTTTCCTGAAGGAGTCTGGAAGAAGTGAGTGCTGAGTCACGGGACAGGCAGCTCATTCAAAACATGGCGCTGTGTTCTCATCCCTTTATTTAATAAATCTGGCACTGTGCAGCCTCCAGCCCTTCCCCAAGGTCATAATGGCCATGAAAGGTCAATGTTTTCAATTTAGGGCACTGAGGCAGCCATGACAGCACAGCTGAAGACACACATGAAGGAAGACTTCCAGAGCTGCTTCAAGAAGTGGCAGGAATGATGGGATAAGTGTTCAGAACAAGGGGGGAGGATTCTCAGGGAGACTGAAGGCCATGTGTCTTTTGCTGTAATAACAGATGTAAACATACTGCATTTCCGATTACACCGTGTGTATAATCATCCTGACATCGAGGGTGAGGCCCACTGCATCCCAATTTCAAAGCTGGGCCCACCTATTATAGACTCTCGCCTGGGTAGCCCTGGGTTTCGTCTCCTCCCCTAGCCCAGCCCTCAAGTTCTCTGGTTGGGCAGATGCCTTGAGGAGGAAGCCAGCGACCTCTGGATTCCTGCCTGTACTTCGCGTTTGGTATGTGGATTCTTTTTGCCAGTTGGCTAATGGAATTTGGACTCTTCTTCCAGTGTGTGCTGTTTTTACCTGGGGAGCTGGCCAGGGCATGTGACCTACTGTTTGCTGCAGGCAGGAGAACAACCCTGGGAGGTCTGCACTCCACCACTGGAACCTGTGAGTGCTACCTTTCTTTGCAGAAAGCTCTGCGTGGGTGATTAGGGTTGAGGACCTGGAGACAGGGGATTGTCCTGCACCGTCTGCCTGGGACCAGTCTAATCACCAGTCCTTAAGAGTGAGACTTTCCTGCCTAGAGCACTGCCACTTTGCTGGCTGTGAGGATGGAGGTGAGGGCCATGACTGCAGGGTACAGGCAGCTTCTGGGAGCTGGGAAGGGAGAGGAGGTGGGTTTTCTCTCAGCTGAGTGTTAGCCTGACCATTGGTTGACGCCATCTGTGCCTTCACGACCCTGCGGGGACACGGCTGTGTGATAAGCCCAGGGTCATTTGTCACAGCAGCAGAAGACGCACACACCCACACTCTGCTGTGCTCCAAGCCAAGCCTCTCTTCAGACCCTGTCCCCGGAGCCTCACAGGGCGCTCTGATGAGACCCCAAGGGTTCCCTCTTCCCCACCTCCCCTCCCGCAATGCCGTTTGTTCTGGCATCTCTCCTTGCATTTATCCACACTCACTCTCTGTTACTTGTTGTGATCTTTAATAGTGAGGTCAACTGGAATGGACTGACAAATGCCAGTGGTGGCGAACCTATGGCACGCATGCTGCAGCAGGCTGTTCTTATCAACAAGACCTCTAAAAGGTTCGCCACCACTGGCCTAGAGGATTAGGGGGGCAGAGTTGTGGGCGTGTCTGGATGACTGACCCACAGGCCACAAACTGAGGAGGGAAGACCCGCCCCAGATGTGGGTGGCACCAACCAATGGGCTTGTAGCCTGGATGGAATCAAAAGGGAAAGGAAGCCTGTCCTTTGGCTTCTTCAGCAGTGCTCCAGTCATCATCTTCTTTGGATGTGCCTCTCCAGCTCCTTCAGGCTTCCAGCACAGACCCTTTGGTTTTCGAATGGGACTCACACCGGACTCTGGCCGGGTCCTCCAGCCCTCTGGCACATGGATGGCCCTTCTGCATCCTTCCACCCCGCCACTCTGCAAGCGGCCATCGTCATCCTACCTAGTCAGCCCTGTGCACATCATACATAATATTAAACCCACTCGTCTGGCAACCCCTGACCAATACACGAGTGTCACAGCTAACTGCTTCTTGACTCTCACAGAGAACAGCTGAGGAAGCCAGCGTCCTGTCCCCCTTCCTGCCTCTGTCATTCCCAGCTGTCCTTCCTACCTTTTGACATTGGCAATTTCCTCCGACAGCTTGTGACGGCTGCAGTGTGTTCTGTAACCAAGTCTCCCACCCTAGTTAGGACTTGTTCCCAGAGACGCAGGCTCATCATCACCCAGCCCTGGGGCTTGCTTCCCAGCGCTCACAGGCACTTCTCCATGGTACCATGTCCCTGCTGCCAATCATAAGACCCTGCAGGCACCAACCCCTCACCCTGCCCCAGCAAAGACTAGGTGTGCAGCACCTATGGCGAGCCTGACATTTTCTCCTCCTATAACACCCGCTCTTTGCTTGGATGCCCGTCAGCTTTTCTCCCTCTCTGAACCCTGGGCTTCACCGACCCAGGTCTGTGCATCCTGGGAATGGTGCACCTCCTCACTTTTGGAAACAGAAAAACCTCCTTTTAAAGGTTTGCCCTGCTCCATGATTTTGTTTTTCCACTTGAAACTCCAACTATTTCTGTGTGTCAGTTCTCTGACACCTGACTACACAGGGGCTGGTCCTGGGCCCTGAAATCCTGCAGCTGTGGCTCCCTGTGCCTGGGGAAGGGTTCAAACCCCAGGCCCCAGCCGCGGACAGCCTGGACCTGCGGTTCTCTCCTTGTCTGGAACTGGCCGGGTCTGCCCAGCCTCTGTGCACTCTGCGTATTTCATATGGCGCAGCTGTGTGTCGTGTGCTCCATCTAACACGCCATAGACAACGGACAATGCCTTGTTGGCCTGTTCAGTGCTCTACAGCTCAGCTAAGGGGTCAATTAACATGGGCTGGACACATGAAAGAAGTATCACAAGCACAAAGTCTGTATTTTTTGCAATACTTGATAAATAAAGGAAAATCGCCAAAATGGGTCAGGTAAAAAACGTACGATTCCTGTGGAAACTTGCAAAGCATCCAGAGAGCAGAGAGGAAGAGGGGAGGGGAAGAGAGGAGGGGAAAAATCCAGTTTGCTTAGTGAGCCCCCCACAAGCTTCTGCTCTGTTTCCTGCAGCGTGATGCACACGGCTGACCCTTGTTATTGTGCACGCGTGACGGAGTCAGTGAGGGCGCTGCGGTCCTGGTCTCCACCGAGACTCGGCAGCAGTCTCAGGAGCCAATCTCCAGCTCGCCTAAGGGAGGGGCGCCAGTCACATGGAAAGAGCCAAGGGGGCTTGGCAGGACTGAGGAGGCCGTAGACGACACCCCAGGGGCACCCCCCGCTGGGCTGCCCCGGGCAACCTTGTTCTGGGGCAGAGACCGCCCACTGTAGCTCTCCACCCAGTTCAGGGGGGCTCACCCCAGGTCCCAGGTGGTCCCCGACACCCTTATCTGTCCTCTGCAGGGACATCGGCTTGAGTTGGGGTTAGGAGAAGGGGCAGGGCCCAAGCACGAGCCCTAATCCAACAGGAAGGGCGACCTTAGGAGTGCCGGGATAAGCCACTCAAGCACACAGCAAACAGCAGCCCGGCCAGGGAGGGAGGCCTCTGGAAGCCAGCCCAGGGGCACCAAGACCTGACTTCAGCCTCCAGGTCCTCAAGGAGACAGATTCCTGTGCTTACCCGAGGGCCAAGGTTGAGGAGCTCTGCCACCTGTGGTCCCGGCAGGTGGGTGTGCAGGTCTCTGCCGGGGGCCAGGAGGAGAATGACATGGTAGGTGGGACACCGGGGGTCAAATGTGCCTCACCATCTCCAGAGTGGTTTCACGCTGCAAAATCCACAGCAGACCCTGTCACCTCCTTCCCGGGTCACGTGGATGGCTTCCTGCCCAGGGCAGCAGGGCACGTGCTGGCTGTCAGCCACCAGGGCCAGGCCCTGCCTGGAGAGATGGGTGGGCACAGGCTCCCCAACCTCAGCCTTGACCAAGCACCCACACCCACCAAGAGCCTCATGTCTTGAGCAGTCCTCCAAGCAATCTGTGAGCCAGCCCTGCAGCAGGGGCGGCTGCTGCCACCCCATGGCCCCTGCTGTCCCCCCAGTGATGGGACCCCATGCTCTCAGGCTAGCTCGGGCCCCGCACAGACCTTGTATTTCCCAGCCCCCTGGCAGCCAGAAATGGCTCTGCAAGCAGGCACTGGCTACAGAGCCACGAGGGGAGCTCTGGTTCCTCCCGCAGCCTCATGGGCAGGAGCTCCTGCAACCATGTTGGACCAGGAGGTAATGGTAAGGATGGGAGGAGGGCAGGCGAGCCCGAGGCGCTGCACGTCTGGCAGCACAAGGGGTCCAGAGGCAGTTGTGACCCAAAGCTGGGCAGACTCTGGGGGCTCAGGAGAAGAAACGGCAGCACCCTCCACCCAAGGCACAAAAGGTCAATCGTCTCAGCAGAAAAGAACATAGGTTTATTTGGAGTAAAAACCGTGGTCTGAAAAAACCCATTGGCAAATGTACAGTTTGTGTTTCAGTTGAGGTCACGGCGACCGGACCCTAGATCCCTGACTCGCATGCAAGGGGCCCCTGAACGTTCACAGCTGATCTGGGCCCAGGTCCTCGGCCCTCCGGAGGGCGGCCTGCCTCTGCCGACACACCTGCATCCCGGTCTCCCACCACCCTGCTCGGTACAGTGCAAAAACAAAGCCAAACCAAACACAAAGGTCAAACAAACACAGAACAAAACATTCACAAAACCCAGGGCTCTGGACCGCGTTTTTCAGTGTTCTCTGCATGGTGATGACGGGGGTCACCACGAGCACAAATACCCATCGCCTGACCTGCGATGAATCTCTCCCTTCTTACTCACAGAGAGGGCGCGGGAGATGTGGGGGAAATAATCACAATCTTTTTCCCTTAAAAAAACAAACGGGCTGAACAAAACACAAGGAAATGAAAATCCACCATAAAGTCCTGACCAGTGAACCCTCGGGGGCTGCGCTCTCCCTGCCGTCCCGGGCTGGCTCGAAGTGCCGGGGCGCTGCCCCCGCAGGCCTGTGCTCCCTCTCTGTGCCCACTCTCCACTGCACCCTATTCCTCTCTCCTCCCCACCCGCCGGCCACCTCCCCCTGCCGGGGCTGCTGGGAGTGCAAACCCTGCACCGAGGCTCGTCCTGACCAGAGGCACCCGGGGCAGTGCAGTTCCCAGAGAGGACACCCTCCCCACTTGACCGGACCCTCCTCACCTGGAGCTGTGCAGCTGACCAGGACATGGCCCCGGAGGAAGCCCGCTGGCCCCAGCTTGCCTTGGAGCCGAGAGCAAACAGGGTCCCCCAGCCTTACGCAGCCTCAGGCCAGACAGCAGGCTGTGGCCAAGCCAGCAGCAGGTCCTGTGAGGACCCGGGAGAAGTCACAGGGTACAGCCACCCGCAAGGGCACTTATTTCCGGTTCATCACGGCCCAAGCGCAGGCCAAATGGGCCCATCGGGGGGAGACCAGCCCTGGGCCAGAACTGATCTCTTGCAAAGGCTGGCAGAGCCCGGGGACCCTGTGCAGGACACAGAAAGGGAGGCTGGTGGGCAGCAGGGCCGTGGTGACCCCCCATGCCCTACAGGGTCTACAGAAGGCGTGTCGCCAGGCAGCAGGTTCAGGGGAGGGCCCCTTGCAAGGCCAAGAACAGTACCGTTGACTGGGGTCGGGTTGGCAGTGCCATCGTCCCTCGGCCCCTCCTGAGAGCAGGGCCACCCTGTGGGGTCTGCAGGCCCCGAGTGGGGGGAGACAGGGAAGCCGGGGAGGTCCCAGGAGCCAGCAGGACATGGGGGCCCGTGAGCTCCCTCCCTCTGCACTCCAGTACAGCAGGCTGAGCAGGACCACGGCAAACAGCCTGGCTCTGGCTCCTGCTGCTCCCCTGGCCAGGAGCCCCGAGCCCGCAGAGAAAGGGCTGAGTCCAGCGGCTGAGCAGATGGGCTGGGGTGGCCCCTGAGGTCCCCAGCCCCCCAGACATCATCTGCTGTTTAATCCTAGGCGCCTGAGCACCACCTCCTCCAGAGGGGCACAGGATGAGCCTCTGGCCTCCGCCGCCAAAAGGGCCCGGTCTGTCGTGTAGCTGGCACCGGCCACATCTCCACACTGGCAGGGCTGGCCTAGGCTTCCTCTATGTACAAGCAGCATACCCACAGCAGGCCACCGGGGCAGGTGGCAGGGAAACAGTCCGAGATTAGGATTCCAAGTGCCCTCCCCACCCCTATGGGCTGTCGATGACGGGCAGCTCGGTGGGTGTCTCCCCTGGGAATCACGGAGGAGCCAGAGACAGACTTCAGGACACTCTCCCGAGAAAATCCGCAAATGCTGCCCGAGCCCCTGCAGTCACTGGATGCCCTCCTCTTCCACGTAGGTCGAGGGAAACCAGCCGATCTGAAAGAAATGCAAGATAGACCGTTCACGCGCTGGCGGCTGTCGCAGACAGCTGGATATGTGCACACGAGGGACCCTGAAAGGCGAAGCAGGCCCTGGGACGGGGCTGAGGGCCTGGGGGGCCGAAAAAGCAACCCAGAAACACACCAGCCTTGACCAGTGAAGATCATCTGACCGCCAGAAAAGAATCGACCCCCACCTTGGAAAAAGTATACAGCTCACACCTCACATATGGCCTGCGCTATCAGGACGGCATAAACCGCCCTCAGGTCACCCACTGGGGCACAAATAACGTCACCCAAGAGGTGGACGATGTCACAGACGACTGACCATCGAGACCCAGGAAAACCCCAGAACTGAAGATGCCAAGACTGAAGTCAAGCCCGACAGAGGCGTGATGGTGAGAGGGCAGCGGGGACGGGTGACAGGCAGCGACCCGATGGATGGACAGCAGGAAGGGAGGGGAGGGCGATGAGGGCCCGTGAGGTCTGTTGTCTGTGCACACAGCGGGCCGTGGCCGACCCAGTGCGCAGGGATGGCACAGGTTGGGTTTCAGGGGACAGCTGAGGGGTCAGGCTCAGGATGGGTCCCTCTAAGGGGCCAGGTAAAGACTGTGCCTGGCAGACATGGCAGGGGCCAGAGGACCCCAGAGCAACACCATCAGATAGCAGCATGGGGTCCCCAGCACCCTGAGCCCCACACCCGGCAGAAAAGCCCATCCAGACAACGAGGACAATTCCGCACAAGAGGGATGGGGTCTCCTCGGGGAAGTGAGCCATTCTGGGGAGAAGGGAGGAGCAAGGGGAAGAGGAAGTCCCTCTGCGGGACAGAGAGCCGGTGAGTCCCGGAGAAGGGTAGTCAGGAATAACTGCGCCGTGAAAGAGCTGTGCAGACCGAGCCCAGGTGCGAACAAACATAACGAACAGAACTAGCAGGCAAGAGTGTGGAGGGATGAGACGCTGGTCCAGTCTCCCGGAGCAGATGCGCCCGGCACCCGGTACCTGCAGGGCCAGTTCCTGGGGCCTGGGATACCCAAACGGGGACGCTCGGGTCTCTTCTGAGAGCGCTCGGTGTTAACACAGAACCCGCGTGTGCCCCCGCATGCTTCCAGCAGGCTCCAGACTGCGCGTGGTACCCAGTGTCATGGGAACGCTATGTACAGAGCTGCTTCGCTGCCTCGTTTAGGGTATAATGGTGGGGGAAAGGTCTGTACATGCTCAATACTGATGCAACTGTATAAAAGTATTTTTGGTCTGTGGTTGGTTGAACTACACATGTGGAACGTAGAGGCCCCACTACACATGGCGTGGTCCAAAACTACAGTGTGCGTTTCAGCAGCATTACAGTAAAAGGCATGTTGCCATCAATCTTCCTCATAAAAACCCCCTCACTCCAAACGCTTTACCCCATTGTCCTTGCCACCTTCTCAAGCAGTTCTGGAGTCCCCGATCACAAGTGTCTCTACAGGGTGGGATCAAAAATATCGTGAATGCTACTTTGAGGAGCACCCAACAGAAAGGCAGCTCATAAAAACACAGTGAGGCCTCATCCGCCTTACCCACCCACCGGGTCTGACACCCTACGACTTCTAGCTCGTCTCCAAAGTCAAAATGACCATAGAAAGGAGACACTGTGAATTATCCAGGACATGGATGGAGCCACAACAGCCCACTAAAGACACCCACGAAAGACTTTCAGAGCTGCTTCAAAAAGTGGCAATGAGGGGACACGTATTCCAAGCCAGGGACAGTATGTCAGGAGATTCATGGCAATGTGTCTTTTGCCAATTAAAAGAATTTTTTAAGATATTCACCATATTTTTGATTCCCCTTGTATTATACTGCGAATGTCTCTCCTTCAGGGAGAGGGGCAGTATTGGAGATTGAACCCAGGCCTCACATATGCTAGGCAAATGCTCTACCATTGAGCTACAGCCCTGGCCCTTCCTTTTTAATTTTGAGACAGGGTCTCACTTGCATAGCCCAGGCTGGCCTTGAACTTGTGGTCCTCCTGCCTCAGCCTCTGGAGTAGCTGGGATTACGGCCATGTACCACTACGCCGTGGCAGATTACTTATTAACTGCTATAACTTGGAACCTGGCAGATGCCATCTTAGCCAAGTGATCGAAGTTAATGTCACAAACAGCGAGAGAAACTGGCAGCACATACTCCTGGCAGGACACAGTGGCCCTGAGAGAGGTGCCCTGTCATGGAGTCCCCAGCAGAAACCTGTGACCTTAGCCTATCACGTATCATACAAACCTAAGTAGGCCGTGGCATGATCTACAAAAACAACTGGCCCGAATTCTTCAGAAAGTGTCCAAGTCACATAAGGATCTGGACTCGTTTGGGGACCAAGTTCAGGGTCGTGGCACGTGGACGTGACCCACGGTCCACGTGAACCCGTATCTCGGAGCTGGCTCGATCTTAGGAAACGCTCAGGGTGAAGGTGTGTGCCTTTCGCAACTTACCTTCAAATGGAAAAAACACACAGAGCTAAGGTGCAGTATAATACTTGCAGGGGAGGAAAACACAGTGAAAGGCTACAAGTTCTCGTGCTGTCCTGAAATGTAACCAGGATCATCTGAGGTGGTCTCTACACAGTAGGGGCGTCTGCCACGACCTCTCAGACACGTGGTGGTCAGAGTGTGTAACTAACCAATGAAGGCGGGGGGGGGGGTGTGTGCGTGGATCAGTTAGGGAAGAATACCGGGTAATCCAACAATAGTTGAGAAGAAGAAAGAAATGGGTGTGACTAATAAGCAATGAGGTGATATGTTTACCCCACAGTAGCTCCACGATTACACTAAATGTAAATGGGCAACGTGTACCCACTAAAAGGCAAAGGCTGACAGATCACATTGGCTTTTTAAAAAACCCACCTGTGAGTGAGACTCATCTTATTTATTTTTCTTTTCAGTACCAGGGATCGAACTCACGACCTTGCGCTTGCTGGGCAGGCGCTGTGTCACTGAGCTAAATCCCCAGCCCCCCAGACCCATCTTAAATGTAAGGAAACAGGAAGAGAGAAAAGCATGCCATGCAGACCCAATCCCAAGGAACGCTGGGGTCCTCCGATGGCAAAGTCAACTTTGCAATAACTGCCAGAGGTAAAAAGGGTCATTTCCCAGCAACAGCAGGGTCTCATAGACTGCCATTAGCAGTGCCAAAGCCAGAGATTCTAAACCTAATTGCAGGGACTGCTGGGACTTGGTGAGCACACAGGTGTGTGTCCTGGAGTAATGGCTCCAGGTGCGTCCCATGTCACCAACACAGGTGCACTTTGAGAGCCGTGATCTAAACCTTCAGGTTGCAGCCTGGGTCTCAGGACCTGCCCCTGCTGAAGGGCATCTGGGAGGAAACCAGACAACACCTAAGGCCTGCAGGGACCAACACCATGCCCAGCGGAGGCCACCTGGCTCCTGCACCACGCAACAGACACTCAGCAGGGCCGCTGAGGCTGCCTGGCACCTGCCTGTGGGTGGCTGAGGCCGGAGCTGGGTTGGACATTTCCCGATTGGTGGCACACGGAACTCTTGCACCCCACTGGGTAGGTGCACAGAGACCTAGCTCAAAACCAGAGGATCTGACACAGCACTAGGGTCAGGGCCCTGGGCTCCGCATGCTCAGAGCAGGCAGGGAAGAGGAGGCCGGAGTCCAGGGGCTCTGATCCAGATCTGATACCTGTGGGACCAGGGGCCCATGGTAAACACGTGGAGGCCCAGTTTCCCTTCATGACACCGGCCTTCAGGGTGGCTCTGAGGACAAGGTAGGTCAGGGGCAGAGGGTGCCTGGCGCAGGGCCCCGTAGTCTCTCACCCGGCCGTTGGTCTCGCCCTTCCACCAGCCTTGGTCCCCACCGATGCGGCTGTGGATCTTCACCACGTCGCCCTCCCGAAGCGAGAGCTCCCGCATGTCCCGTGCGGCGAAGTTGTACCTGGCCACCGCCGTGCCGATGACGCGGGGCGTGAACACTGCGGGGAGAGGGGCTGGCGTCACACGCCACAGGAGCCCAGCCAGCCGGGGGGCCTCGGGCCGAGCTGGGTTCTCCTGTGCCCGGCCCTGGGCCCACAGAGGAGGACGTGGACCAGAAAGGGTCCGGCCCGGTCTGGGTGCACGGTGAGGCCCTCACACTGGAACGGGGCCGGACCCTGCACAGCAGCCGCTGCGGGCAGCGAGCGTGTACTCGGGGACCCGCAGGGGCTGTGCTCTCACCAGGCCAGCCCATCCCAGAGCCCCAAACCACACCGGAGATGCACAGCCAGCTCAGCCCGAGCCCAGGGGCGCTGAGGGGTGGGTGAGGATGACGGTGACACGCACAGCCACTGGGGAGAGGCTTTGGCTCTGGCGGGGGTCACCACACGGTCACGGCCGACCGAGACCCCGTCCTCCCCACCCTGAGTCCCAGGGCCTCCCAGCCACACACGGAGGGGCCCCCACGTTCCCGCCACCAGAGGCAAAGCTGATGAGCTATGAGGCGACACGGATGAGGTGGGAGGTGGCCGTCAGGGTGACAAGGGCAGCAGGGGCCCTGGGCGCAGCGGTACCTGACCAGAAGGGAGCGGAAGGGCCCTGGGGGGCAAAGCTGAGGCCCTGAGGACTGAGAAAAGAGAAGTTGTAGGAAGCACAGGACGCTGCAAAGAGGCGAGAGAGAGCGTGAGACAGACGTGTGGGCAGCGGGGCGGCCACTGGAGAGGGGTGCAGGCTGGGGTGGGGTGCCAGGGAGGATGCCAGCGCCCTGCCAGATGCCTAGAGGCTGGCGCCCGCACTGCTGCTTGGCTCTGCCCCGGGACACCATGCTCCACGGATCCCTATGATCTGGAGGATGGGGTGATGAGCCATAGGCCCCAAGTTCCCAGGGCCTCTCCCAGCCAGGGGCCAGGGGCCAGGGGCTGGGTTCTGGAGGACCTGCTCTCCCACCTGCACAGGTGCCAAGCACAGGGCCTCCCATACTGGCCTCTGGGCTGGGAGCCAAGGCAGAGCAGGGCAGAGCTGGCGTGGGTCCCCGTTTGTCAAGAGGCACAGGAGGGGGCACAGGTGGCCCTGGGCCCCACCAGCAGTGGGCAGAGCAGCGGGCAGAGGCGTGGCGTTACCTGGGGAGCGGCTGGAGGCCCTGGGGGTGGCGCGCTCCCGGGACTTATAGGGGTACTTGAGCGTGGTGTCCAGCTGCTTGAAGCTCTCCTTGAGCGAGTGGCTCTGGTAGTACTCCACCAGCTCCTGCGGGGGGCAGCGCTCAGCACACTCCCAGTGTCCACCCAGGAGCCCCGACTCCCTGCTCCTCCCCCAGCCCAGGGGCATCTGTGGCTAGACCTTGGCCTGGCAACTGCACCCCAAAATTTTCTAGAGGAATAACCTTGAAGAACTGAGGCTGACGGCAAGGACGTTTCCTGCCACACCCCGATAGAGGACAGAAGCTCGAAGCCCCGTGTCCAACAGGGACAGGGCTCACGTCCACCACAGAGGCCAGGCAGCTGCCGGCCAGGGGAAGAAGATCCAGCAAGGGCAAAGGTGGGTCGCCCGGAAGGTCAACAGGACCCCCCATGTGGCCAGTGTATTTGCTCTTAAAAGGTAGGAAGTGTACCCGCCGCACTGTGGGTACCTCCTGTTTGACCGTCTGCTTTCAGGGGCCACAGAGAGGAAGGAGGCGCTGTCCCAGCCTGGGGGCCCAGCACGCGCCATTAGGATGCGGGAGGGCGATGACCGATTGATTCTGAAGCCACACAAAGGAGAACTGCACCTCTGACTGCACCCCGGCGGGCAGTGCCTGCCATCACCTCCCTGGGGCTGGCGCAGCGGCTGGGGTGACGTGGTGGCCACAGGGTCCTCTCCTGCTGCCCTCCAGGGCCACCGCCGGGCTCAGGCTCCGGGGACAGAAGTCCTAGCTCCAGGGTGTGACGTGGCCCAAAGCCCACGTACCTCACACCCATGGTCCATGCTGGGCTGGATCTCCCCTCCCCTGGAGAAGTGGGTGGGCGGGGCTGGCGGACGGACTTACGGACAGACTCTCGAACTTCTTGGCCTCCGTAATGTGAACCCAGCTGTCCTTCTCCACCACCTTGATGTGCTTCACCTCGTCGTTGAACCTGGGCATTGGACCAGGGCCCGTGGTCACCGTGTGGGGGTCACACAGCCCTGGCCACTTCCTCTGTGTGCCCTGCCTCCCGGCCCCGCCGCACACCCCACTGTGGTCACCCGGGGCTCGTCCACCACCACATCACTCCCTGAGGGCCTGCTGCTGCGGGCAGCCTTGCTTCAGGTGCCCACAGGGTGGGCACAGAGGAGACAGGAGGGCGTGGGTGTCCATAGGAGACCCCTTTCCTGCTGGCTTCTGTCACTGGCAACTCCACAGTGCAGGCTGAGCTGCCTCAGGCACCAGGTGGCCGGGTCCTGGGACCCGCAGTGCCCAGCAGACCGGAGGGCCCAGGCCCTGGACGCAGGCTGCCATGCTGGGGGTCTTGACCCACTGAGGTCCCGGCAGCCCCGCAGCCCCTGTCACTGGCCTGTGGCCCATCAGTGGCCTGGCTTCAGATCCGGGCCCACAGGTGTCCCGGCCCCAACTGGCCCAGCAGAAGGAGGGTCCCCCAGCCCCAGGGCCGTCCTCACTTGATGCTAATGGCGAAGCGCTCGGCCTCCGCAGGCCGCTCCCGCACGAGGTAGGTGCCGCTGGCGTGGCCCTTGAGCAGGTTGTCCGTCTGCTGCCGCTCCATGTTGCCCGCAAACCTAGGCCAGGGGACGGGCTCTGTGACGCAGGGCTGGGCGCTGGCCTCTCCACACAGCGCCAGCCAGGAGCTAGGGGCAGCAGGAGGTGGCAGCAAACATTTGCCCACCACGTTTCTTTTCTGAAAGTATTTTTTGCCGGGCGTGGTGGCACACGCCTGTCTTCCCAGCACTTGGGAGGCTGAGGCAGGAGACTGTTGTGAGTTCGAAGCCAGCCTGGGCTACACAGCGAGTTCAACGCCTGCCTGAACTAGACAGGGGGTCTACGTGTCAAAAAATAATAATAAAAGGGGGGAAAAAGTAGCACTCATGTGACTCCTTATGTGTTCTGGGGGAAACGGGAGACACGCGTTGACTCCAAACGGACTCTGCCGGGACAGCGCTCCCCAGCACCTCCCAGGACGGCGGGGACTGACAACGCCACGCCACCGAGGTGAAAAACTAAACTCTCAGCTTCTCCACATCAAGGGAACACCCCAAGATCAACCGCTGACCACCACAGGTCGGCGCAGGGCCGACGAAGCCTCAGGGACCCTGCCGGCTTCTCAGAGAGACGCCAGGCAGCCAGCTCCGGGACGGGGTTCATTATGCCATGGGGCTGGGGGTCCCGGCAGGCTTCTGGGACAAATCCCAAACTGAAACACAGAGGGCAGCTCCCCCAGGTAGAGGTTGCCAGGTCTGCTCAGGGGCTCTCAGGGGCTCTCAGGGCCACGCTGCGTGACACCGGGGCCATTGAATGCCACACCCACGGCCCGCGGTCCACTCACCAGGGGTAGGCGGTGTAGTCGATCTCCCGGGACGGTGGCCGGCTGATGGGTGGCTGGGGGCAGAGCACAGGGCGTCAGTGTCCCTGAGGCCTCCGCGGGGCGAGTGGAGGGGCTGTGTCCACCATGTGTGCCCAGCACCGCCGGGCTGTGCGGTTCCTAAGGCCATGGCTGGGCGCCCCCTCTGATGCTCAGGAGTGCCTCAGCAAATGATGCGTTCGAAGGGAGGGGTACAGATTCCCCAGTGTGCGCTGCGCTCAACCCCCAGGGTGAGGAGTCCCTGGCAGTGGTCAGCAGTGGGCACGAGCCGGCTGGCAGCTACCCGGAACACAGTGTTCAGTCCCCAGGGCCAGCACCCACAGAGCCCTGCCCTGCCCCGGTCCTGCTCCACAGCCCATTCCCAGGCCCGGGAAAGGAGGAGCCCCAGGCACCCTGTAAGCTGACGACACCAGTCTCTCTGTGGGTCTCCTGGTCTGCTCAAGGAGCCCCGTGCACTGACATTTCCTCCTCCAACCGGGCAGGGTGTGGGCTCCCCCCCCCAAAGAACCCTGACTCCCACTTTTGGCTGCCTTCGGGGTGACCTCATAGGGCTGCCAGCTTGCTGCGCTTCACAATGGAGCTGAGGGCTGGCTCTGCCCCTCCGACATCCAACACCACCCACTCAACCTTTCTTCCCACTAGCTGAGTCCAGCACAGACTCCTGTGTGAGGGCTTCCACCTCTCTGGGGCCGGGGGATGCCTCGAACCCCCAAGCCCCCAGCACATCCACCCTACGGAGAGGCCCCCAGGCCAGCCTCATCACGGCAGCCACTCAGCAAGGATGCCCTGGATGAGCCGGGCGTGTGCAGGAGGCCCTGTGCCTGATCAGCATGCTGTGGACGCACCTCGGGAAAGGACTCACCCTTCCATCCACCGGGCAGGGCTTCACCGATGAGCTGGGAAAGTACCCGGACTTCCTGGTCTGCACCAGCCGCCCCTGAGAGAGACACCTGCCATCTCAGGCCACTCAGCTACACAAACCCTGTCCTGATATGGGTGTCACCTCCCCCCCTCAGCCAGGCCCATGATGGCTGAGAGGAGGACACAGGCCCAGCAGAGCAATGGCATCTGCACAGCCACCAGGGACAAACAGGCCACAGCTGGGGGCAGGGGCAGAGGCTGGGAGATGTGCAGGGCCTCAGAGCCGTCTCCATCTCCAGCCACGTGGCTGCCCAGTCTGGTTCAGGAACCAGGTGCTCCTGGACAGTGACCAGAGGATAGGGCCACCACACGCGCCAGGCCTGCCCCGGCTGCCCTCGGAGCTCCTTGGGCACGGGCACAGGCAAGCAGCCCAGAGTGGTAGGGCTGATGGCGCCACTTCCGTGGGCCCCGGGGAGCAAGGTGGCCACTTCCTGGCTCAGGACCGCGGGCCTCGTCACGAGGATGTATCAAGACGGGACCTGGGAGATGGGGGGCAGTGCCTGGCTCCCCACAACAGCCCCAGGTCAGCGTGAAGGGTGCTGACCAGGGCAGGGGGCAGAGTGGGCAGAGGCGGGGATGGTGTGGGAAGGGTCTACAGGGCCCACTGAGGCAGGAAGGGCGAGGGGGACCTGGACCCCGTGTGAAGATGGGCAGGCCCCAAGCCTTGGCACAAATTGGCACAGCCGGGACCTCAATACCCAGCCTACCTCCGCGTGCAACACTGCCCGCTGGGCTTCCCCTGGGGACAGAAGGACAGAGGGTGGCACCCACCTCCCACCACTGTGACTCGGGGTCACCCCGCAGCAGCTCGATCACGTCGCCCATCTGGAAGGTGAGCACGGGCTTGCCAGGCGGGGCGGGGTTGCCGTGGTAATTCTGCACAGCCACCATCTTGGGACCTGCGGACACAGGCGGGGGAGGACGCAGCTCACTGGGGACCCGGTGCCCGGCCGCGCTCTCAGCCCGCCTCCAGGCTTCCCCAGTTCCGAGCTCCTTGGCACAGTCCACCCTGGACACAGACGCGGCCGGCTCAGAGCCTGCCCACGCGCCTGTATCTTTCTGACAAATATCAACACACTACTTCTGCTGCGAGCAGATGCCGCGAGGTATGGACCCAGATGGCCCAGGGCTATGCGTGTCACCCGCAAGCTATCCGAGTGATTTACCCTCGGGGCTGGGGTCCCTGTTGGATACAGGCCAAGGGGCAGGTGGCCTAGGGACTTGGCAAAGGGCACTCAGCTGGTGAGAGGCGGCTCCGGCACCAGGTTGGGGTGCTGGCTGAGCGCCCACAGAGCCTGACGCTGTTCCTAAGCGAGGCCTGGTCCAGCCCAGCCCCACTCCGAGCTGCTGAGGAGCCGGGGTCCAAGCCGCACCGGGTGAGCGCCACACCCACGGTTTCCGGCTGGTGCCCCAGCGCAGCAGCACTGCCTGGGTTTTGAACTTCCTGGGAGATGCCGAGGCGGCCACACAGCATGGGCCGCACTGGGGTTTCTGTGGGTTTCTGAGGGCCCGGGGCACTCCACCTCCACTCCTGGGGCTGCCGGGGAGCACAGCGCCTCTCCCCGGGTGGCGGAGGTTGAAGACAAAGTGGCCACCGCCGCACCAGCGCAGCAGTTCAGGCCCAGAACTCACCTGGTCCTGCTCCAGCGGTGTCCTGCGGACAGGGACAGACACGAGCAGTAAGGGAAGGCCCTCCTCGACCTCTGCGCCCACACTGGCTCCCAGTCCCCAGGGGAAGGGTCAAAGGAGGGAGAAGGGATGGCAGGACCCCGTGCTGGACACTGTGTGACACCCCTCCGTTCCCACCTCTGTTCCTCCTCCAGGAAGCCACCCTGACCACCCCAGCCTTGGGGCTCGTGGTCTCCATACGGGTTGTGCCTGCTGAGGAGGGCTAAGAACTGGGTGACAGAGGCACCGCTGAGCCCTCTGGGGCCTGGCACACACCCCTTCAAAGCCAGCTCATTTGTCTGGGGCCCACGGCTTGCAAGAGGCACACAGTCTGTGCCCCACAATGACAGCTAAACAAAGGGCTCCGTGCCAGGCAGGGGGCCTGGGGACAGGGAGACCATGCAGGTCACAGAGTTGCCCCTGCAGCCCCGAGCAAGCTGTGGGCAGCAGAAGCTGGGACAGGACCACAGCTCCCAGGGTACCCAGGGGGCTGCGCACGGGGCCCCACTTCTACCGACGTCCACGGAGGGAAATGAAGGCCCTCGTGATAGAAGGGCTGGTGGCGCGGGTGCCCGGGGAGGGAGGGTGGGACTCACCAGGTCTGCAGGAGAACCTGCAAAGGAAGAGGACACGGGTCAGGTGGGAGCCATGCGTTTCAGACATGGGTTACAGACACGTGGATGGGTGTGACCACAGATGTCTCTGAACGGTTCTGACAGATTCCAAGCTCTGGATTCAGGGGGCTCCTGAGGCCTCAGCTTGGGTATCAGACCCAAGAGGGCACCGGGGCCTCCAGCCCAGGCCAGTTCTGTTGGAAGGTGGCAGATGCCTGATTGCCGGTGGTGCCTGGTGCGGCCCTGGGCAACCATGAGGTGTGGGTGCCCATCCCTGACATGCCTCGCTCCTCAGGACCTTCAGTGCCACTGTGCTCGAGTACAAGGGTCTGAGAGATGTCAGAATCCCCCCCAGCCCCCTGCCAAGCTAGGCCACCTCCCGCCACAGGACAAGGGAAGGACTCCAGCAGCTAACGTGACACTCGGGGCTGTGGACGCTCTGACACATGCAGGTCTCCACAGCCCCGGGGCACAGGCCGCAGCTCAGGGGTGTTGGCAAAGGCAGAGGGTGGCAGTGTCGGCTTCACCTTGCCCAGGGAGGGCTCCCCAGCCAGGCCCCCTGGAGAAGCTGGCACGTCCCTGAGGCAGCAGGCAGCTACACTGAGCCCAGGCACAGGCCGGAGGTGGAGGCTGGCGGAGGGCAACGGAGGTTGCTGGAGCCAAAGGCCAGAGCTCAAGGCGGGGAGAGCGCAGCCTGGATGCCCTCCCACAGAGCAGGCTGGGGGCAGCGGGGAGAGGGACAGCACGCCTACCTGAGGGGCACGCAAGGGAGCCACGGGCCCTTTAAGATACCCAGTGCCACCAGGGGCTGTGATGGCGTGGGAAAACACGGGCGCTAACTCCGGCTTCGCCAGAGCTGAAGCTGCCCGCGGGGCGGGACCGGAAGCCAAGCACCAAGGACCAGAGCAGGGAGGCAGGGCTTGCGCTTGCAGGAGGAGGTGGGGAGGGCCCTGGGCACGAGGTGCACGGCTTGGAGCGGCACAGGCTGCCTGTCCCTCTACAGTTCATTTCCTAACTTTCCCACAGAAAACGGTGTCCAGTCATCCGGAGGGGAAAAGATAACCCAGAGAGATTATTTTCTAAGAAAAGAAAACTTGAAACAGGCAAAAACATTGCCCCGGCTATTTCTCGGTAAGGTCCTGGGTCACCTCTGTTCTCTTCTTTCTCTCATTTCTTCTCCTCTTCCCTCCTCCGGATTTTTGATAATTGGTTATGTCACTTTTAGACTCGGGATGTTTTAAAACGTTAAAACTACAGGGAGGCGTCAGCCAGCGTGCATGTGTGTGGCCACAAGAGGGCGGTGTTGTCAGCAAAGCGGAAGGGTGCCCCCCCTCCACCCCCAGCCAGGGAGCACTGCCCAGAGGGAAGTGCAGCGGGGCAGCTGGGTGACCTGTCCGCCCGGCTCAGGCCTGGCCCCGTTCCTAGTGACACACAGATCCATTACTCATCCAGTTCCTCACTAAACTGCATTCTGGACAGCGGGGCTGTAGGACAAGCCTGCCTGACCCCATCTCCCAGGTGGCCCAATGAGACAGGAGACCTGGGCACAGGGACTGGGACACAAACACCCCTCCCTGAATGGAGGGCCCACGGACAGTGGCTCTGACAGTCCCTGGAGGTCTCAGGCCCACTTCTGGAGCACAGGGTGGCGGTGACAGGGGCACCTCCCGAATCGCCATGCAGGTTAGAGTGACAAGATGCATGCCCAGCCGCAGAGCGGTGACCCACGGCCATGCCGGGTGCCAGGGCTTGGCCCCCACCCAGGAAGAGTGTGGACGTGGGCTGGCCTGCCTGGCTGAGTCCCACCACCCCTGAGCCCAGCCAGCCAGCCCCCTGTGCTGGCAGCTTCCTGGCCCCCAGGGGGTGGTATGGAACAGGGACCCCCACCTGGAGCACACAGAATGGGGCCTGGCACTCAGCAGTGCCCTGACCTGCACCGGGCTGTCGCTGGGACCACACTGACGCTGCCCAGGCCTGCCCCTTCGGAAGGAAGCCTGGGGGCTGGGCAGCTCAGGGCACAGCGCATGCTCCTGCGTGCGGCCCTGGATTGGCTGCGCGTGCAAAGCTCTGGGTGCTGCGCAGGGGACGGGGCTCCTGCGCTGGGTACTCACTGATCTTGCAGGGTGGCATCACCTCCAGGCACTCCTTGTGGGCCCCGACGCCACACCTGGTGCACAGGTAGCCCTGGTAGAAGGTGCCCCTGTGGGGACAGCACAGATGAGGCTGAGCTGCACCTGCTCCTCACACACAGGGCCCGTCAGGGCCTTGGTCCCCACCCGCAGCTTGCCTGGCCGCCCATCCTCGGCGGGACTGTGGGTCTCAAAAACCCCGCGTCTCCAGCGCCCCTCCGTCCTTCAGCGGCCCCAGCCCCCTGCACAGTCCCTGGACAATCCCATCTGGCTAGACCTGAGGCCCCAGGGCCCTGGCTGGTGTGACTCCTGTGGGCGCTCCCAGTTCCTTGGGGCCTCCCCGGGGCCAAGGCGGGGCGAGGTGCGGTGGGGCTGCATGGGAGGCCCACCGGAGGAACATCCTGCAGGCCTTGCAGCTGGTGGTCTTGTCAAACGTGTACATCTGGAAGCTGTGGTGGTTGGCGTTGGCTTTGTCCGGCCGGATGTTGGACCTGGTGGGAGAGGGCAGGGGCTGCACTTGTGACAACGCCAGGACTGGCTGTGCAGAGTTGGGGGGCCCAGACTCCTCTCTGGGCTCTGCCCAACCCCGGGCAGGCTGCAGGCAGCTCAGGGCTGGGGAGCATCACAGCAGCAGAGGAGAACTGCAGGGATGGGTGGGGCTCTAACATACTCCACAGGGCTTGGGGCAGGCACTGCCCGTCTCTGTCAAACCCAGCAAATATTCATCATTACCCCAGCCAGGCTGCCGGCTGTCCTTTGCCCAGTGTGTCCACACCGTGCACCACCCACTTAACTGTCACGCAGAGGCCGGCAGCTGTCGGGTCGGCCGTGGAAGAACCCTAGTCCTGGTGTCCAGGTGACCTCACCTTACCGAATCACGCACCAATGCTGAGGGTACTGAGGCTGACGATTTTATTACAGCACATGACATCACTGTCCTACTGTGCCACCAGCTGTTACTAATCTCTTCCTTGTGTACCATCTGCACGTGGTGACATGTCTCTGTGTCACAGCTCACACCGGCTTTGTACTGCCCACAGCCTCAGACATTCCTGTGAGCTAAGGGGACACCTGACCTGACACCTGCACCCTTCCCTGAGTGGAAGCTTGATATTCTAAAACCTGGACACCAGGACTCAGTTCAGGGTGGGACCCCAGGGGGCTCAGGGGACACCCACCGAATCTCAGCCACCACCTGCTGTCAGACAGCAATGAAGCCAGACAGAGAGGCGGGCGCAGAGCAGGGTGCCGTCCCAATGGGGATGCAGCCCCCGTGGGACAGAGACAAGTTCCACGGCATCCTTTCAACTTCCGGGAATATGTGACGTTGTTCCCAAGAGCACACTGGAGAAAATTCCCACCCCAGACACTGACTGAAGGGCAAAAGAGGAGGTGCCCAGGACTCCCCACCACACCCACCCACCAGGCCCGAGAAATCCCCTCACTCCTCCCCACAGCGCCCAGCACGGCACCGGTGGAGAAGCCTGGGAGGCAGCACAGCTGCCCCGAGGGTGGACACACTCGGAGCCCGCGCCTCAGCAGCTTCCTGTCCTGCACACAGGGCACTCCTGCTCTCCCGGCAGTGCCGGGCTTCTGAACACATGCCAAGCCCCACAGGCCCACGAATCAGCTGCCACGGTCCGGCCTGCCCCTGCCAAGGGTGCAAAGTGGGGCAAGGGGTGGGGGTGGGGTCCACCCGACGGCACAGCCAAGCCAGCCTGTGATGGGCAGGGGCAGCGGACGCACCCAACAGTCAGCACCCGGGCGGCACCACCCTCCCCGAGGGGCCCCTCACATGGCCATCTCGAACTGCTCCATCCACCTCCGCTTCATGTCTTCCGTCTTGCAGAAGAACTGGAAGCCCTGCTTCCCTTGCAGGTGGATCAGGTAGAAGCCGTAGGACCACTGCAGGGGACAGAACATACCTGCAGCTGGCATGCTGGCACGTGTGCCCTTGTCAGCATGCGTGTGCGCACATGTGTGTGTACACATGTGTGCGTGCAGTGTGCTCCTGCAGTGCAGTATGTGGCCGCATATCCACCCATGTGTCCACGTCGTGAGAATGCATGTGCACCCTTGCCAGAGTGTGTCAGTGTGCTCGCGTGAGTGTGTGCACGTGTGCCTGCAGGACACACACCACACATGGGTCTGATGCACAGAACTCTTCTGCAGGAGTGTATGCATATGCACACGCACATACACATGTTCTGGCTTGTGTGTGTGTGTGTGTGTGTGTGTGTGCTGTCCTGACCCAAGCACACATACGGTGCTCACACGTGTACACCTATGCATACATTTTCTGCCCAGTGTTTGAGCACATACACTCATGCATGTGCACATGTGCATGCACATGCATGTATTCTGACCTATGCGTGAGTGTGGTGCTCTCACGTGTACGTGCATGTGTGTTCCGACTGCACGGTGCTCACATGCAGGGCACTGTGCACCTTTGTGCGTGTACATAGTGCTCACACAAGTACAGCAGGCCAGGCCCGTGTGCAAGGACGCTCTGCTGAGTGTCTACATGTATGTGCATGTGAAGTCAGGTGCGTGCTGGGGGACCCGCCCTCTAGCAGAACCCTGGGGGTCCCCACCCCATAGGCGACCCCCACTGAGGGCCGCAGCTTAGCCAGTGTCCCTGGGGAGCTATGCTCAGGAACCGGCCTGGACTCCCACTTCCTCGATCTCAAGCTAAAAACACACTCCTCTGATGGGAAACAAAACAAAACAAAATTTTTTAAAGACCCAAGCTGGGTTTTAAAACGGCGCTAAGCACCCTCTCCAGCGGCTACACCGTCTCCACTGCTCTCAGGCAGCTGGGGGGCAGAGCGCGGGGGAGGCACAACCTCGTGTGTCAGGGAGGCTGAAGAGGAAGGAGGGAAAGAACAAGAGAAGCAGAGCACCACAGAGCCAGAGACTGCGGCCGGGAGCCTCCCACCACGGGGAGAGGTTCAAGTCGCGGTGACATGCAAGTCTCTGCCGTGAGCACGTGAGCTTCACGTCGAGGAGGAGGAGGAAGACCAAGGCCCACCAGGGCCCCAGACCCGGCTCAGTGCCGGGGGCCAATGCCAGGCAGCGAGCTGGGCAAGGGGGCGGGGGCGGGTGCTTACCATTTTCCCGTGAGACTAGGAAGCATGAAGGGAGGGAAGGAAAGGGGGAGACGGTCACCGAGAGGCTTGGCCCGGCCTGCGGGGCACAGCAGCCTGGCGCAGGCGGGACATGGCCCCTGCCACGTGCCTTGGCTTGGGGGAACCAGGGAAAGGCTCTCCGCCCTGAGGCCTGGTCGGGACCAGGAGCACAAGCCAGCTTCTGCTGGGCTGAGCCCTGAGCCTGGGGCGCGGCCTCCAGGGCCCGGGCTGCTTGTCTGGGACACCAGGCTTGGGAAGCGCTTGCGCACACTGGGTCTGCACCCCACCGTCAGCTGAGGCCAGGGCTGCGCTTCCCAGCAGCTCAGCTCCTGCCCGCCGGGCGGGGCCGCACACAGCAGGTGCTAGTGCTGCGTGCACAAGTCTCCCCAGAGCAGGGGTTCGGTGTCCGACACAGCAGCCGCAGCCTCGCCCCCGCACACACTGCCGGGTCACAGCCTGCTCCAGAAGGGACGGAGGTCCTCGAGGCCAGGCACAAGGCCAGTCAGGATCACAGCGAGACTGAAAGCCAGCCGGGCCCCTGCCTGGCCCCCGGGGAGCCAGGGTCCTGACGTGCCCACCCTGCTGCTGGACCCCTCCGCCCCAGCCTCCGCTGACCCAGGCGGCCGTGCCGCCCATGCGCGGCGTGCCCCGCGGCACACCCACCTTCTTGATGTCCTTGTTGTGCATGGGGTCGTCGGCCATCTTGTGGAGGAGCAGCTCGATGACCTCCCTCAGCTCGTAGCTGTAGCCCTTTCTCTTGCACACGATGAGCACCTTGTCAAACAGGAACAGGTACCTGGCCGGACAGCACGCCAGCGCGTCAGCACACCACCCCGGGGGCGCCCAGCCCGCACGCCAGCGCGTCAGCACACCACCCCGGGGGGCGCCCAGCCCGCCTCTGACTCACCCCGCAGACGGGGCCGGTTCACATCTCTGTCCCCGCTAGACTCCAGGGAGCCCCCAAAGGGCAGGACCTGAATCTGCTGTGGTCTGGCCCTGGCACACGGTAGGTGTGGCCATAGGATGCTGGGCACATGTGGATCATGCCAGTGTCATGTCCCCAGCTTCATGCCCACCCATTCCTGTGGACACCTGGCAGAAAGCCCAATGGGCAGGGCCCGCCGGGGAGGGCAGCCTGCTGTGCAGGCCCCGCTCTGCCCCGGCTCACCAATGCTCGGAAAGAAAGCAGGAAGCAACCAAACTTATGCAGTGCAGAGCCTGGGCCGGCCAGTCCTTCCGTGGAAAGGCCCTGTCACCAGCGATGCCAGGAGCCCCGTCCAGGGTGCCCTCACCTCAGTGCTGCCCCCAGCTCACCTGTCCTGTTTGGTGTGGTTGACGATGGACCGGACTTTCAGCTCGCCGTCGATCTTTGGCCTTCCAAATTCCTCCAGTTTCACTTGCTGGGGAAGAGCAGGAAAGGTCATTAGCAGCAGGGCAGCAGCCACGCACCCCAGGCAGGGGCACGGGGGACCCAGGCACAGACTGGTGACAAGCACCAATGGCTCCCAGCCATGCTGAGGACAAAGGGGGTGGATGGCAGCCAGGGACAGCAGCCTGCTGGCCCGTCTCCTCCTGGCCCCACATGGGCACAAAGGCCAATGGCAGCTCAGTCACGTCTGCAGGCACTGCTGCATGGAGCCTGAGGAGACCAGTAGGAAAAGCCCAACGCCAGGCAAAGCGAGGGAAAGGGCACACTTATCAGAGGCGGCCATGGGCAGTGCTCACAGGGAAGAGCGCGAGGCCAAAGCCCTGGTCGGGGCACTCGGGTTTCATCTCCTGCACTGGCAGGATGCGTCCACCGCCGCGGATTCGGAAATGCCTCTCTGGACAAGAGCCCCGCGCAGCCCTCGAGGGGCGTCCACATAGCTGGGACTAGCAGCAGGGAGTACCCAGGAAGAGCAGCCCCGCCCGGCAGAACCACAGCGAGCCACAGTCTGTCCAACGTTCCTCCATGTGCCCACAGCAGCGAGGGCAGTGGGCATGTGTCACCAGAGTGGGCACCTGCTTGGGCACGAGGCCTCGGCCCAGTCCCTCGAGTACAAAGAACCAGCCAGTGCCAGGGCAGAGGGGGGCTTGGTCTTGGGGACGCCAGTGCCATCGGGCGCAAGTTCTGTTCTCGTTTAACAAGCAGGTGGATGGCACACTAAACGCGTGTCACGAGAGGATGGCCGGTCTGCCGGGACCCCTGCGGGGAACCCTCAGTGTCTGGGCCCCAGCGGGCGCTAACAGTGGAACAATTTTCTGTCTTCTGGTCAGGGAAAGAGTCACGCAGTCACATGCGGGGGAGTCACACAGCTGGGCAACCGCTTTCTGCTCCTTTGCTGGCGCCAAGGCAGGGCAACATCTCTGCGCCGCAGACCGCAGAGGCCCAGGCTCCTCCTACACCTCCAGGCCCCCGTGGGTGAGGAACGGGCTCAGGGCACACAGCTGGCCCGGCATCTAGGTGTCCGCTGCCCATGCTTGTGACAGTGAAAACCACCAGTGAGTGGAAATGTCCACGTCAAAACAAGTGTTCTAGGGCAGGCGATTCTGCCACCTGAGGGACAGCTGGCTGGGACTGGACACTGCTGGTGGCCGTGGGGGGCAGGGTGCTGTCCGACACAGGACAATCACCCCGAATGTCAGCAGTTTGAGGCTGAGGTGGCAGATCCACGCAGACAGCCGTCTCCTGTACCCCTGACCCCGCCAGAGCAAGCTCAGGACAGGTCGACGTCAGCTCTGTATGACGGGGTCCCCAGGGGAGGGGAGAGCGGACCCATCCCTGCCACAGCAGCCGGGGTCACCAAACTCACCAGGTTCTCTATGGAGCTCTGGAACTCACTGATCTTCTTCAGAGTCTCCTTGTCCCGCTTTACCTCGTTGATGTACATTGCCAAGTCCTGGAAACCAACACTGGGGGGTCAGGGCTGTGCCCCACCATGGCGACGGCCCCTCTCGGTCCTGCCAGGGCGGCCGACCCTCGGGACAACAAGGAGAAATGGGGAGTTGGGCGAGTGTCACCTCTCAGAGCCAATGCCGAGAACCTCAACCTGTGGGCTCCTAGGGCAGCACCTAGGGGAGCCCACAGACCCTTCTTTAAAGTTAGGTCGAAGGACATATTTCCACTCCCTGGTGATTTTCACTGTCACAACCCGGGCCAACCCACCTCTCCCCACCTCCACGCAGAGCCTGGGCAGAACTGGCGGTCAGTTAGGTGGGTGTGACAGCCAGGAGCCTATCAGGCTGTTGCAAGAACCCTAGAAGCCACCAGGGGGCAGTGCCCACCACGATCCCAAAAGTCAGCAGCAGCCGGACCCCATGGCCAGTGAGGCCCACAGGGAGCGTGTGCGACCCAGCTGCAGGGACAATGGCTGAGAAACCCCGAAATGGGAAGGGCCAGCCCCGCCCCCTCCTGCCCCCTTTCTCGCTCTGGGGCCTCACTGTCCACGCCCACAGCACTAAGCTGTTCCTCGAGGACCAGTAGTTCAACCGAGAGACGAGAACCCAGTCGGAGGGACAGGCCCCGAGACACAGGGCCCCGCACACCGCCCGATGCCCGGGCCTCTGCCTGCTGGCTGTGGATGGAGGCGACCCTGTTGCAGAGGCAGGGTAGCCACTCCCAGAGGGCCGGGCCTTGCAGAGAGTGACGGCTCTGACCCCATGGAAGCCAAGCTCACAGACCACGAGGGCGCATGCTGGCCGCGGTGCTGCGAATGGGAGAGCAGGCAGCGAGGCGCAAGCACTCAGCGCTCAAAGGGGGGACTGGGGACCCCCGGGGCACCCAGCCTGCAGTGTCCCCGCCGTGGCCACCCCCGCCCCGCCCCCACCCGGGTCCTGCTCTCTGAGGGATGCATCCACAGCCACTGCGGCCCGGTGCAGTGAGCTCACGGGAACACGGGCATGGGGTGCTAAGTGCCACGCTGGCCTGGGGCTCCCTGCCTCAGCTTACCCACCCACCTGCATGGCTTCCAGTGCTTCTTTGAGCTGCTGCCGCTCTGGCCGGTCAGTAGAATGGCTCAGGAGCTCCTGAGGGGGACAGAGAGCCCCAGTTACCCCTTGGGTAGCCCTCAGCCCCCACCAAGTACAGGTGCATAAACAGCAGAGTTCTGGGAACAAAGCCACCCCCGCCTCGCACCCGCTGTCCACACCCTGTACACAGGCAGCGGCTCTCCCACGAGGCACCCCGTACTGATGAGGCTGCTCCCCAGTGCCGGAGACAGTGGGGAGGCCGCTGGGGGAAGGAACATCAGGGCCACCAAAGGCAACAGGCTGGGCTAAGGCTGCTGGTTGATTCATGAAAGTGCTTCGAAGACCCACTTCCCTCGCCCACCTGTCCTTCCTCTTCCCACTGTCTCCGTGGCCGCCAGCGAGCTCACGGACACGCTGAGAGATTCACCACAGCCACCCTCTCTGCCCTGGCCTGAGGGTGCTCCTGTCTCCTTCCCTTTTCCTAACCTCATGGCTGGTTTGGGGCACGTGACCACAACCACCCTCCCTTCCCGACCTAACTGAGCAGCTGGGAGGTCTGCGTGCGCCCGGCTCAGGCTGCCGCTGGCGTGTGTGGAGCGGGCGCGCGGCTCACCTTGAGCAGCAGGTGGTACTTCAGCACGCGCTGCATGGGCACCACCAGCAGGTCCTGCAGCTTGAACTTGCCATCCTGGACCTTCAGCGTGCACTCCTGGGGGGACGGCGTGGGACCCTGAGGGCCACCCCCAGCGCCCACAGGGGGATGCCGGCCCTGCCCCCACCCAGCTCACAACACGTGCGCGTGGGGGTGGGCATCGCGCATAGAGCAGGGGCACACCACCGCTCACACCCTGGGGATGAGCAACGCTCAGAGACTCTGGACACCCCATCTGGTGGCTCCCCTCAGAGCACAGGGCCCTGCCACCCTCCTGCCATCTGACCCGGCCACAGGAGGCTGGGGCCACTCCCAGGGCTCCACTGCACTGCTCTGGGGCCCATGAGGACAGGGCCACCAGCAAGAGCAGCGGCCAGACACGGGGACCCAGGGGGTCTGAGCGGGTCCAGGTGAGCAAAGGACGGACAGGGTGGCGTGTGGGACAACAGGATGAGAGCAGGAGGCCCCCAGCTCCTGGCAACGACACCAGACCCGAGGTCAGCAGCAGCGGGGTCCAGGGCCACATCCTTGCTGAGTCACACCGTACCCGAGGCTGGGGCGCCTTCCAGCCAGGGCAGCGTGCTCCGTCCCCACGTGGTGACACGCGAAGGAGGCAGATGCCGCAGACCTGACCCCCAGCACACACAGGGTGGGTGGGGAGGCTCACCTCCACTTTCTGCCGGAAGTCCTCGCGGCTGGCCAGCAGCTGGTTCAGCGTGCTCTGGGCGTGCTCCATGCGGCTGCAGTACTCCCCATAGATCAGGAGCCTGCGGGCAGGGCACGCGTGGGCGTGGGGACTCATGCATGCATAGGCCCAGCGGTGACGATGCTTGAAGCCATACCAAGCGGGGAGGGCGCCAGCAGGTGTGCAGAGACATGCACACTCACACACATGTGCAACATACCAAGTGCACGCCGAGGGGACCTGCTTCCTTCCCATGCAGCTGCACAGAAGTGCCCCTCGCCCCGGGCCAGGAGCAGGGCGCCCAGACCCTTGGCACAAGACAGTGCCCATTCCCCTCCCACAGCCCGACCTGGGGCAAGGCCCTCACTCTACTCCAGATCTCCAGCCCTGGACTGTCTCCAGACAGTGCACCCCGGTAGCGGCCCCATGGGAGGAGAAGAGCAGGCACCGCCCCCAGGGCTGGCAGCCTCCAGCCTCTCACTGGTGGGTAGCAGCTGGGGACTCCTGCAGGGCGGGCACACCCTGAATGCAGCTCCATTAAGTCTACATGGCCCTGGGTTCCCCAGGCAGAGACGTGGCCCGGGCACCCTCCTCCCAAGACCACGGGCGAGGCAAGGACGCCAGCCAGGGACGCAGTGGGGCTCAGGGGACTGGAGCCAGCTTGACCAGCCACTGCCACACCCGTGCCCTTCCCTCTGTCCCCAACCAAGTCCACGCACCATCCCAAGGGCTGGCACCTTGCAAACCATGTCAGCACCCTCGGAGTTGGGGTGACCACCTGCGACCTCATCTTTAAGTCCACGTGCCCTGAAGACGCTGGGTGACAGTGCCAGTGACCACAAGGACAATGGCGGCCTCCACTGATCAGAAGACAGCTTATGATCCTGTCACCCGTTCCTCAGGCAGGGACACTGGGGTCTCCATGCGTTGCCCAAGAACCACCAGCTGATGGGGACACCCGGCCGCGGAAGTGACTTGGATGGAAGGCCACACGTGTCCTCAGACGGCCACTGTATGTCAGCCAACATCTGCCCCTGCCCCCCAGTTCCACCTGCCATCCGAGACGCTGCACCCCTGGGCACCCAGCAAGGCCCTGCAGGTGCTGGGTCTGTCGCTGGCCAGACGTCCACGGCCTGGGTTTTTCCTACGGCTGGGCTCCCGAGGTGACCCGTCTGCCCCATGGGACCCTGGGCAGCTCTCTTGTCCCACACTTTGGGCGTTTAGCACCAGAACTCAGCCCTGGAGGCAGCAGGCGGGAACACATTTCCCACCTGGGGTGCCTCAGTTCAGAGCTGGCTCGGGGTGGCACCGTCTCTCCCCACGCTCACCAGTGCATGACAGAAAGCGGGCCCCCTTTCTGGACACACAACTGCAGGCCCACACAACTGGCCGAGCCATGGTGCCGTCCTTGGGGTTTCCCAAGGTTCCTGTACCACCCCACAGGGCACCCTGGCCAAGGCTGAGGTCCCAACAGCATGGCTGAGCAGCTCCAGCTACAGGGAGGTTGGAGACAGCCAAGGACAGGCGCTGTCAGCAGTGCTCGTGGCCCTGTGCCCATGGTGTGCTGCCTGCGTGGACCTGAGCCTGTGGCCGCAAAGCGCCTGGCCTCCATGCCTGATACCAAGGGTGCAAGTTGCCCGCAGCCTCGCTGGCTGAGACTTCATTCCCCTTAAATGAGTCTATTCCTAAATTAAGAATTTTAATCTAAAACTTGATTACAATCCCCTACCTTGGGAGGCTCTGGGGAAAAGGGCCGTTTCCTCTTTCTAAAACACTGAACAAAGGCCGCTGAGGTCCCCAGCAAGGGAGGAGAGGGACAGTCACCAGGCCAGTGGCCAGCCTGGAAAATAAGCTGGACAAGAGGCTGGCTATGTGGTCACCAGGTCCTGCCACACTCAAGCTGTCCCCGCATGGACAGACATGACACAGTCTACCCATGCCCTATGCCAGGCGAGCCGACCACCTGCTCCTCACCCCTGTGCCCAGGGTCCTTGGGCCATCAGGTCCTGCCCTGAGCATGAGCCCAGGCCCCAAGGAGAGCCCCAGGGAGCAGCAGCTGAGTGGGAGAAGTGGACTCCCCATCCAAAGTCCCCACGCTGCTGTTCTCCCTGGAGTTGCTGCTGTTGGCTATCCTCGGGGGCCCTTGCTGCAGAGTCATGGGCTGTGTGGCCCCCAGGACACCCTGACAGGCACCTGCAGACCCGGGCTTGGCTGTCATGTTAGATGAGATGCCTGGCAGCGACCCTGCACTTCCCACTGAGGGGTCTCTGGGGGCAGGCAGGACCCCACAGCCCCCCAGAAAACACCATGGCCAGGCTAGCAGCTCTGTGTGTTCCCCAGGGCATGCAAGCCCACGGCTTCAGCAAACAAGGGGCACAGAGCCGCGTACTGCAATTACATAACGCCAGCCACCAAGATGGGGGAGCAAGAGAGGAGGAGGGGGGTTCCGGGGCCCTTTAGACCTAATATGAGGCCTTTAGACCTAACAGGACTCTGGGCTGTACGCTGGCCATACCCCGGCTAGGTGTTCTCATCAAGGCCACACCGGACTCTACACTTGTGTTTGAAAAGTGACTGGATCATGGGGCATCATAGCTGACTGCTGCAAGGAGGCGGGGCCTGGGGAAGAGGCAGGGCCTGGGGGTGTGGCCTGGGAGGGCTCCTTCCTTCCCCAGCTCCTCCCTGCCCTCGCTGCTTCCTGTGCACCATGAGGTAAGCAGCTCCTCCGCCCAGGCCCTCCACATCCGCCCACCGTGCAAGGGCTGCAGCTTCTACATGTGAGACAAATGAGCCTTTCCTCTCCTGAGCTGGAGTGTCTGGTATGGACCCAGTGACCCGGAAGCGCCTGAGGCACTCTGGTCTAGGGCAGCCTCCAAGCCGCACAGGGTCTGTAGGACAGTGGCGCCTGCCCTGCTAACTTTCCCACCTGTGACCGGCACGCCCTCCTGAGACCCACACACTCGCTCACCTCTCCTTGAACTCCAGGAAGACCTTGGCCAGGGTGCCGCCCCCGGCCATCATGGAGACATCGATGGCCCGCAGGAAGCTGTGGTGCACCTTGATGAGGTCCTGGGTGGAGAAGGGCAGTCAGCCCACCACAGGGCGCCCGCCCCTGCCCTCCAGATGCCCCAGGAGGCCTGACGGGGCTGCATGCTGGGCCTGCACCCTGACTGGTGGACACCCGTGCCCTGTGATCAGAAGGTTCTGCAGCACCGGGTGCACAGACGAGCCTGAGCACATTCACAACCTGACACAGGGCAGGAGGGCCGCTGCCCACGGGCCAGGCCGGCCGCTAGGGACACCGTGGCCCCAGGGCCAGCGGGGGCGGAGAAGGCAGCACGCTGTGATCCTGGGCTCTCTCTACTGCACATGGAGCCAAGGGCTCTGGGCAGCCGGCTCAAGGGCCCTGTAGGCTCAGGGTGGGTGGCAGCCTGGGGAGCTGCGGGGCCCCACATTTCACCAGATGGCCACCAGGGGGCATCCTTAAGGTCCTCTCTTCCTGCCCCGGGCTTCCTTCCTATCTGCCATCATGTCCTGGATGCGGCTCACAGCAGGTTGGGGACAGAGGGCGGGAAGCTCTGGGGTCTGGGGGAGGCTCATCAGGGGCAGCGAGCCCGCATCCCCTCAAGTTGACTGGAAGCCGGCAGGGGCCAGAGCTGCTGCCTACGCCGAGACAAGGTGGCGCAGCACTCAGGGGCCGCCTACTGTACACCGTGGGCAGACACTGCCAAGGAGAGAGGGACTTGCTGCCTCCGCTGCCCCAGTCTCTCTCCATCCTAGGGACACTAGTGCCTCCTTGCCCACAGAGAGGCCCTGCTGTCCCCAGACCTGTCAGCCGTGGGACTGCCAGGGACACGGCTCTCTGAGGTCACCAGGGGTGGCAGCTAGGCAGGGTGCCATGAGCAGGGGCCAGGGCCAGAACGCTCACCTCCAGGTTGATGAAGACGCTTGCCATGTCTGCCGGGCTCAGCACCAGCCGCAGGGGGCCCATGTAGTTCTGGAAGACAGAAGCCCACACTGCCACCTTGCCACCGCCAAGCCCGTGGTCACAGTGCCCAGGGGAGGCACTCAGCAGGGCCTGCTGGACCAGCGGGGCTGAGCCATGGTCCAAACCTTCACCCCCATGGCCTAAGCTGAGCTCCAGGGAGGCCAGAGTGGGGCCAGCCGGGGGCCAGGACTCTGGGCTGTACGCTGCCCATACCCCAGCCAGGTGTTCTCATCAAGGCCACGCCGGACTCTACGCTCCACACCACCGCCCCATGCAGCCAGGTGGGCTCAAGCTTAGAAACGTCTTCGCACTCCACTGCAGGCCCGGTGGGTGGGGCAGGGGACAAGGCTGCCCCGGGGAGCTCAGGGTCTGCACCCACATCCTGTGTCCTGACCACAACCCAGCGCAGGATGCCCTGGCCAGCCAGAACACGACCACTACATCCGGGCCTCCACTCAGCGCGGGGAGCGGCCCTCTGAGCACAGAGCTGGGAGCGGCCCCAGAGAGGGGCACAGACAGGTGCCCAGCGCCGTGCCTGGCCCAGTGCATGCTCGGGGCAGAAGCCACAGTGCAACCAGGACAGAAGACAGAGAGGACACAGTACAGGGAAGGAAGGTGAGGGGGCCTCTTGGCGTGAACATGCCCACTGGTGAGGCCAAGGGGCCGCTAAGCCCTGCCCCTTGTTGCGGCCGCCCTAGTTCCTGGCCTGATATTCGCATGCCCTGGGACACCAGCTGGCATCCCCGGAGCCTAGGCCTCCCCACCTTCTCGATATCCTCCAGGGTCCGGTAGTACTTGGCCTCAGTCTCCTGGATCTCCAGCAGGCAGCAGCTCCTCTTGTCGTCCTCAGTCATGCCCATTTTCTAGGGAGGACACAAGACCTGAGCCTGGGCCGCCCTGCCCAGCCGCCAACTGCGTGTCAGGAACAAGGCGCCCTGGCCTCCCAGCTTGGGTGGCTGTGAGGTCACCAGGTGTAAAATGGCGGGGGACACAGAGGGCCCAGTCCCTCCCCATTGTCTTGCAGTTGAGGAGACTAAGGCATGAGGACGGGCAGAGATGTGACACCAGAAAAGTATGGAGGCTCCTAGGCTCCCAGGCTCCTGCTCCCCCGATGCCGACCCTCAAGTCTGCAGTGGCCCAGGAGGGGAGGCCCCAGCACACACAGGCGGAGTCCACCAGCCCCTACCCAGCTGGCAGCGCGCTGGCCACCCTGGGGACCCTCCAGAGTCGACTGCAGTGCAGACTCCCAGACTACACCCACGGCCGGTCACGGCGACAGAGCAAGGGTGGACAGCTCTCCCCAGCACTCTGTTTGGGGTCTTGCAGGCTGAGCGAGACAGAGCCACCCAGAAGGCGCAGGGCAAGCATCACTGTGACATATGCCCAGCATCTGCCCAATGCCCCTGGTGGCCACACCCGTGTCACCCTCCAGGAGACACCCCACAGGCCCCCGTGCTGTGCCCCAGCTCCAACACAGTGTGTGAGAGGGAGCTGCGACCTGGGGCTTCGTGGGGGCTGCTGAAGGCCATGACCCTGCCGTCCCAGGTGCTTGACAATGGGCCCCTGGCAGCAGGGCCCCGTGTTTTCCCCGAGGGGTCTGCGGCCTCCTGGAAGGCGGAGCAGACGGTGTTTGGGCCTCTCCCAGCCCCTTACCTGACACTCACCTGCATGTACCTGATCTGCAAGCATGGGGGAGGGAGAGAGTGAGTGTCAGCGCAGCCACTGTCCTCAAGCTCAGCTTGGGAGCCAGCGCGCCCATCCCGCCTGAGTCCCCACCCGGCCGCCAGGACCTCTCAGGACAGGGCAGGACCGGCAGGACCGGCAGGACCATGTGGGGGCCACGGGCCCTGCCACCCTGGCTCTGTCCTCTTTAAGAAGCCACCATCATGTGACCTTGCGCTCAGACTGTTGAGGGAGCCACAGCAGCAGTTTACCTCAGGGACCCTGGCAGGGAGCAGAGGCCCCCGCTGGGGTGGACGGGAAATGTTGGGAGCGCTGGGTGCCAGGACGCCAGCCGGTCCCGGAACAGGGAGAGCCGTCCCCAGCCTGGCAAGTTGTACAGCCACCCCTGTCCTTTGCTGCGCGTCAGGACCAGGACAACAATGAGCCCTGGGGAGCCCCCGCCATGGTCGGGCTGGGGGTGCTCAGAGAAAGCATGCACAGGCTGAGGGTGGGGACACCCCGAATTCCACAGAGGCCGCTGCCCCTGTGTGCTCACATCACCCCCAGGAGGCCCACGTGCAAGGGATCGGGAGGGAAGTGGCCCCAGTGTACCAGCGCTTATCAATGGACCAGCGCCAACCCTGAGGGTGCAGCCCTACCACACAAAGGCTTGGGGGGGTCTTGCAGGCCCTTTCAGGACAGCTTGCAGGAGAGGATCCTCCAGCACCCCACAAGACAACCCAGAAAGACTGGGGAGCAGAGACCCCCGCAAGGTTCCCCAGCCTCTCCACAGAGCTTGGCGGGGAGGGAACTTCATATGTTTCAGGACTAAATGAGACCTCTGTTCTCGAGGGGAGACTGTGGGGGCTGAGAGACCCCTGCAGCCCCACTCCTTTCCCCAGAGTCTCCCCCAGCTCCGCTTCTCCACCACCTGCTGGTGATGCCCCTACCATACTATCTGCTTTTCGAGAAACCTCCCATGTCTTCAGGGAATGTAAGCAGATCAGAGCCTCCACAGTGGGCAAGGGGCACCACACCCACCCTTTGGGGGCATGGGGGTCCGAAAGGGTTGTGTCCCCCACAGCCCGCCCACCGGACCCCACCTTCCCCAAGCAGCTGTTGCCAATAAGCCTGCACCAAGCAAACTGTCGTCCAAGAGACCATTAGACAACGCCTGTGTGGAAATAAACATCCTCACAGCACAAAGACACAGCTGGCTAATTGAGCACACGCTGGGCTCTTCCTGCTCCACACAAAGAGGCAGAATGAGCCCTCTGGTGTTGGGCTGGTGGCAGAGAGCCTGCTTCAGGCGGAACTCGAACCCTGAACCTTTAAAGGAAAGCTCCACAGAAGCCTGCCCACGGGGCATCGGGTCATATCCAGGGAGCAAGAGCAGTAGGGAGCCCCGAGCGGACAAGAAGGCCCAGGCGCACGCTGCGTGTCCCTCTGCACATACGGGGGCTGTGGGGCCAAGGTCTGTGGAAACAGGGTGGGCTGTGCGGGGTGCGGGCAGGTGCTGGCTTACCATGGGCTGCTGCACTTCCACCTTGATGATGTCCTCGTAGATGTCGTCCCCCTCGTCCTCGCACGGGACGCAGTCGTAGATGTCCTCGCCCAGGTCATGTTCACTGCAGGGGGAGGTAGGTGAGGGAGGAGCCCACAGCCCGGGGGCCGCCCTGGCAGGCTCCCACCTTGGCCTCGGGCCCCGCTCCTCCAGGGGCACTCGGGGAGGCCACCAATGGAACCTGCCCGGGTCCACAGGGCCTGCTGAGGCAAACACTGGGGACACAGCAGAGGCCAGGACCAGGGCCTGGGAGACCTCTGCCTCCCCAGAATCTCTGCTCCTGCCTCCAGCCGAAGCCCCGAGCTCTGCGCTCGGCCTGGGGCCCACCAAATCCTGAGGCCCCAGGGTGAGGGAAGGGGATAGGGCCACACACAATGGTCATACATGCAAGTCTTCCACAGCAGGCATCCAGGCGGCCGAGCGGGCGGGGACACAAGGTCCAACCCGCACCTTCCCAAGTGGCCCCGGGGAGATCCCTGCCTGGGTTACGACGCACGAGAGCGGTCAGTACTCATGGTCAGGGTGCAAGTCCTCCAGGCTTCCCTCTGCCTTCAGGGCTGAGGTCCTGGGCACCTCCTGCCAGAGGCCTTGTGGGACCCTCCCCGGTGCACGACCAACTCCTCCGACGCTGGGCATCAGGGACTCTGCCCAGCGTGCAGCCTCAGGCCACTCTGCCAGTCCTGTGAGTGGTGGCTGCTCGCTGCCTGCCCTGGGACCAAATAGCCTCGTTTTTCCTGGGACCCCCACACCAGGCCCGCGGCACTGCTCAGCTAGTGATGGCCCAATCCACTCACCACCATCCTGCCCCACTGGGGACACCCTGCTGAGGACCAGAGCCAGGGAACCATGGCGGTTCAGGCTGGCCCTGGTGCCCCACGGCCTGGCTCAGCATGGGGCCTGGCCAGTCACTTCTGGAAGGCACGGCCAGGAGGAAGCACTGCCCCGAGACCTGCCACCAGGACCAGGGAGGAACGGAGCAGGGCAGGCATACACAGCAGGGATCCCCACAGGCCCCCAGCATGCAGACACCCCGGCCCCTCCCGGACCTCAGCCTGGGGCACGGTGCCGCATTCTCAGGCTGGTTCAGGTGAGGTCACCAAAGATCAGCTGCGGAGGAGCCGCACAGTGTATTCACAACGAAGGGCTCTCTGTAGCAGCAGGGTCTCTGGAGCCCTGGCACACACACACCCCTCCCCAGGACCGCGCTCCATGGGACAGCCACACAGCGTCACCTGCACCACTCCAGGTCCCAGAGGACAGAGCCAGCAGGGGACCATGATGGATATGAAGGGCTGCCCACCCACCTCCCAGCCCTTGTGTGCCTGCCCCTGGCTCAGACTCACGACACCGTCCTCGTTAGCCTGGGCAATGACCAGCCTGCAGGTGGGGACAAGGGGCGTCGTTGTATGGGGTCAACGCCACAGAGCCCGTGCTCTGGGGTGCGGCCCCCAGGACCCCACACAGGGTGGGGCGGTGTCGGTGAGGTCCATCCCCCAGCAGGTCTAGCAACTGTCTTGCAAGCTGTCACTCACGATGACATAAGTCACCTCTCCCGCCACAGATGCACAGCCCCCGCATTCTGCCTGACAGGCTGTGGGGGCCCAGACTCCTTGGCAGTGCCAGACCCCCAAAACTCCCAAAGCCCCATCAGGAATTCTGACCCTGTGGAACCAAGGCAAGACAAGGAAGCTTCCAGGCCATGAGACTGGACGACACCAGGGGGACAGCGCCACTCCCGCGATGTGTGGGCAGACGCAGCTTAGCTCCAGCCAGGCCGGCGAAAGTGGCCGGATCGGAGGCTTCACTGTCCAATGCCCTGTGAGATGAAAGTTGGGCCTCCACAGGGCCTCCAGGGCTGGCATCCACGGGGCATCCTAACCCACTGCAGGACGTGACCCTGCCCAGTTCGGGTCTGTCCCACAGAGACGCGGATGCAGCCCCGACAGCAAGCTGACCGGAACTGGCCCTGGGATGCAGCCCACGCTGCAGCCAACCAGCCGCACACTTGCGCTCCCTGGGCACGCTGGGTGCTCATCTCTGAAGCTGCACAGGGTGCTGGGCCGAGCAGCACAGAGGCGCCCTGGACCTTGGGTAAGAACAGAACGCGGAGGAAGTCGGGCGGCTCCCGGACGACGATTCAGGCACGAGCTTCAAGGCCGTGGGGAGCGCTGGGCTGCACAAGGTGCTCAGCAGTCAGTCCCTCCCACGTGCCCTTGGCCGGGCCAACTCTGTGTCCAGTGCACACCCGCACCTCTAGGCACCCACAGATGCAATCTCGTTCCGCTGCCAGACACGTTTTCATAGCACTTTCACTGGGGTTTACGAAGACATCAACAGCTTGGCCTGCGCAGCCCACCCGCCCGGTCCAGGTGTTCTCATCTCCTGGGGGGTCTCTCTTTCCCAGCAGCCTCCCCATCCCTGTCACCTCCTTTTCACTGGGGAGCAACTTCACCCGGTGGACACCGTCAGTGGCACCGTGTGTCACACCTGCTCATGCGTGTCTTCTTCTCCTCTGCATCATTTCTGAGGCCCTAAACGTGCAGCTGTCTGTACCTGTGGCTGCTCCTCCATGTTGCTGAGGACCAGGGCATTGAGGAAGAACAGTTTGAGATGCATTCTCCCCCTGGATGGTCACTTTGGCTGTTTCCAAGGAGGGGTTATTGTATGCAAAGCCATCATGGGAGCATTCAGGTCCTGCATGTCCATGTAAGTGTGTGCCTGTGTGTGCGTGTGTGTACACACGTGTGGGGACAAACACTCTCACTTCCTTTGGAAACGACATCCCCCAGGAACGGAACTGGCAACTGCCCTGCGCTTTCCCCAAGCGGCCGCAGCATCTGCCTCCCCACCTACAGCGTACGCTGGTTCCAGGGGCTTCGTGTCCTCCTTTGTCCTGTCATTGCTGGGCCTTTTCATTTCAGCTACTGGTAGGAACACGGTAGAGCCCTGCTGCCCTTTTATTTTTAGTTTGCCTGATGACCAGTGATGCTGAAGATTTTTTTCCACATACTCACTGTGCAGCTTCTTTCATGAAAGCTCTACCTGAGACTTCTGTCCATCTCTAAAAGTCAGCCATTGGTTTCTTTCTTATTGAATTTTAGGAGTCCTTTTGCATAAGGTGGACCAAGTGCTTTGTCCTGTAGGTTTTGAGTCCCTTCCCCTGCCGCCTCTAGTGCAGTAATTCATTTTCTTTATGTGCTTTGGTAAGCATTCATTTATAATTTCATGATGTCTGGTTTACCACAATTTCCTTTCATACTATCTTAAATTCTATCTACAAAATCCAATCTTGCTTAAAAATCTTTGTTTTCGTTGAAGTCACAAGGGATAATTCTCTTGTATTTTCTTATAAGAGCTGTACACATTCATTTATTTTATTTTATTTTTTTGGTACTGGGGATTCGAACTCAGGGCCTTGCGCTTGCCAGGAAGGTGCTTGTGCTGCTGAGCTATATCCCGGCCCAAAGAGCTGTACACTTTCAGTGTTTATGTTTGGGCCTCTGGTTCATCTCAACTTAACTATGCATATGGAGTGAGGTAGGGGTCCACTTTTTCCCACAGCAATACCCAGGTGTTCTGGGATAACTTGTCAAAAACTTCCGTTTTCCCACAAGGCTTCTAGGATATCTTGGAAAAAAATCCAACTGACCACACAGGAATCTATTTTGGAACCCTCTGCAGTATTCTATTCCACCAATCCATTTATCCATTGATCCTTATGTAAATACCACTGTTCTATTTCAGTTTATAGACAATCTTGAGATCAGGTGGTATAAATCCTCTACCCATGTTCTTTATGAGACTGTTTATACTATTTTATAGCCTTGTGCATTTTCACATAAACTTTAGATGATCCTTTTATCAATATCTGAAAAACAAAAGGTCTGCTGAGCTCGTGACAGGAAGTGTATTGTATTAGCATTTTGCAGAGAAGTGACTTCTTTTTTTTTTTTTTGTCTTTGTGAGACAGGGTCTCACCATGCAGTTCATGCTGGCCTTGAGCTCACTTTGTAGCCCAGGCTGGTCTCGAACTCACAGCAATGCTCCTGCCTCAGCCTCCCGAGTGCTAGGATTACAGGTGTACGCCACCACATCCATCTAGAACTGACTTCTAATATCACCTACCAATCCATGAAAATAGTATATACTTCCGCTTACTTAGGCCTCAGATTTCTGTAGGTAATGTTTCGTAGTGTTACCCTTAAGGTTTTAGAAACTACTGGCTATGTATATGGAGTATGCATGTGTTTCAGTGTTTTGCCCCCTACCTCCTTTACTCTTCTTCTGGAACACAAAACACATTTATTATAGACTACTTCATTCTAATTGGCATGTATGTAACTCCATTCTGAATCCTATTTCTTTCTGTTATGGTATACTGAAGGATGAACTCAGGACCTTCCCACTGAGCCACATTCCCAGCCCTTTTTTTTATTTTTGTTTTGAGACTGAGTTCTGCTAACTCACTAAGTTACCCAAGCTGGTCTTGAACTTGTCATCCTCCTGCCTCAGCCTCTCTGAAAGCTGGGATTAGAGGTGTGCACCACCAGACCCAGCTGAGGCTCTTTTCATTTTCTCTGATGCTTCTCTGTTATTTAAAGTGTATAACTCCCATGGAGCTATCGTCAAGTTGAATGACTCCTGCCATCTGCAAATCTCCATCAAGCTGATCTCCTGATTGCTCATTTCAGGCAGCATGCATTTCACCCTCGAATTTCCTTTGATGATTTTTAAATAATGTGTATTTCTCTACTATATCTCCCCATCTGCTCATCTGTCCTATTTCCTTCTAAGTCCTTGGCCATATTTATAAATCTGCTGTGATGGTTAATTTTCTCTGTCAACCAGCTGGGCTGAGGGATGCCCAGATAACTGGCAAAACACTACTTCTGGGTGAGTCTGCAAGTGTTTCTGAAGGGGCATTGGAACCGGCAGATGGGGCAATGGAGCCTGTTCTCTCCGGGGTGGGTGGGTCACATCCAGCCCACCCCAGACTCACAGAGGACAAAGCAGGAGAGGGCAGATGTTTCCTCTCTCTTCTGCAGCTGGGACGGTCATTTTCTC